GATTTCTGATAAATTATAAATTTAATTCAATTAAATTCCAAATAAATAGTAATAGATGGAAAATAGATTCTTTATATGTACTTTCCCACCTCAACAGATTGATTGAATTAAGAAAGTGTGTTCTGCTTTTATGAATGAAACTTTGACTTAGGTCAAACATAAATTATATTAATTAAATAAATAAGCTCCAACCTTTCAAAAATATTAACTATATTAATTTTTAGAATGAGAGTGGTTTTTACTTCAGTTTGCTTGTATTAAGATATCGTTGATATGTTTTAAAAGTTTTTTAGATATATTAAAATGGAAAATACAAGCAAGTGATATTTAACTAAATATTTTAAATTCAAATTAAAAATGTATTTTAAATTATATTTTGACAAAGCCATAATGTAAGCCATTTAATCGATGGACCCAGACCGTAAGGAAGTGTATAGAAGTGCTCCATTTGCAAGCGCATGCGTGACAGTGACTTGGGGTCTGTGTCGCTGCCCCTCCCCTCCTCGCTCGGCACCCCTCCCCGACCCCCTCCGGTAACCCCCCTCCCCAGAGGCTGTGGAACGGCGACAACAGTAAAAATATTGAAATATTGTCAATCAAGGGGCTAACATGGCAGGAGGGGGGGATTAAGCGGAGGGGAATCGTGAGTTGGGCGACAGAGACAGTCGCGTTCTATCTCCCCGATAAGAGCCACTAAAAGTGTCGCTATGCCGCCGAAACGCACTGTACGGCAAATAAAGTGAAAAATTAAAATAAACCAAAGGAGTAGCGATGAACAAAATGTAAAATCAAAAGGGGAAAAAACCAAAAAAAAAAAACGAGATAAAATATGTTTTACAGCTCAGAAACTTAATATGATCGGGTAAAGTGAAAGTAAGCACGGCTATATAAGATATATACGATGTGTGGGTATACATATATCTTGGGCTGGGAGCGTGTGAGTGCGTGTGACATGCGCATTGACCGCGAACACTCCGATCAGAAGGCTAAAACCCGAAGGTTATCCTTGTGTATGGAAATTTCACAAACTGCATTCGTTTCGCACAATTTGTGGGGTTTCCGCGTTGCAATAAGGAAAAAGTCCCTGCACAGAGCTACAAAACTGAGGTGTGGAAGAAAAGAGAATTAGCTAGTGCCATTCACAAGCGATCAACATAAATAGGTTGGGGGAACTTTTCAGCTATGCAAATGTCAAAGTTTAAATTCGGAACTCAAACGATTTCGTCATTAATTATTATTAATTTATTTCACGGCCATCAAATATTATTGCACTTTAAGCTTCGTTTGAATACAAATTCGATTTCAAATTTACGTAGGAGATTCTATTTTTATAACTTTATTAAATGTCAAAGGGTAATTTGTATGAGAAAGGAAATGCAAATGACGTCTTATCAATTTAGAGATATTTTATGGATTAGACATCTGCCGTTGTTCCACAAGTTAATAATAACAGAAATCACAATGAATTATGGTAATAAGGCCTTTCAGTAAATATAAAAAAGAAATTACATATTTTTAGCTGTCCATTAATTAAGCCACACTGTACTTAAATTTCGAAGATAATAAAATTCGTTTCGCCCATTAACATTTTCTGGAATTAAGTCCATTTACTGAGTGACCCCTAAGATTTCTATCAACTCATTAATGAGCACTTCAATCCGAAGAATTGCTTTTCAATTTTTTTCGAATGTTTTTTGAATCGAATAAAACATTTGAATCGGCAATTAAAGAAATTATACGATTTTATGCCGCTTTGGGGCGGGGTTGCATAAGTCTTCGTGCGGGAAAATAATGGAAAATGCATAAACAATAAAACAATTTTATTGCCAAATGGCAAGAATAATAAAATCGTACATCGTACATTGCTTAGCACTCAGCTCAACCGAATAATCTGGCTAATTCGGGGGATCGTAAAATCTTTATAAGCCACTCGGATGACCGAGGCTGCGAATTGCAAATTCAATTGCTGAAGCTTTTGCCTTGGCATTTGAAATATTGAGCTTTGAGCTTTCGTTCCACGATCCCTGTTGACTAGTGTAATTTCTATATTTTATTTTACAATTATTTAGGGTCATATTGCTGTAGAGGACCTCTTTTTTGTAGAAAGTCAGTCATATAGTCAGAGATCTTAGCGATTCTGATTTCACATCTAAATCAAGCTTAAGCCTTTTACTGTTGTTTAATTTATGAATTTTTTAATATTAAAACGTAATGAAAATTTAATTTGCTTCTTGCTTAAATGACTTAATGATTTCAGAACGTTCAAAGATAATGAGCTTCTTCTTTTGTTTTGCCCACCTCTGATTAACCAAAACCCTGTGGCACAGTGTAAATTAAGACGCTGCAAGGGATATGTTATGCGGTGACAGACAGACACAATGGAAAGGATGGCTCGAAACAGAGGTCAACTGGCCTTATATATACAGACTGCCATCCCCAATCCGATCTGTCTCTGTCGCCGCTTTAATTTGACTTTAATGAAAACGTGGCAAGGCGAACACTTTTGGGATGCAGACATTTTACGTGGACGTGGCTTTGGCTGTGGATGTGGCTGGGGATGTGGATGTGGCTGTGGACATGTCCTCAGCTGCTTATCATGGGGGCCAGCAAACAAAACAAACTGTACATCAACCGAGGCCGAGAGACCGAGAGTGCGAGGCCACAGCCAAGAGCAACACGCAAGGTCCAGCAGCGTCTTCAACGGCATGCCAAAGTCGCAGTCGCCGTTGCAGTTGCAGTTGCAGTCGCAGTTTCAGAAAAAGCCAGGCCAAAAGCAACCAAAGTCCGAATCGAAGACGACGTTTGCTCGGTCCATATGCGGAAACGCAATTTTGTCGTTATTTATGGACCTTGCCGCGCATGCAACATGCACGCCGGCCAAACGAACCAGCGATGTTGCTGCTGTGTCCGTTGATGTTGCTGCTGCTGCTGCGACTGCTGCTGCTCCTACAGCCTCCGCTATAACAGGATGGGACGTTACCATTAGAAGAGTGCACTGAGAGAGAACTATTCTAAAACAATGTGTTCTTGATTTAATAACAGATAGGGTTTTAAAAATATATAGAACATCATATCAAATTCAAAATTAAAAGTTGTAATTCAAGGACCAAAATGTTCTACCATTTATTTGATTTTGCACGACGAAGAAAGATTTATGTTAGTAATACCAATCATCATACCGATAGTAAATGAATATGTATATATTTTATATAACATTCAAGGGCTAAAGAAATATTCCTTATTTCTTCTTGTCTTAGAAGTAAACGACGTTTCATCATTTATCCTCTTATGAAAACTAGTAATGTTCTATTAATTGAAAGACTGAACTATCGATTACCAGACATTCTTAGACCCAGTAATTTAGTCCTAGAACTCTTTCTCTCAGTGTAAGAATATAGGAGGAGGCTGAGAAGGAGTCAGATGTGGATGCAGATGCAGATGCGATGGCCAAAGCGATGGCGTTGCAGATGTCCGAGTGGCCAACGATCCGGCGATCCATGCAGATGACGATGACTTAGTTGCCAAGCTCCGAGGCGGCACCTTGCTCAAGGAGGCTGCGCTTGCATCTCACCTCGCTAACGGTTCTCTATTAGATTAATTTATATTCAAATTTTTATTACCCGCGCATACCACCGCTCGACGTCGACTGCTCTGAAATGAATTGCCAGGCGGATGAGGAGGAGGTTGAGGATGGGGATGCGGATCGGGATGGGGATGAGGGTTTCCGTGGAGCCTGGTGCTGGATCTGGGTGTTATTAGCTCGCCTACTTGCACATTCGATGCACGCCAGAATGCCAAAGTTGCTGTTGTTGTTGATGTTGCTGTTGCAGGGGCAGCAATAACGTATAGAAGAAACAGTTACAACGGAAGCTGTCATTCCACTGGGGGAATGGAGGATGGAGCATGCAGCATGGAGCATGGAGTATGGAGCTTCGAGCTTGGGGATTGGGGAATGGGCATGGAGTTGGAGGACTCCAGCCTGAACTCAATGTTTGGGTAATGGACGGGGGAAAAGCCAGAATGCGCTGGCGTTGCCGTTGCCGTTGCTGCCGCACCGATGTTGCTGTTGCTGTTGCAGCAGCAATGTTGCTGCCGTTGCCGGTTGGCCTATCGCAATAATTAACAGTAAAATGCGCGCGGCAAGAGCGGTTAATTCAAATGCATGAGAAATGCAAATGACAAACATTGATTTGAAAGGACCACGACTCAAGGGGGATTCAAACCGAATCGAAACTAAAACTCTGCTGTCCCCAATTAAGATGTTGATGTAGTAACCAACCGCAGCAGCAGCAACTCAAAATACAGCTGCAACTGGCCGCCATGACGAAGGCAATTAGTCGAGATTTATGTTGCCGATAGAACAGCGCTCAATGAATAGCTGAGTGGGCTGGACTGGGTTAAGGATATTAACCGGAACATGGGCTCGCCTGTAGATAGAATATCTTATGGAGCCTTTGGCAGACACTCCCGACTGATTCTTCAAATTTACATTTACATTTTAGGAGCACTCATGTGGCACTCATGTTATCATCCTTAGGATTACCTTTAAGTTAGGCAAATATGTTCACCATGGGTTCTCTAAGTGCATTTACTTAAACTTTTTATTTTTATTCTCATAAAAGTAAAGTAAATATTTATAACTTTTTGGTGCAAAGAAATGTGAAATTTGTAAACTTTAGATGCTTTTCCCAGCGATATAAAAGCATTCCCTTAAGTTTCTGAATATATTAGCTTTAGTCTTATAAGTAGTTTTGTAAATTCCTTGCCCCACATATAATTTGAATGTAGATGAATCTACATCTTCAAATCTTTTAATGCTTTGTTGGCAGTTCAGGCAAAGTTTATAAATGCAGAATAGCCAACCCCGTAATAACCCTACCTCGGACCCTTTGAGTTCCAATTTGGCCACTAATTAAGGGGCACTGGAGTGCGACAAACATAACCACTTGGCAGTGGACCAACCCTCTAGCACAACTACCCCTCATTAAGCAATCACTCACCTCTGCAGATGCTCCTCGACTCCCGCTGGCAAGGCACCGTCGGCCACGATGTAGACGGGCTGTCCGCCGGCTCCCGTGGCGGTGGCGTAGGGGAGTCCCGCCTGGACCACCACTTGGCCATCGGAGACCAGGCTGCCGATGTCGCCGCCCGAGTAGATCTCCAGGCCCTTCTGGTCCGTGGTGGAGTAGATCACCGTCTTGCTGCCGTCGTTGTAGATCAGATCTATGTGCTTGTCGGCTTGGAAGAGGTCCGGATCGAGTTTCTGGGGCACCGTTAAGTGGGGCAGCTGTTTCACATTCACGCCATTCGGATCGGAGGTGGTGTAGATGATGGATCCCCCGGCCGCCGCCGCGGCAGCCGCGTGCTTCTTGTGGTCCTCGTAGATGTCCGCCTCCGTCTTGATCACATTCGCATCGTTGCCGCCGCTGTAGTGCAGCACGGAGGCGTCGAGTGGGAGGGGCGAGGTCTGGTAGACGGCCTGCCCGTGGTCGTTGTTCATCTTCTGGGCCTGGTTGTACATGGCCGTGGCCACCGCATTGTCGTTGGGCATCAGCTTGGAGGGATCGCTGACGATGCGGGTGAGGATGTGCTCGCCAGCCTCGTTGCGCGACAGGATGTGATGCTCTCCGTTGATGATCTCCCGCGAGATGATCTGCTGCTGCTCCCCATTCGGGCCCACCACGCGGATAATCTGGTTCTCATCGAACTCGATCTTGGCCAGCGGCTGGTGCTCCGCCTGCTGCTGCTGCTGTTGCTGTTGGGCTTGGTTGCCCATTTGGGCCGCAATCCGAGCATCGATGGCATGGCCCTCGTCCGAGTTACTGCCTCCGTCCGCTGGCATCACCACCTTGGGCGTTTCGTAGATGAACACGGCCTCCTTGTCGTACAACTTGGAGTTGTCCGTGTGCAGGTCCAGGACGTTCACGTTCGTCATGGTGGCCAGTTCCGGCTGCGGCGAGTCCGGCGATCGGTGCATCGTGGTCAGGAGCGGCACTCCGTTGGGCGCCAGTGGCGAGCTGTTGTTGTTGCCCCCTCCGCCTCCGCCTCCTCCGCCGCCGCCGCCTCCGCCACCACTGCCCTGCTGGATGGGCGAGAGGGAGGCGTCGCTGAGGATTCCCACTCCGACGCCCACTCCTAGGCGACTGTGGGCGTGCTGGTGCAGGGTGTGGGCGTGCCCGTGACCGTGGGCGTGGCCGTGGGCGTGGCCGGACAGCGAGAGCTCGTTGGACGTGATTACGCTGGTCGTGGCGGTGGATGTGGACATTATTCGTGGTGGCTGCGATGGCTTACTGAACTAGTTTGAACTGGATTCCGGATTGCACTAGGACTTGGTCGTGGTCTGATCATCGATGCCGCGATCCCTGGTGGCTGTTGTTGCTATTGCTGTTGCTGCCTCGGCTGCTGGCAAGTATAAACATAATAAATATCACTTATCAACGGTTTGATGGAAGGCACTTCGTGGTTCTTTCGTTTCGTTCGAGTTTAGCTCCGATTCCGGATGGTTGTTCTTCGTCTTCGTTGTCGTTGTTTCAATTACCGCATTCTATGGCACTAAGGAACTTCCTTCGTTTCGTTCTCAGCTCAGCTGTAATAGGGCAGAAAACAATGGTCACAATTAGTATACCAAGTGGGAGAATAAGATAAGGATTTAGCCTAGTTTGGCTTGTAAAGTGGGAAAAAATCAACTTTCAAGTCTGTCAAGATCTACGCGTTGAGGTGTAGGAACTATCTTCAAGAATATGTAGCTGGCTTATAATTTTTGTTTTACTTATTATGTTATGTTTGGGAAAGCCTTTCCATTCGGGTTTAAGACCTTTAATCAAATACATATATATATAATGAATAGTAATGTTAAGAAACCACGTTTATTCTTTGAAACAGCTATTGAATACCTATTTAAAAATATTAAACAAATATAAATTCAATTGACTTCGAAACCAAAAAGACGTTAAATGATATAACTATTTTTTTTATGGCTCTTAATCCATTTATGTGATGCAATTTTAAGAAAAGTATAAAGTTAGACATTCACAGCATTAGTAATAAATTAAAAAGACCTTAATGATTGCTTTCACTGTGCATAAATTGTTGCTTGGTAAAAGCTTACAACACTCTGACATTACGCAAATCTTTAAATACATATGATTACATTTTTTGACAACGTTAAATATTTAGAGAGCCACTTAGTTTTTAATAGTTTCGCTAGAAATAATCAAAAAGTGTTGGGGGAGGTCTAACTCAACACTTGGGCCTTTTAAATGAGCTGTGAATCATGGGCTATGCTATAAGGTGTTTCCCAATTGGCAATCACAGCCCTACCAACACCACCCCTCCCCTCCCCTCTGCCACGAATTGCCGATGAGGCCGTAAAAGGCCGCAAAAGCAACAATAAAAGTGGCAGTGTCTGGCGGCAGTCTGCTTGGCGCCCCTGTCCCCTGTCCACCCCCGTCCCCCCCTGCCGGCGATGCAGTCACACACCCCCATCAACAAAATAAAAGGCAAACATAAACGGAAGAGCCGGCGGAACGGGTTCAAACGACGAGCGATTTGCAAGCACACAAAACAGACCCCACAGCAGCCAACAAACAAACAAACAAACAAACAAACAAACAAAAAGGGGCAAACACAACACAACACTAAACGGTGCGGCACAACAAAAAGTAGGGAAACGGAGAAAAATAAATAAGCCGAGTTGGCCGAACACACGTGCCCGTCGAACTAGTTTGACTCCTTCGCAAATGTCAAACGTGTAACTGCATAACTCAGCGCGGTTCATCACATCAGCAAAACAACAAAACAACAAAACAACCAAACAGGTGGAAGAAGCCTCTCTGCTGACGTCGCTGCCAACGTCGACGGCGACGGCGACGGCAACTGCTCAGCCATATTTGTGTTTTGTTTACAACGGGGCTTTGTGTGAAATTAAACACAGAGTATGTACTACTCAAAAAACCAGTCAGTCCATCAGCTGTTAATAGTCCAGAATCTGCGAGTTAGCAAAACATGTTTATGAGGGATTTTGAAACCGAAACCGAAACTGAAACTGAACTGAACTGAACTGAACCGAAACCGAACAAAACAACATCGACAACAAGTTGAGAACAGGTACTACTCTCCACATAATACCACTCCATGGCATGCCAAACCAAAACACACCGGTAACAACAGAGCGTCTCAATCCTTGACCTAATCCAGAAGGCTGACTTTCTGGTTCCACGCCTCGCTCCACTCCACAGCCAATCCACAGCCACGGCGTGCCCAGGTTCAGGTCCAGGTTCAGTTTCGGTCCACGATCAGATTCAGGTCCAGGTCCAGGTCCAGGTCCAGTCCCCCCATATTGTTGTTTGATGATAAAGCCAAAAATTACTGGTGCTGCCGCAGAGTTCACTACTGTTGCTGCCGTTTTCTCAGCTGGGATGTGGATGTGGATGTGGATAAACCCGTTTTGTCAGCCCAAGCCGGCGAGTTCACGACGATATCGGGGCTCCTCGGGCCCGGTCTGCGGGTTCCGTTAGTAGGTGAGGTCAGTGTCATGCCGCCGCATGTGTGTCTGCCTTATAGACTAGTTTTTGGCACACAACGAACACCGTCAACGAAACACGGAGATTACCCGAAGAAAGTCGAAAGGCAATTAGGAAACAATTAAACCAACATCAACACCCCGGCTCGCAATTGATCCCATCTCGCATCGATCGAACTGGGTCATACGTATGACCATCGACCAGACCCTCGGGGCAACGTAGTCCGGACCAAACTTTCCAACTTGCCGCTTGGAGAATGGCGATGGAGCTGGCACCTTCATCCGCAGATAGATGGGTTCTGGCCAAGACCCATCACTCATTCGGTGGGTGCAAAAGAAATCAGCAACAAGAGAAGTAGCTGCTGGTGTAGATCATGCCCACAAAAGGGAAGCGATGCAGACAAGATAATCCCAATTAATCTCATTGAGGAGATTTGTGGGGGGGGCAGTAAAGAAACTTTCTTCAAAACAAAATATTGCTTTTGGTAATGTCCACCAAGGGGCGCCAGAAAATTTATAAGATTCTAGCAAGTATACAAACTGAATGTATTTGGAAGAACGCTTAACACTTTGAATAAAACAAAAGATTTATTGATAAAAGCTTTTTTAGAAAAGCTTCATTGTGATTCAAAGATATTTTTTGCAGAATTATTGATTGTTAGGAAATGGCAATATAAACCTGTACCTCAAAAAAGATATTATTGAAATTAAAAGAGTTCTCAGTAATAACTTGTTAGTTAGGCCAAGAGTTTGTTGAACTTTTAATGAATCAATAAACATTAAACATTACTCTTCAACAAGTGTTAATAATTAAAAAACGTATTGCGTAAGATTTACAACTATTCGATCATCAAAACAAGTCTTCGAACGGTAGTGTAGTATATATTAGGAAATGAATGGGCAATTACTGTATTGATTGGCTAAACAATAAATCGTAAATCAAGTTCAAACTATAGCGAAAACTTATTTTATCTTAACACTGACAGATTTACGCTAATACTGGATCACCATAAGGAAATCTTTCGCAGCGAAAACAATTTACATATTTATAACTATTGCACCTTGAAAAATTTTAATTTACAGACAGTTTTCCTTGAAAGCGGCATATTTAGATAGTGATGTATAATTATTGGTATCTAGAATAGTGGCATCGATATAAATCAACCTGTATATAAATCTAAGGAATCAATTATTTTGGTATTGTAACGTAATTTCTTTTAACCACCATTACTTCCTGCGCTCTTCAGTGTGAAAAAGCAATATATTTTCATTTTATTTAGTAAATTAAACCTCTCCCAAGACAATCATTACTAATTTTCTTCGAATCTATCTGTCGAAATCACCACATGTGAACATAAACCCCAGATCTAACCTTTGCATGCGGACGACGCCTACAACAAGATCTATGGGTATGTGTTCTTTATTATCCATTCCCATACCCCGATCACCTTTCCCCCTAATACCATCGATTTTAGATACACGGTGAATACCAAAAGCAATTCCATTTCGAATCCCATTAAGATTTGACATAATTTGAAATTTGGATTTTACGTCTCTCTACCTTTTCTTAGGGGGAATGATGGTGAGGGGAGGAGGGAAGAGAAGAGCGGAGGAGTGGAGAAAAGACAAGAGAAGAAATGCGCAGCGTAACCCTAAGCCATCAACGGTCAGAGTTGTCGGGCATCAATAACCAAAGCCAAAGACTTAAAGTTGGTAGATGGTACACGGAAAAAAATAATGGTTCGAGAAAAAATAATGGTTTGAGAATTATAAATTCAATTGATACTAGGAAAAGTAATATACACTAAAAAGTTAACTGTCACGTAAGAAATAAATATTTGCATATTAAATTAATATTCCACATTCGCATATTTTACATTACTGCTAATTATCTTAGCAAAAAAGTAATTTAAAAATGAAAAAAATTAATAGATGCAAGATTTAAATTTAGCAATAATAGGAAATATCAAATACTGTATCCTTAAAAACTGATTATACTAATAATACAAATCCAGACATTTTATAAAATATTTTGTTAACTATTGTATGGTACCTCATATTTCTCTCCGTGTATATGGGAATGGGCATGTTAAAGGCGTCCAAGGAGTGGGAGGGGGCGGGGAGGAGAGGTTAGGGGGTGGGGGAACGGCTGCAAGACGGAGTCAAGAAGGCCCGAAGAAACGAAGAAAGGCAAAAGAAAAGAAAAACAATAAACGTTAACACGAACACGAAAATAAAATAACTCTCTCACGAAGTTCCCCCTTTTTTTGTGTGTGGGTTACATGTGCGGCTGTGTTCGTGTGTGTATCTCACGGCTGAATGTATCTGTGTGTCTGGCTTTCGGTGGTGGTGTGTGTGTGTGTGTGTGTGCTGCGTAGATGTTCATTTTACTGTACCATAATCGCAGCCCCAAATTGATCACCATCATCAAGAAGGTAAAAAAAAAAACAACAAAAAATAAAAATCATAATAAAAAGAACCCCAGAACATAAGAGCAAAAGGCAGCACAAAGGTCCAGGGGAAAACGTAATCACAAACACTGGGCAACATCATCGATTTTCGAGCAAGAAGGCGGCGCAGTCGCAGTCAACGTCGACGCCGGCAGAGCATAGGCAGTGACACAGGCAGAGGCGTTGTGATCCCTTCTCGCTCCCGCTCTTTATGGCCAACTCTCCCGCTCTAGCACGGCATTGTTGGCAACACAACGGCAACACCAATACCTGTGCGCCTTACCTGCGAAGCAGCGGCGACTTCGAAATACAAAATAAAACCAAACAAAGAGGAATGTGTGCGCGAAAGATACCACCAACAACATACTATACCCACAAGAACAACAACACAAATTGAGGCTGGGATCGAAAGACTTAGGCTACATACGTCTGCACAACATACAGGGTGTCCCCTGTAGACGAAGGCTTTCAGACGAACACTGGACAACAGGTTAATAATACGGCACACATCAAATTTTCATTTTGTACCATTTCTTATTTTGTGACCCTATAAACATTTACATTTCTAATAGTCCTCAACACAAAACAAAATATATATTTTGCTGGGCACTTAGGCACGTAGCTAAATCAAATAATCAATTTTATATTTAAATATCTTTTTTCCCTATTCATATTAACTTTTAAATTTTATTTCCACATTTAAATGTGTAATTTTGTTATCAATTTTTGTATATTGTCTAAAAGTAAAGAAATAAATTTTACTTAAGATTTCAGCAAAAGAGTCGAACTTTGATTTGCCAATAACACTAGTTCCACGTGATTAAGGAAAAAATAAATATATTTATTGTAGTTGTTAGAAAGAGAAATTTTAAATATCTATAAATTAATAAGGATTTCATAATAACTGTATTGGAAGAGCCAATATTATTTTAAGATTTGAAACTATCTAATGTTTTAATACTTTTGAATTCGTTTTCATTAATGAACAGTTCATTTACTATTAGGTTTGGGTATAACAATGTCAATAATGAACAAAATTCTTGAAATTCTCAGACTATAGTAACCATAACATCTTTTGAGTTTACAACTGACCAATAAAATAATTTATATAAGTTCATTAAGTAAGCCCGAAATTCCCTGTTTATATTGCCCATGCTTGAAAATCCCATCCATTGTTTGGGAATTTCCCGAAAAGAGCTCTATAAGCCGACATGCTAATGAGTCAAGAGGTGCCATTTCTGCCAGTGTAATCCCTGTCTGAACCGACCAGGGCTGCAAAGCCTGATGGGTTTATAATTACTTCTCGGTAGGCTGCTACTCACTTTTTGGGCCGGGTGCCTTGAGCTCTCTGGGATCAGGATGCGGATTTTGGCACTTGGTGAGGATCTATGGCACTCGAGCACGATGGAACAGAGGTGGATCTGGTGGAACTGGAGCTGGATCTTGAGTTGGTAGCTTGGAGTTTTGAGTCCGGGGAGTCTGTAAGCTGGGAGTCTGGAGCTGAACTGAAATGTGGCTGCTGCTGTTGTGGCTCGTTGTTGCTGTTTTGCTGGTGGGTGCACCTTTCGCCACTCTTTGTGCTGTTGTTGTTGTTGTTGTTGTGCGTCTGGGGCTTTTAGCCTGGCTCTCTGGGCCTTTTTGGCTTGCACAATGCTCTTGGCTGGCTGCTTTGGGCCGCTTCTAATATGCCACTCTTTGTGGTATGTGGAGCTGTTGTTGTTGTCGTTTATTTGGATTGTGTTTGTGCATTTTGGCCTAACAATTGCCTGGCATTGGCTTTAACAAATCGCTGTTGCTGCTACTCATGTTGCTGCTGTTGTAGTTGCTAGTGTTGTTAATGTTGCTGCTAATAAAGTTGCTGCGGCTGCTGCTGGTGAACACTAAAGGGCGCAAAGTTGGGGGGCAGAGGGCGGGTCGTTGCGGGGGCGTTTTGCCTGGCATTTGCGTTTTCGAACTCTAATTTGGTTTTGTTGAGTATTTTCCACTATATTTTACGCGCTTTTCCGCACTAGCATTTGTTGTTGCTGCTGGTTCTGGCTGCTGTTATTAATCACTATTTTTATTTTGCATTTTATTATTCGCTGCTCAGCTTTGATGGCGTCTCATTCCAGCTCGCACACACACATAAAAAGCACACGCTCTCCGAGAGACACACACAGATGCACACACATACACACACTTGCAGATACTCACTCACACACACGAGTTTTTTCGCTTTTTCAGCCTTCTCTTCCTCTTCGTGGCTGAAATTCGTGTGTGTGTTTTATTTAATTTCGAAAAAGTTTAAGCGCGACTTTTTGCTTGTTTGTTTGGTGTATAACTTTTGGGATTTTCGCCACGATCGAATCACACGCGTATTCACAGAAAATGGGTTTATAGTCCGATAATTCCGATTTGTATATATATAATATTGGTATTAACTTTCTGACTTTCCGTGTGCGCGGAAAACTTGTCGTCGCTGTCGCTGGATCTCGGCTCTCGGCTATAATGCCCAAAGAGTCAATTGGAGATTGTTCAACTGTTGAATGCGCTGCTGCCGCCGCTGCCACAAGTTCTGCCGACGTTCACGCTTCGACGTATTGGTGGCAAGGTGCTGTCCGTGTGAGCTGCGCAGGTGAGAGAGCGCTGCTCGATTATTATTGCTTTTTATGGTTTCATCTCTTTCGTAACTGATATTGAGCGAACGGCGGCAGCGACGCCGGCAGCGCAGCGCCACTCAAAAATTCATTCGAATCGATGATGTTGTCTCTACACTCTCGGAACCCCTACACTAGTGCATAAAACACAGGTAGCCACGCATACATGTGTGTGTGTGTGTAGGTGCACCTGCAGAGGCCAAAAACGCAGGCAGGTACAAAAGACTTAGGCAACGAACCTTTCTTCCACTCAGCCATGCACTTGCAAAGAGAGCGAGAGAGAGAGAGAGCGCGACCCTCAACTCAAGTAATCCGCTCCTGCTTTTCGGATCTCTCGAATTTATGTTCATTTCTGTAGCATTGCATTCATCTCAATCATACCATCGAAAATTCGAATTCGCTTTCGAACTCGCCGCCTTGTTGTTCTGTTTTTGTTGTTGCTGCCGTTCGGCTTGTAAGCCCCGTGAAAGTGGTAGTGCAATCGGGCATCAGGTAGAGAAACAAACACACACAGCGGTAAGGGAGAGGTGGGGAGGCAGAAAGAGAGAGAGCGAGCACCGCATGCCGAAAGAAAGCACTGCAAAAAACCAGAGTTTCCAAAGATATATCTTCTATTAAACCTATATCTTTGAATATGATAAATAAGTAAATAATATCTTTAATTTATCTGTAACTCTCAAAGGACAAAAACAAGAGAAAGATTTCTAAATTTTGTATTGCAACTAATAAAATAAAAATATATTGATCCAAAAGATACATGTAGTTGTAATACATTTAATTTATAATAATCTAATGGTTAGTCTAGAGACTATGCATAAGGCAAAATAAACAGTTCATAAATTTGCTTTAAAATAAACAATAATAAAATTAATGTAGATAAATAAAATTTTCTGCACACTCTTTGCAGTTCAAGCTGTAAAAATAAATAAATCAAAAACTGAACACTGTTTATCTGTTAACATTTAGTATTAAGCACTTGTTTTTCTCCGTGTGGCATACGTAAAATAGTTGTGCATGTACCACAATCGAATACGCCAAGTAGCTGCCGCACAGCCACAGCCTCCGCCGTTCTCCGTCCCGCTTGACAGCCCCCCTCCCGCTCGCTCCTTGGGCCCGGCCCGGCTGTCGGTTAACCTCAGTTGAGCTCCTACAACCTCACCTCGACAGGCGGCGGCAATCAGCGCTGTGTCGTGTGGATCGGCGGACGGTTGGACGGACGGAGCTTGTGTGCTTTCCGCCACGGTAAAGGGTGTCTCCCTCCCTCACCCTCTCGTTCCCTCTTGCGTTCCCCCGTCATCGCTTCCTCTCTCTTGCTCGTTTTGGTCTCTGTTTGTCTTGTGGCGCTGCGCACGCGTGGAGCTGCGGCTTAGAACGGATTGGAGCAACTTACCCACCTGGCTTACAGCGGTGGAGTCGACTTTCAACCTACTGTAAATTACATTTGTAGATTTTACTGCCTTCTACTGTCAAATATACAAGGTAAACATCAGATGTTCATGTAAAATTACTGTTCACATTTATATCTTGGTCTTTGCAAAATTTCGTCGAAATAGCTTTAAAACTGAGTGATTAGTTTGCTTATCGGAAACTTACAAATAACTAACATGAAAATGGGTCATAAGTTTGATAATGAATTTTTACAATTCATCGGAAACTTGAAAATAACTTACATGAAAATGGGTCAAAAATTTGATCAACGTTAAAATGAAAATTTTGAATGCAGATTTTTAGAGAATCAAAATACGAATCCTTAGAGGTATGTCACTTTGGAATCGGATAAAATTTGGAAAAGTTATGGACTCCACAATCCAGTTGTGGTCCACCTTTTTACAATTCATCGGAAACTTGGAATTATCAACATGAAAATGGGTCAAAAATTTGATCAACGTTAAATTGAAAATTTTGAATGCAGATTTTTAGAGAATCAAAATACGAGTCTTTAGAGGTATGTCAATTTGGAATCGGATTTAATTTGGAAAAGTTATGGACTCCACATGACCAATTGTGGGCACATTTTTACAAGGCATCGGAAACTTGGAATTATCAACATGAAAATGGGTCAAAAATTTGATCAACGTCGAATGGAAAATTTTGAATGCAGATTTTTAGAGAATCAAAATACGAATCTTTAGAGGTATGCCAATTTGGAATATTATTAAATTTGGAAAAGTTATGGACTCTAGAAGCCCAATTTTGGGCCACCGTTTTAAAAGACATCGAAATTTTAGAATAACAAACTTAAAAAAGGGGTCAAAAAATTGTTCAATGTTAAAAGTAATGTAATGGGTATTCCGTTTACACATTTTCAACAAAATATAATAGTTAAAGGAAAAAATGAAATTGGGTAAAAATTAGTTTACTTATATTAACCATTTACAAAAATTTACACTCCAAGTTTGAATTTGAGTTTTATTTTCATTTCGGTTTATTGTTGCAATATATTAAATGTTTAAAACTAAATTTAGGCTTAGTTTAATCCATTTTGTATTTATTGATTTTGCCGTTTTTGCGTTTACTCATTAGTTGATTTTTTTGTAATAAATTTAATTTATGGTTTTTAACTGGTCGAAACTTGATTACGTTTTTTGTACATATACCGCTAAGTAGTATATATATGCATGTATCGGTGTGTGCGTGTGTTTTGTGTGTGCGAGTGTGGCGGTGTATAAAACTAAACAAACAACAATCGTATTAAATGTACTTATATATTTGTTTTTTGTTCAAAAAGTCTTATATCTGTCCATGCTGCAAAGTAAGAAACCGAAGAGAAACATTCACAATCAAACATTCCCTCCCTCCGCGCGTCCCTTTTAGCCAGGACATTGTGCCTAACCTGATTGCCTAAAATTAATTTAACAAACCATGGAAACTGACATTGTTGTAATGCAAAAGCGGTTGTCGAACCCTCAATTCCAAGTAGCAGCCTGAGTGACGCGTAAAAGTCAAGTGTTTAAGGACTGAACGGAGAAGTGCTAATGTGATTGGTTTGGTTCGGAAATCGGATCTTGAAACGGGTCACAACTGTTGTAGAAAACATAGGAACTTATGTGGGTGTGTCCAAAAATCTCGGACATTTCAAAAGCAAATTACCTTTAACTTTGACCATAAATATTCTGATTTGCAAAAAATAAATTGTAAATGTTCTTTAAGGGAGAACTGGAAGGTGCTTAAATGCTAGAAAAGTCAGTGTTTGTGTTTCTGTACTTGTTAATCTCAGTGTGTGATGGGTGTGAATTGGTGTCGATAGATGCATTAAAACTAGGCACACCAACTAGCTACGAAAATACATTCCCTGCTCCCCGCAACAAAGGTACAAACATGAATCTTGTACTTTAAAATATTGTGCCTCGAACACAGACAACCTAAGGTTAAAGGAAACCAACTTAAGATCGAAAATACATTGTTAACTTTTTGCCAGGACTCGAACCGAAAGTCCTCCTGCTTGTTCTGTGTTTTGACTTATAAACTTTTTGTTTTTGTTAATTTTTTTTTAACGTTCTTTGTTTTTTATTTCGACAACTTTTTTGCTAAAATTTAAATGTAACCATACTTTTGTGTTTCGCTTGTTTTTTTTTTGTTGTTATTTATAATACTGTTTTTGAATATATATTTTTCAATGAAGAATCGGGGTAATGTACGGGAAACTCTTGGAACTTCCGCTTCTCTAGAAAAACAATTGCATAATACATTATGAGAGGATATATCTCTTGCGAAGTTCTGATTTTTTTGTTGGCAGTGATATTGCGAAACGTTCTTCTTTCGACTTGGAAATCAGCTCGACATCGAAATAATATAGTACAAGTTAGTTATGAGTTTGTTTCGGTTTCGGTTTTGGGTAAGACTTCTAGGGAATATGGTCTGTTCTGGTCTGGCTCAAAGTACAGCTCAAGATGGGGCTTTGTAAGATTTGCTTAAGAAAGGACTTGATCCTCATTGGTTTTTCATAAGAAAGTAGAAAGTGTTGCCGTCTGCTGTGGTATTTACAAAATGCTTCGATGTCATTACTCGTATGACCTAAAACGATTTCAAAACTAGTCAAGTTAAATGTCTCTATATATCCGGATATATATATATATATATATATATATATATGCTGGTGTTTATATATAATTTTATAAATTTATGTAATACGTTTAAAAAGATTTTTTTGTTTTATGTTTTTTTTGTTATTTTTTTGGAAAAAGTATTTTTGTTACGTTGCGGTTTATGATTACGTTTAAATTAACTTATCGGTTAGCCGGTTCCGTAATCTTTGTTGCAATTTGATTAATACGTCTCTTAGATCACTAGTATTACAATAGATGCTATTTGTGTCGCTCGTTTCGTATTAGCTTTCTGGTTGTTTTTTTTTTTGGGTTTTTTGGAAAATGCTTTCTGTGGTCGAACCAGCTTCTTAGTGTATGTGCTTGACCTTTTGGTTTGTTAACGACTAGAACGTAGGCAGAGAAGGAATCCTTTTCCCGCATAATGCATATCGTCTGACTCCTCCGCCCCTCCGAGGATCCAAAGATTTGGGAATTCGGGGCTGCTCGCAAAACGCTTAAATGGTTCTACTAATGGATACATATTGCTTAGTCGATTGCTGCAGCGGCGGGGCGGAATCCCAGAGAAATACAAACGGAGAGCAACAATGGAAGTCAACACAGCGCAACTGAATGGGATCCAAATCCGGTCCGGGATCCAATGCCCAATGCGATCCTCTCTAAGTGGGACTATCCGCCTTGGAGCCGGCATTCGAGTTGTCTTGCAGTTGAGCGAGTGTCTTGAACTTTTGCGAGTTTAGGAATCTGTCGAGAACGGAATTAAATTTATGAAATCAGCCACCGAATGCATATGTGAAATTTGGTAAAACAAATCAGTTGATAATTTTTGTATATCAGACACCCAACTAATCACAAACATTACGTTGGAACTAACACGCAATGACTTCAACTGATTTTGTCTGGATTTCGTATCAACTCACCTCGGATATGAGTCTCTGTGCATCAGTGTGTAGATCTGGATTTGAGCTTCGTCGAAGGTGTGCGTCGTGGGCTCGATCATGTTCCGGTTGACGATCTCGCGGACCCGCGAATCCAGCGACACCTCCCTGGGCGACAGGATCGAGATGTAGTCCTCGTAGATGAGGCGCGCCTTCTCCTCCACCAGCTCCGCGCTGCTCTCCTTCTTGAGGTCCTCGCAGGCCAGCCAGAACAGGATGTTCTCCTCGCTGAACTCGCTGCGCAGGAAGTTCTGGAACACCTTTCGACCAGCTGGAAACAAACATATTTATCCAGGCATTAATATGGATCAGCAAAACCATTTTTCATTGGCTCACCTGTGCTCTTCATCAGCTTATCAAAGCTCTTTCCCCAGCTGCGGATTTCCTCCAGTGTGGGTCTGTAATGTATAATTAATGTAAGTTGTTCGCTTTCTTTTCAGTTTTTCATTTGCATAAACTCACTGTTCGCCATCTAGGAACTCGGCATTGACGAGATCTCGCTTCGTGGGCGCATTTTCATCGGCATTCTTGATGGCCAGACTGTAAAGATAAGGAAAAGTAGAGAGGAGCTTGTTAAAAGTCGATTATTTTGATTTTACAACTCATCAATCACCCTTTTAAGTAGACTACGATTTTATTCATCGCTGAATTGCCGCTCAGCCTGACTCATTTTTAACTGGCACAAAATAGCATAAACATGTAAGTACAGTGGTCGCTCGATTACAAGAACTTTTGGATAAGCACTAGTAAAAAACTAGGGCACACATAGAGCCCTATTATAATCATCATACTTAAGGTGAGGTACTACAATTTTATGATTATAAAGGACTCTAATAATGGAGAAGGGGTAAATCGAAAGGAAAGTTTAATTATCAGTGTAAAAAAATCAATGGCTTATAAGACTAACGTATTATAAATGGAGTAAGCTGATTGTAACTCGAAAGTAAGAAAATGTTCATCATGCCAGATTGCTATATGCAGATGCCTTTTCCCGAGTGACCACTGTAGATGGGCCAATGTCATATCGGTTTTGGGTTTCGGAGCCCGGAGACAGAGCACCGGAGTACTCGAACTTGACAAAGCTCCCTTATCTGGCCGACAGTTATCAGAGGCCCAATACCTAATCAAAGTCACACAGCCGTACATACACTCGCATACATGAATCAAATTATATTTGGCCAGGGGTTTGGGGGACTTGGGGTGCTGTGCGCTGGGCTCTCGGGCTCAGGGCCCTCTGGAAACCCCCATTTTGGGCACACAAAGGTGCGGAGGGGTTACGAGTGGGCGGCGGGGTGAAAAGACTTTCGATTTCATTCACGAAAACATGCAACACTTGGAGGAGTTCGCGGAGGAGCCGCCACATACTTATTTATATTTGATTTGAAAAGTGCCCTCCAGAGAGCTTTTCGCTGCCCGACCACTTGCTCCCGGAATTGTGAATGAACGCGGGAGAGATTGAGAGCGGGAGCTGTGCACCAAAGAGTGTTCCCAAAGAGCGAAAGCAGAGAAAGGGAGAGGGTTCGAAATTCGGGGAGAGAGCTTTCGAAAACAGCGGCGTTGCCAGCTGCCAGGAGAAAGGCCACCGTGTCCGTGTCCGCTTTCGTTTTGACTCCCATGTCAGTGGCCGTAGCCAAAGCCAGAACAATGGTTAAAGCCAAACCAATAACCATAGCCGTAGCTGCGGCCATATCCATGACTGCACTGCGCGAAAATGGGAATATACGGGGGTTGCATATTTACAAATCGATTCGGAACTTACTTAGATCATGATTCGGAAGGGTAACCGTATAAGCCTATAAAAGAACTGTAATATGTCCAACTCTCTGTAAATCTTGCATTTCTTGGATTTGTAAAGTTACTATCTTGCTTTTTTTATAGCTGTTATATAAATAACAATTCTATAATATCAAATATTTCCAATTTTCTAAGGCTGTTTTAAACAATATGATTACTTTTTGAACATGACTTTCCTTGTAAAGGTATTAGGTAGTTGCTATTGTATTACCAAATCTATGCGTGGTTAAAATTTAAATTTTCCTGCTGCATAAAAAAAATACTGAAAATGTATTCTGAAAATGGTTTAAGACCTTAAACGGCGTAAGCATTATTTTACAGTCAGTTGTATAAACAAACCAAAGTTATTGTGTATTTCTCCCGGTGTAAGAAAGTGTGAGTGTTTAAGGAAGGTACTTACCATTTGCCCCTGTTGTCACGGTTGTGGTTGGTATTATTGGCATAGTTAGTTGTTGTTGTGGCCGACGAACGTTGAGTCAAGGCAGCGCGGTAACGAGAAAGAAATTGATTTCGTGTCAGAGTATTTGAGCGTTGAACAATTGGGCCACTCCACCTCCACCTGGTGGGATGTGGGTGTGGATGTGGCATGGATGTACTCACCAGGAGCAGGAGCAGCAGCAGCACCAGCAGAAGCAGCACGGCTTCTGCGACTGGGGCCGCTGCAACGTGGCCGCATTGGACTCCTGGAGGACGTTGGCCGTGGAGCCGACTCCCACGCTGCCGCCCACCGTGGGCGATACTCCGCCCATGCTGCCACCCCCTCCGCCGCCCCCGATGACGCCCCTCCGCCGCCCCCCCCGTTGCCGTTTCCATTGTTGCCACTATTGTTGGCAGCACTTTGCTGTGAGGATGCAGTCATGCCGCGCAATCGACAGCCACTGGGCAGCTCCGAAACGGTGCAGGACATGCCGCTACCTGCAATAAGGGAACAAATTGAAACGTTAATAAGCCAGGTAATGGGTAGTGGGAGTGGGAGGGGGAGTGGGTTCGGGTGTAAGTCTGGGTGTAGGAACTTCCCAGTCACACAGCGAAAAATACCGTGAGTATTCCTCATCTATTAGCAGTTGGTCATGCTGAAAAGGCTCTTATCTTAATAGTTAATAGCTAATTATCTTGTCATAGTCATTGTTTTAATGATTAGACTTTGAATTTAACAATCGTGTTGAACGATTTTTCCGATTCTAATTCTGATAAAGATAAACGAATTCCCAAATCCCTATTTACTGGTAATGTGAAACAAATAATTAAGATAACTAACTTCACCATAATGACACTCAATAATTAAATTACTATATTTACATTAATTGTCAATTGTCAACTTGTTTTCAATATTATAAGTAAATTTTTTGATACTACGTAAAAGAAACCTTTTTATACGTTTCGGAAATGTCTTATTCACTGAACTCGACAACATCTCGTAAGCGTGTAAACTAAATGCGCTTGAATGCCTAAATGCTTTTGAAAAAATTAGAATTTCCATTTGAATAAAATTTCGTTTCCTAGATGCCCTTTTTGAAACCTCTTTAGGAAGAGAAAAGAAAAGACAAAAATATAAATAAAACTATTTTTTCCTGAATTTAGACTTAACTTGTTTTAGTAACCTTGTTTAAACTATAAAAATTCAGAAAGGGCAGAAGGCCAAGTCCCACATCTTATGCAAATGAAAATCAATCGCATTTACCGAAAGGAAAATTGGAGGAGTACGCCTAAATGTCAAACTGTCCGTGGTCTGCTTCTTTTTTCCCTGTGCACTCACCTGCCCTTTGAAAGTTGAGGTTGACGCTGGCGGTGGTGATGGTGATGGTGGTGGGGATGGATGTGGAGGTGGAGGTGGGTGGTGATGGTGGTGCTGGTGCCCCAGCTGGCGGACCGCCCACTGCCACTGACCTACCCACTCACCCGCTCGCTCTCGTGCTCTTTTCTTCGATTCGGCTTCTCTTGCTCGGATTTCCTTAGAGGAAAGGCAAGGGAGAACGAGGCCGTTACGTATTTATGTTTTTGCTAATAATTTTTTATCGAAAGTTCCCACTCTCTGGCGCTCTTTCCCTCTCTCGCCTGCTGCTCTTGGTTTTAGTTTTAGCTTTAGTTTTCGTTTTGTTTTATGTTTTCCTCAGCTTTTCCTTCGACGATTTTACATGGCCAAAAATTGCTGAAATTCTTTTCGATTTTTTAGATAACCATTCGAGTAGTTATCCCTATCAAGGATCCTGATTTCGCGTGGGTTTTGGGTTCTGGGTTCTAGGAGGGTTGGTGCGAGCGTTCTGTTTGTGAGTTGGTGGTGCGCGGGTGGTGGCGCCTACGGCATTTACATATTCCGCTCTGGATTTATGGGCGAAAATCTAGCGATTCAATGGCCCCGTGCACCAAGGGGCACATTTCACAAGCGTTACGAAATCTATGAGCAGCTGGAGCTGCCCCCGTAGTTGTTGTTCTGGCCTTTATTTATTTCTTGGGCTAGTCATTACACCGATATACACATACACAGTGTGTGTGTTTGACACGCAACTTGGCTAAGTGGAGCGCATTGTTTGGCCCTAAGGGCGGATGGGGCGTATGCGTGATTTTCTCCACTTGCAATGATGTTGCTGCAACAGCTGCAACATGTAGGCAGCTAATTGCACTTGAAACTTCGATTTTTGTTGGTCGTTGCACTTGTCACAAATCAGCTGCTCTTGTTCCTTTGTTGACCATTGCCTTAATCTAGCTATCTATATAATTTTTTTTATTGTTTTGCCAGCGCTTCCGTTCATATTTTCACTCAAACACACACGTATTTTCTTTGAGGATTTGGGCGAATCGGGTGGGCGGAAAAGGGGGACGCGTTTAGTGTGTATGTATGTTTTTGAGGAGCAACCGACGAGTACATACGAATTTTTGCCACTAGAATTGAAATCGAAATGTGTATATTTCGCCCCGAAAATGTTTTGCTCTTGCTTTGATTTCGTTTTTTTTTTATTTTTTGGTTTTTTTTTTGTGGAATTACGAATAGGGGGAACTGCAATTTTCGTGGTCACTCGATGGCCTGGACTGGCATTTTCACATTTCCATTTTCACATCTCGCCCTCGGCCATATTTTATTAAATTCCTTCGTTCTCGGGGCCCCCGCTATGGCAGCGCTTTTTCCCATTCGATTTCTGCGCTCTGCGATTTCGGCTGCTCAGCACCCAGAAGCCAAAATCCTCGACAAGTCGGTTCGAGCGATTCGAGATTCTCTCCGCTCGGGCAAAGACAGGCGACTGATTTCCAAGCAGTGCCGTCTCGCCAGCTCTTGATTTTCCAATGCGCGCGCTCCTCCCGAGAATCCAAGATAATGGCGAGTGGAAAGTGGGAGGCAAGGGGCTCCAAAGGTGGGCTGAGCGAAAAGCTCCGTGGCATGGCTATACAGTTAGAATTCCTGGTACACACAGGAGAGAGGGATAGAGAGAGATTGGGAGCAAAAAAAGCATGTGCGCGAGTCGGGCGAAGAGAATAAAGCTCGGGACTCTTTGCTCTGCTGGAATTCCCCCCAAAAGCTTTGGGGCCTGAATTCAAAAACGTTGGACAGAGTTGCATTTTGTTTTGATTTTGAGATCCCGTTCGTTTTTAGAGCCCTTGATTACTGTTGTTTTTAAATCATTTAGATGTTTTTTAATTTTTTGTAATTGATTTTAAAATGTTTTAGGCGTAAATATAAAAAATTAAAAAGTCATTACGTTTAATAAAGAAAATGTGCGAAGCAATGGTTTTAAAATTAAGAGGTATATGCCTTAATTTTAAAAACATTAGAAGTGCATAAACTTTACATGTTCGTGAGAAATTCAACGTAAACCGAACGATCATACATTATTATTTAAAAGTCTTAGTTTGAAATATTGTTTCTTAAATATGTTAATACATTTTAAACCAGATTGAGGCAAATGCCTTCCTTCAATTAAAAATTAATATATGTATTTATTCACTATAAAAATTTCACAAGACTTTCGAGGACCAACAGAACTATCATACCTAATTTACGTGTATAGTCGGATGGTACAGTCAGCACCCGTGGAGAAGACCCATGGCTGGACCGGATGCCAATTGACATCCAGTACGCCAAACTCATCACGTTTCTCGTGAGTCTGCAGCTTTTTCAGGGGAACAATCAATGGGTTCTGGAGCAGGTCACTGAAATCGGATTAGGAAATTAGTAATAGCCAAGGTCAGTGATCATAAAGCCACTTACTTATAGACCATGCCGTGGGAGACGATCACAGCCTGGTCATCGCTGCCAGAAGCGAAAAGCGGATAGCGGAGATGGAAGGCCACACTGCGAACAGCATTGCGATGGAGGCGCATGGTCTGGTAAGGCTTAGTGGACAAATCCAAATCGAACCACAGCATCTTTTTGTCATAGGTGGACACCAGCAGGTTGTCACCCTTGGGATGGATGGACATGCCCGAAATCCACTTGGAGTTGGTCAGCAGCTTCTTGACCAGCTCCTGTTTGACCAAATCATATATGCGAATGTTGTGTTGCGTCTGTAAAACAAACAGTTAAAATAAGTATGTAAGAAACATAAAAATAGGATAATCCCACTTACCGCCACGAAGAAGCATGGCTTCACAGGATGGAAGAGCACGAACTGGATGAGACCCTTGCTCTTGGAGAATGGTATCTGTGAGCGACGCTTGGACAACTGATGGATCAAGGCCGAGCGATTGGCACCCTCGGGCATCACAGTGGCCAGATAGTCACCTCGTCCGTGCCAGGTAACCTGGCGAATGGGTTTGAAGTGGGTGATCACCACCCGGACGCCCTTCTCTTGCTCATCATCCTCAGCATTGGACCACTGCACCGCCGTCTTGATGCGCTCACTTTCAATTACATCCTGACTGGGCGCTTCGGCCAGCAGATCGTCGGTCTTCTTCACCAGAACCTTGTCGCCCACTTTAGGATTGACAAGCAACAGTCGGTTGCCAGTAGCAACCGCAATAATAGAGAGCTTGGGATTAGGGCACCAAGCCACGCAACGCACCACTTCGTCGGTTTCGATTGTCCGGATACAACGGCCAGTGGCGATCTCCCAAACTGAATAGAGGGAAAAGTATTATTAGATTATAACAAGATAAAGAGATCGGACATACTCTTGACGGTTTTGTCATCAGAACCGGAAACAAGGTACTCTCCCTTGGGCTCCACGCTAACTGATCGCACAAGGTCGGTGTGGCCGCGGTAAACCATGCTTTCCACCGTGGGGAAGGGCTGCAGGTCACGCGGCGAGGGCAGCTTGGGGATAAGGTACTCGGCGTCGATGTTCAACTTGACGCGCTTGGCACGCGGACACAGGTAAAGATCCAGGCAGCGCAGGAAGCGTTCGCGAAGGAACCTAGAGTAGGCGGGCACCTCTCGCAGCGACCTGAACTTCTGGGGCATGAAGTGCAGCTTGCGCTTGTGGGGCTCGTCCTTGAGCTTGAGCCACTCCTTGGTCTCCTTGGCATCGAACAGGTACTCGGGTGGTGGATTGTAGGACTCTGCGTGACCGGGCAAGTCGCGTTTGGGCGCCGATACGGGGTCGTGGATGCGTCGCATGTGCTCCCGACCAGTGTCCGTCTCCCACAACATGTAGAACTTGGGACCGCGCTTGGCCTGCTTCTCGCGCTGCACCTCCTCCGTGGTCTTCATCCAGCCCATCTTGAGTGCGTGCACCATGCGCGAGACGCGCTTCTTCTCAGACACGGAGGGCAGGAAAGAACGCTTGTGATCCGGCACGTTCTTAATGGGCATCTTCTCTACCTCCGAGGTGAACCACTCGATCCAGGGCTCGTACTCCTCGTGATCCTTGTTAGGAATGCGACCCGAAACGATGCGTTTGATCAGGGCAATGTCCTCGTCCGTTAGGCGAACATCCTGGCCGGTCAGCGGATCCTTGACGGTGCGCCAGAAGTCCGGGTCTTCGATCTTGCGCAGAAACTCGTCGATTTGATCGCCCTGTGGTGGCTTTACAATCTTCTTGGCATCCCAATCGTAGCCGATGTGTTTGTATTCGTCATACCAATGCATGGGTATGTTGCCCACAGTGTTGCGTATGTCTTCCTCGTCGGAGGTGTCTGAATCCTGGTATTCCGGCTTGGAAGAATCCCTTTTGGGGAGTTCCTTTACGGGGGCACCTTGCTTTGTAGTGCCACTGCTGCTGCTGGGCTTCTCATCGGATTTGATTTGGTTAGATGTACTGGCATCTTCGTCATTCTCCTCGTTCTCATCCTCTGATTCGTCGCCCTGCTCCTCTTCGTCGCTGCTCTCCTCATCATCCTCTGCTGAAGAGGATTGCTTCCTGCCCAAGTAGTTGCCCTCTTCGTCACTCTCGAACTCCAGTTCCTCGCTGGAGTCTGAGTGGTACTCCTGGTCTATGCCCTCGTCGTCGGTGGAGTCCTCCCCTGGATCTTTTACGGCCTGCAGCAGGTCCTTAAAGCCAAAACACATGCAGGTGATTTGTGACTATCTTTGTATCGCTTGCAAGGCGGACTTACCTCCTCCTCCTCCTCGTTCTCGGAGGCCTCCGAACTGGTGGCCACTTCATTTGTGGGCTCTGCGTCCTTTCCCTTACGTTTCAGAGTTAGTTTTTTGGTCATTTTGAGGAAAAAACAAAACTAACGCGGCGCACGTGTTGCAGTCAGCGATAGCGATGACAGTTGAACGAAACGGTGGCTTATCGATTCAGTTGCCGCCACTGCTGTTCGTTCTCGATTGCAAAAATGGCTAGAAATAGCTAAATTTCTTGTAACTTCCATAAATTTATTCTTTATTTCTTTAAATATTAATACCGTAAACCGTGTAAAAAATCCTTTTCCCTTCAGATCACATCACCTCAAATCAAAACTACAAAATATATTTGGCAAAATATGTACCTATGTTCTTATCGATGTATCGATATTCACAAGATTGGTAATCTAGTAATACTCTATATATGTTAACTGCCACTAGTTTGAAGATCGCTTTAACGGATCGGACTAGTCGTTGGTTGGATATTATCGAAGAAGGTAATTATCGCGGCACGGCTTAAGTGTATTGTGTGATTAATAAAATGTATTTATACCCGTAGTTTACATTGTGTTCGTGGAATAGTGTGCAACAAGTAGAAGGATATGTGTTTGGCAAGGGCTTAAAAAGGCTTACACTGAATTACATTTGCTGTAAAAATGGGGGAAACTAAAACGAAAGCTTCGAAAGCAACAGTGCTGCAAGGCAATTTTAAAGCCACCTAAAACAATTCAAAGCAATATTCTTGAGCTTGCTAAAAATAGAAAACTAATAAAATTAATTTGTTCGGTCAGCTAAACAATCTGGTTCCCAGATTCTATTTTTGTGAATTATATATAATTTATTATAATTATAATTATAATATAATTTTCAATAATTTCATTGAATATTTTTAACAAAAGAAAAGCCTTAATATGTCGAGAAGATGTAAATAATGTCGAAAAGATGTAAGTTAGGTCAAGAATATGTAAATTATGTCGAGAATATGTAATATTTGTGCAAGACGCTTATAAGTTTGAGATCTATATGGTTGAAACTTAAAATTGTTTTTCAATATTATACATATACAGATCTTTTATAAGTTTTACCAATTAAGATCACCTAGTCCAATGTGCCTTTTTTAAATAATTGTCTTTGCCCAACAATTTTAAGTTGGATCTTTTTGAGATGTTTAAAAAATTGTTTTGGACGCAAGCACATCAAAGATTTTGCTTTTTTAAATATTTTTTATGGCTCAATACTGTGGACCATAAATTATTCCCTAATGGGCGCTGTTTCGTCTCTCATATTTATTTAAATTTTAGATCCATCTAGTATATGTAGTTGTTAAAAATTATTTTTGTAGATGTTAGCCATGGTTTAATTAGACAACGACTTGCAAAAAATTAAATCTAGTAAATTTCTAAGAAATCGGTGTCCACCCAAAAATATTTACATCACGAAATCGTCAAAACATTATGAACGTTTATCAATATAGTTATAGTTACTATTATAGTTACTATTCAAAACTTTATGTTACAATTAAAAATAAATTTAATTTTAAAGATTGAATTACAATTATAAAATGTTATGTTTGGTCTTTGCAGAGCACACAAATGGACCCCAAAATCTGCAGCTATATATATCCGCAGGGTATGCTACAAAATGCATGGATTTTCCAAGACATAAGGTTGTTCATCGCGTCCCTACAAAGCGGTGCAGACGCTTATCTCCGGTCATTTGTGCCCTCGCATGGCGATCCAATAAGCGTCTTCGAGATGGCACTACTCACACCAGGCTCCCGGAAATTCATAGAGGCCTGCATCACACACGGCAAAAAGGGCGACAACTTGAGTAGTGAGGAAGGAGAGGATCTTGAGCACCCGTCCATAGTCCACTTTGCCACCTATTCACTAGATCCTTGCAACCTAGAGGCACTCTTAAAAACAAAGCCCAACATGAACGAAAAGTTCAGAGGAGGGACCCCACTACACTGGATAGTCTTTGAATTGACGGAGGAGAACGAATGCGTGATGCGAGTCTGCATAGAGTTGCTGTTTAAGTATGGAGCCTCACCGAATATCACCGATTTCAGAGAATTTACACCTCTGGAAGTTCTCCTAGCCCGCGTCCAGGCCAGGAAAAAAAAAAATCTGGTTCAGCTCTTCCTTTCCCAGCCTGACCTGGACATCGATAGCTACCGCAATGGCGAGGTGCGCCGCCTGCTGCAGCTGCAGTTCCCGGACTTGACACTCCCGGAGGAGCGCCAAAAGCTGGAGATCAACAAAGAAAGACTCCTTATTAGTGTGACCTGGGGAGACGTACCCCTGTTTGAGCAGCAGTTCGCAGAGTACATGCAGAGTCCCAAGAATGAGAAGGGCAAACAAGTGGACGATCTCCAGGAGACGTTATATGAGCTCACCAAGAGGGCCATAGAACAGGGTAACTGTGAGGTGGTGGAGCTACTGCTCAATGAGCCAAATCTGCAGCTGACCAGCGACTACCGGTGCAGTTTGATGCAATCAGCTATTAATGCCTTGTTTTCGAGCCACAATAATCAGAAATGCTTTGACTTGCTCTTCAACTTCCAATGCGTGGACATAAACGAGTCAAATGCAAGTCATGAGGTGCCCCTTTCCTTTGCGGGGAAATCCGGCAATACGTGGGCGATGAGGAAACTGCTGGAGCATGGCGCCTACATAGGCTCTAAGATCTCCTCTGAAACGTTGCCCATCAAGGACATTCCGCCCGAGATACTCAAAGAACACTTTGACTCCTGCATCACATATAAGGGGCAGCCCAGTGATCCGGATTTCGAAATCATCATCGATTACAAAAACCTGATACCTTATCGAACTCAGGAGGGCAGGGCCTCCGTATCTTTAAAGCAAAAGGACCCTCCGCCCGCCTACAGGGACACGATTAAGGGGGAGCCTTGTGATAGGGATATCGAGGGCTCGATCGATGATAAAAACCCGATATCCCCCGTTTTTTTCAATGAAATGGCCCCCTTCGCTTTCATGGCCAAGTCGACGGAGATGGTAAACCTGCTGCAGCACCCGCTAATCTCGAGCTTCCTCCATCTGAAATGGCGCCGTCTTTCCATGATCTTTTACCTGGACTTACTGATCTTCTTTCTATTCAGCGTCTCCATGTTTGCATACACACTTCTCAAATTGCACGCGAGCGAGCACACGGAATTCCTGTCATTTTCTAGAGCCTCCTCCTGGGTTGGGATTGGCTACCTTATTATTCGGGAGTCCTTCCAGTTCATGATTGCTTCAATTCAGGAGTGGAGGTTATCTAACATTATAGAGTGGACTCTTATCGTACTATCGATCTTTACATGCATTGAATTGGATTTGGACAAGGAGACACAGCGCGTCCTGGCCACTTTGAACATCCTGCTGGTCGTCATGGTCTTCTGCCTACTGGTAGGATCCCAGCCAGTGCTGTGCATTTCCACGCACATGTTCAAGTTGCACGAAATCTCGAACAACTTTGTGAAGAGCTTCTCCCTCTACACAATATTCCTACTGACCCTTAGTCTGTGCTCCTACATGATCTTCGGCAATGTAACGTCGGAACCGGGTTCTGCGAACGAAAAAGATGATTTAATCGACTTATCGGATCCCATCAGTTCTCTGATCAATACCATCTTAAACCATCTGAATAACAGGAACATCACGTTTGCCAGTTCCAACCACTACCTCATTTTCCTGCTCTTTGTGATATTCATGACGGTTGTGATTTTCACTCTGCTGCACGGTCTAGTCGTGAACAACACCCAGGTGAGTACTTATGACTTACATTCTGGTCTTCCAAGGCTTATCCACCCTCCCATGTCAACCAGGAAATCAAGACCCAGGCCGACCTAGAAGGCATCATCAGCCACACCCTCCTGATGAGTCGGTACGAACAAGTCCTAACTGCTCCGTTCTTCAGGAGCATCCATGTGTTGCAGACGATCTGCAAGCGGTGGGTGAGCATCCGCCACAACCAGATTTCCATACAGCCGAACCATGGCAACAAAGTGTTCCCATCCATGCCCATCCTGCCCTGCTGCTGTCCCGTGCTCATCGGAAAGTGCTCCGAGATGAACGACCGGACGGTCAAGATGGCCCAGGCGGTGATCAGCAAACAAATCAGAGCGAAGCAAGAGGTAGTTCAGAATGAGGTCCGTCAAAAGCAAATGCGTCAAGAAATTAACTATAAGACGAATATGTGGAAACGGGGAAGGATGCTGGAGAACAGTGTGACTAAGATCATGGATAATAAAAAGCCCAGGCGGCAAGAGATTAAGGAGGAGCAACTGCGCAATGGAATTGACATGATCGGCTGTCGGTTGAAATATATGGAGCACCAGCTGGATCAGCTGCTCAAGGGAGGCCTAATCTCAAATAAGAAATAATAATGTGCAAAGAGGAGCTATCTAATAGGGCTGATGTTGTATTTACCGCCTTGAAACTTTTACAACGATTTGCCCTTTCTTTATTTTGTACATTATAATTTTCCTATTTTAACCATCGTGACCGTTATTTTATACCTAGCTCAAAGCGATTTTTCGATAGCAATAGCACTGTCATGCCTTATCAATTATTTCAAATTCAAAGAATTCAGTAGATGTACACATTAATACTCTAACAGAAAACAATTGTTGTTCTTTTTGACATAATAAAATCAATCAAATTTTTCCGCAATCGACTGCAGAATCGTTAAGAGGCACGCATTAAGTGCTTTGAAATCAAATTGGATACTAATAATAATTTAACAAAATAATATAATATTATCAATTGTTCATATCAAACCTAAAGTTTTCAATTGTTACTTATAACGAAAAAATAAAATATCATGTTTTTGGCTCTTAAAAATTTAACGGTTTTAAAATTTATCAGCGGGAATTTTGGCTCGTTTCCTCAAATGTGGCGGGAATTTCAGCTGAGCCCGTACTAGTGTAATTAATTATTCGATGACTAACTAAATTTTAATGCCAAAAAGCTGTCAGGCATTTGAAAAGAATAAATAGAAAAGTAATTCTCGAAAGCTTTGAAAAAGAGCTGTGTTGTCTGGTGTAATCCAACAGCAGCGCCATCGTGAGCAATCCGAATCCCTCAAAATACCCTAACGCCAGTTGGGGGATTCTCGGTCGAACCATTTTTCAGTGGAATTCGAAGACTTATGTACGTGCGGATTTCGTGAGGCCACGGCCAGTGCGGAAATTAAAGGTGACACACGGCAGCCGGAGCACCGGGAGCCCAGCAATAGGCCATTACTCATCCAGGTTTCGAGACCATCGATTTGCAGCTCACACAAGGGCAAACAAAAGGAGCCCCCCGCCCCCAAACACACACCCACGCATACTATCGCAGACTCACCCACACACAGCAACGTCACGATGACTGCGCCGCGTCGCCTGCGAAAAGAATTGAGTGATTTGCAGGAGAACACACTGAAGGCCTTCAGGGACATCAAGGCGGACGATGACAACCTGCTGCGCTGGACGGGATTGATTGTGCCGGACAATCCGCCGTACAACAAGGGCGCCTTCCGCATCGAGATCAACTTCCCGGCTGAGTACCCCTTCAAGCCGCCCAAGATCAACTTCAAGACGCGGATCTATCATCCCAATATCGACGAGAAGGGCCAGGTGTGCCTGCCCATCATCAGCACGGAGAACTGGAAGCCGGCCACGCGCACCGACCAGGTGGTGCAGGCCCTGGTGGACCTGATCAACGACCCCGAGCCAGAGCATCCGCTTCGGGCGGAGCTGGCCGAGGAGTTCCTCAAGGATCGCAAGAAGTTCGTGAAGAACGCCGAGGACTACACCAAGAAGCACAGCGAAAAGCGTCCGGCGGACTAGCGGATGGGCGACGGAGGAGGAGGTGGGGAGACCCAGAATCCAAGTACACCCTCGCCACCTTAGTCTTGTGATTTTCAGTTAGTTATTTAATTTCCATTTTCGATCCCCCAAAAACTTCCTTCTGAAATCTTGTAAGCGTATTTCCCCGGCAGAGTACCTAGTTTTGTAAAAGTAGCACTGTAATTTTATGCAAGTGAGAAATACATGTTCGTTATGTTAAAACACAGCCGCTGGCTCTTGGATCGCGGACACCTCGGGATTGGACGCGGGAGCCACCGGCATGGGAAATGATTCCTCGCCCAGCATGCCGCGGAAACAGGTAAGCAGCACGTTGTTATTGTGTTGAATGAGGGCGTTGCTGAATTGGTTCTTCTGCAGCTCCTTGATCTTGAGAAGACAGTGAATGGCTCCAGCCTGCTCGTCCTTCAGGAGTTCCAGCACCTGATCTATCTCATTATTTGCCGCAGATTTAAATTTAGTCAGTGAGAGGGTTTGAGATTGATTGCACTCGAAACTGCAGTCCTGGTAAATCGTTTCCATGAGAAACAGGAGCAAAGAGGCAGAATAGTGGGTGAGGAACAGGAACTTGTGGAAGACAATGCTCTGGGGCTGAAGTTCTCGTACTGCTTTCAGGAGATCAATAAAAAAGCGTCTCTGGGTGGAGTGGAAGCTTTCGTTTTCCGTGGGTGGCAAGTAGTTAAGTGTCTTGTTTTCCAGTTGGCACTTGGGCGCAGACTGCCAGACCGGATCGAGACCAAAGGTGTCCAGGATGCGGAGGCGCAGGAGTAGTATCGGCTCCGAGGCAAACAGGCTGCTCTGCAGATTCTGAACAGGAGCTCCTCTGGAAACATGAAGCTCCAAGATATCCACTCTATCTTTAACGTATGAGTAAACTGGCCTGCCACTGGGACACTTTTCCAACTGGTTGAATTCCCGGCGCAGGCAGTATATCTGCTTGAGAAGATCACCGTGTTTCAAGTTCTCCCGTTCTGTGTAGGACCCTCCGTAAACGGGGACTGAAAAGCCCAGGGCCTTGCTAGTCGCCTCCTTGTCCACGATGCAGAGACTATCCTCCAACAGTTTCACTTTATAGCGACTGTAATAGGTGTTGGATACGAGCCCTCGCAAATGATGGAGGTGTCTCAGATAATGGCGATCATTGGACTCATAGGCATAGATACTTCCCTCAATGGCATCCGACTGGAGCTTCATGTACAACCGGCAAGCAATCTCGTGCTGCATAGTGAAATCCGGAGGGATCTGGGACCTAGCAAACAGAGGCATTACCATTGTGTCATTAGGCTGAGCAAGCTTGGATTGCATCTCTTTCAGTAAATGAGGTAAGCCGGGTGTGTTCCTCTGGTAATTCAGGCAAATTACATAAACTTCGGAATTTCCACGTTTGGATGTAGCGGGCTTAAAGATGTGGACATTTTCAAAGATGCAATTTAGCATGTAGAGAAGGGACACGCTGCAGGCCTCAAAAAGCGTGAACATTTTGACCAGGAAACTTCCTCCACTTGTGAGAATCTTTAAGGCGCTAAGTACTTCAGCGAAAAACAGGCGAACCACAATCTCTTCCTGGCAATCCGGCTGGGCAGCACAATCGATGGAGCCGTCGGCGGTGATCAGATCCACTTGTCCTTGGAAGTCCTCCGAACAGCGTTCCGTCAGATGTTCAATATTGGCTACATCTAGAAGGTTTCCGGTGAGATCCTTGTGGAAGAGCCAGTTGTCTAGCGTGTGGAAGATAAACCTGTCATCGGTGATCATCTGGTTCAAAGCATTGCCCTCGTAATACGGATTTAAGGTGGTCGATCGCCAACGCCAGTTAATCTGCAACAATACATTAGTTAATGATTCTCTTAGAGATTACTTGTTAACTGACTTCATCTGGGGAGTATATACTGTGCAGGTAGTGGTTTAGCGACGCAATAAATGCTCCCGGAGCCTCGCAAAGATGGAGGGTGTTCACCACAGGAGACTTGACTAAAGGATAGCGATGCAGGCACTCGAAGAACTTGCACCAGGCTACGGTCACAAACTCCGCCTTCGTATCGTTCTTTAGCCGCCAAGATACCTCTCCAGAAGGATCTCGCCGGTTGGTGTGAGCACTCCATTCCTGAACCCCATAATCATTAAGTCTGCTTTTCACCGCATTTAGTTGCTCCCGGAGTCCCTGCAGCGCCTCGAATTGGTAAAACTCGCTAAAGAGTGCCTCATTCTGTGAAGGCAACTGCCAGGATTCATTTCCCCGTGGCTTTTGGTAGTGGAACTTCTTCTCGAAGAGTTGCTCCAATTCAGAGTGCCTGATGGATTGGTAGTCCGCCTGAAAAGTCGGAAAATTAGCATACAAGTTAGGATACCGGAGGGTCTTTTGCTCGCCATTGGGTGCGGCTTTCCTTGCAGAGGCGGATGAAAGCTTTGCTTGAGCGGCGAATTCATTTCGGCGCGATTTTAATTAAATTTTGCAAAAACAACACAGAGATCGAAGGTTCACAAAATAGAGATGGACAAAGCTGAACGCGATCCATCGCTATTATAACAGGTTTATAATATCGATGGCAACTGAAAGCCGCGGGTGCTATCGATTAAGATATCGAATTTGAATTTCATTGGCAACCAAGATTTGAAAAATGATTCCCAATATGTCTAGAAAGTGTCTTATTACTAGTTTACTATCCGAACATTTGTAATAAATTATAGTGACCTTTTAATATAATGTGTTGGGGAATAAGATACAAAATTAAAATTTGTACAATGACAAAAATATTATCTCTTTCAAGAAAGAAAAACTAGAATATGAGGAATGTATTCAACAAATTTTGGCTTACAATATTATATGTTAGAATTTTGTAACCTGAAGTGTTAATTTAAGCTGAAGGACTTTATAATAAATAAAGTAAACTTACTCCTGTTCAGATTTCTTCGAGTTTTTCGTTTAGAGAAATGACTTCCTTCTTACCCTCGATACCGATCAACGTCAAAGCATTTCCCTTAGAAATGCGATGTGTGCCTGAAATACCAAACGGCTTATTAAAATTAATTTCTTTGGTTCTATGGATAGTTTTTTAGAAAGCGCAAGCCATACGACAGATAAGGGGCCTTCAAACTACCTGGTTACGAAACTATTGGTCATCATCCGTTAGAGCTTGGATTGTGCATACGAATATTTAATTAAATTTAATTTTATTGATGCGGATACGCCAAAGACGGAACTAGGAGAAATTGTGAAAATGACTTGGTCGGTATCCTCAGATTTTTTACCCCCAGTAGTGGTGTGGCTTTGGAATTTCAGCTTTGACCATCGTGGTCATTGGGTTTATTTCATCGTACATGCTTTGCCGACTTTATGGCCATTTGAACGTGAGTCGTGTGCATATGAATAATAATAACGATATTCAAATTATGAGTTTCCAAAGCTGACAAAAGCAAAGGATCGAATGCCACAGCCTGTAGCGCGACATTGATCGTGAGTAACGTTCTCCGCCTTTCTATATCCCCACATATAAATAGCAGTCGGAGTATATATATGTGCAATGCATATAGGTGTAAGTCCCCAGACCAGTATTTCTGCTGATATGTATATAGAAAAGACCGGCACGTGACTGTTTTGTATAATCGTGCATAAATATCTGTAATGTAATGGCTATAGATGGTTCACAGAAGCCCCGAGAGTCGCTTCGGCGTAATCGTCCCGTGGAGATCTATCCCTTACTCCTTCTGTCTATGTATATCTTTTGCAGCTCCGTCTGAGCGGAAGTAGCTATTGCTGCGCATGCGCCGTGTTTGGCGCTGAATTCTACCCATGGCCCATGCATTTTTGGGGTCCGCTTTTGGGCCGACAAATTCCGATTCCGAAACGACAACGACTCGGACGTGGACACGGCTATTGTTGGCAACAAAATTTTATTTCATTTCATATTTTTCTCAAAAGGGAGTTCATTAATATTCCGGGCAGACGGCGTTGCGCTAAAAAGCGGCTTAAGCGGTGCTCCGTCTCAGCTCGTCTCGCCCCTCCCCGCACCTCTTTCTACCTGTCGCCGCGTACAGGTAAGCCAGTACAGGTATCACCCCCACTCTGCGACGGTGTGCGTGAGCTGGCAACGGGCCGCAATCCCCGTTTTTTCTCCATGTGTGAGTGTCAAATGCCAGCTAATTGAAACTTCTTCAATTGCCGAGGTGTGGTGCTGAGCTCGCCGTTCAGTTTCGGAATCAGTTGCCAATTAGTCTCCATCGCTGACGGATTACACTTGCCATCGTCCGGTAGTCTTAAAATCCATTCCACCAGGCCAACAACATAGGCACACAAAACTTGTTAAGTGCTTTTCAAAACAACAAGCGTTTCATTGATAAAAGCCATTGACAACAAGCGAGTAATAGAAGACCATTTGTGCCCAGTGAGAATATTTTTCGGTGAATGTGTGCGAACTCGGCTTTGGAGTTTTGTATGTTGGATCGATCGTTTTAGCCCAAATCAGTTGGTAAATTGGCAAGATGTCGGCATAGCTGACGTTGAAAAGCGATTTTAAAGAGCGCTATGCTGCATCTAGTCAGTTGCTCAATTGAATAGTCATCGAGATCGAAAGTCTAGCACTAAAAAACTGTTTAAATACAATACAATCGAATGTTTACCTATGTATTTTCGATAATGAACTTGAATACTTGATGTTGAAGCAGATATGGTAAAGTAAATGATCTGAAAAGCTGATCTACAATATTAAATAATTTTTAAATGTTTTAAATTTTAGTTTATTGCAGATGTGGTTCGAAAAGAGAGATGATTATTAACACAAAAAAATGCGATCTAATACAAACAATAATATAGATTCCAATTGTAAGGGCAAAAAATGATCTTTTAAGTGTTGTTACGATGGATTCTAAGAACTAGTTTGAGAGGACATTTCTAGCATTAGGACGAGTGTCATTGATAGATATCGTCTAAGCTTTATTTTCTGAATTAACCGCGAAATAACCTAACCTTAACCTAACCTGGAGTTGTAATCCACAAAAAACTTAAGCGGTAGGCATTAAAAATTATTGGAAACTACGTGAGCTACGTGGTTCGATGGAGCCTACAAAAGTTGCGCTCAATGTTTCAAACTTTTTAGGCTTATCTGTAGTACTTTTAAAGCAACGCCTATGTGTAGCGTCCATTTTTCCCCCTACACGTTCATGAAATTAGCCCGGAAGGAGTCTCTTTGGAAAACTCCGGCACAAAAATGCACAAGGATGAAAATGTGCCGGCCAATTTGATCCAGGCCACGAATAATAGACTCTTACTCTATGATACAAGGGCAGCGAAAGCGGAAGCAATGCATTTGTAAGCCATTTTTCATAAAGAAGTGGACTTTTCTTTAGATATAAGCAAACTAGTGGTCTTCTTTTTATATGTATAAGTAATAATGTCAAATTTGTCTCCCCAATTAAGCTTATTGCCAATAAATATAGTATCTGTTAATACAAATGGTTGTTTTGATTTTATATATACTTTTCAGTTATTCATTTGACCAATTTAACAAATAAATTCAAAAAGCGGTGAAATCGATTCCACAGCCGATAGGCAGTGCTAAAAATCGAAGTAGGCCAAACGATGCTATCGATGGTCTTACTCGCTGGCAGTCCATCTCTAAACAGCTGTTTTGTTTAACAAAACACAATTCTTTGCCAATTGTTTACAAAAACACTCGATAAGAAGTTAATCAAACAATTAGAGAGCGGTTGAAGGCTGGCCAATCTAAGACAGAACTATTCCATAAGTGATGGACAGCCAGGTAAGTGGGCAGAAGTACTTACGCCTGTTAAATACCCGACCGAAAATTTAGTAACTACTACTTGTTTACCTGTGACTGTGGCAAAATTATCGCTGCACAGCAATTAGTTGTACTTATCAAGGCGCCCATTGTGATAAATCTAAATACACAAGCAATAGCGTGTCTCCAGTATTTGGCCACTGCCGCAGAGTGACGTAATTGCGTTGGGGGCGTTGCCTTTGTTTCCATTTCATCGAGATAATAAATATACATTTTATGTTTTGCCCAGGCACCGATCGATGATCTACTGCTGGACATTGTAGACAATGCTTGGCGCATGGAAGTTCTGCCCTTCGACCAGATTCTAGTACCACGCGAAAAGCTACCCGATCCAGAGGCGGACGGCGGTGATTCACACCTGACTGTAAGCGAGCAGGTAAGAAATTGTTATGGGATTCGGGAAGTAAATCTCTTATTTTAATTCTTTCGCTTCCGGCAGGAGCAAAAGTGGACTGATCTGGCGTTGGGCTCACTGGCCCCAGACGCAGCACTCATCGATCAGCTCAACATCACCTCTATCTAACCAAGGACCGTGAGTCCACGGGCGAGCGCCACCGCCTCGCCCACCAGCCTGTTGGCGCCTCAGGCCCAACTATTAACACCCCGGCAACATGACTAGCAACAACCAGAGCACCACCTTGAACCACCAGCACCTGCATTCGCCCTCCAAACTCACCGAATTCGCCCGCAACTTCGAGGACAAGCCGGAGACGCTCTTCGGCCGGGTAGTGAACAAGATCCAGAATGTCTATAACCAGAGCTACAACACCGTCAATGACATATCCAGCGGGAGCAGCAGCAGTGCCTCCTCGCAGTCCGTGCAAGCGGTTGGCAAGTCGCAGTTCTTCAGTGAGACCCAGACGCCCGCTCCTGAGGTCGTCGATGTGGAGACTGCAAGCGTGAGCTCGGTCCGCCCGCAGCCACCAACCACGCTCAGCATAAGGACCAATAGTGAGTCACGAAGCACGGGCACCTCTAGCAACACCGCCGCCGAGGATTCGGAGGCCAGTGAGCGCGTCGAGGCGCTGCCGATGCCGATCAGCGAAGCGAATCAGGGGCGCACCGTTTCCAATGTGCTCAAGCACATCAGCAATATTGTGGCTACAAAAAACAATAATGTGAGTAAAAGTTTGGTTTCCATTATCGCCTAAACAAAATAAAAAAATATGGAGAGGAAATGAATCACAGCAATATTTTAGATATTCTTTAACAGATATGTATGTTGACTAATTGGTGGCTGAAAATATCTTGAAATTGCCTTAAAATATATTTTTCAGCCAAGGGGATAAGTTGAACAATATAAAGTGAATATAAATAATTTTATTATTTACAAACTACAAAGTTAAAAGACTTAAATTTAACTTCATTTGCTGTTGTCGCAAAGGCAAATGATGTATTTTGGTTAAGTTAAATTTATAAAGATAATATTTTTTAATTTTTTGGATACGTATAACTATTTCATCTATGAATTTCTTTTCAGGATCTGCGTAACTATAAGGACACAGAGCTGCAGCGCTTCTGGATGCCCGATTCGAAGGCCAAGGAGTGCTACGACTGCTCCCAGAAGTTCTCCACCTTCCGGCGAAAGCACCACTGTCGGCTATGTGGCCAGATCTTCTGCTCCAAGTGCTGCAACCAGGTGGTGCCCGGCATGATCATCCGCTGCGATGGTGACCTCAAGGTGTGCAACTACTGCTCCAAGATAGTGCTGACCTTCCTGAAATCCTCTAGCTCTGAGATGGGCCAGGACCTGCAGGCACTGCAGCAGCACTTGAGTAACAAACTGGAGGTCCAAGACAGTGGCACGCCGCATGCGAAGCATCCGGAGCAGCAAAGGGCACCGCTTTCCCGGAAGACATCCGTTGGCTACCAGGAGGAGCGATTTAGTTCGCATCCTACGTACACCACCCTTTCCATTGACGATCGCAAGAACATTCTGCAGCAGTCAAACTCTTTGATTACGCTGCACGAGGAGATGCAGCGGGACCTGCCCGCCCAAAACTGTGGCCAGCGTCTGATCGAGTTCCTCAACAGCAATAACAAGTCAGCAAACGAGGTACAGGCAGTGGCCATACTGAATGCAATGCTGGCTGCTGGGTTCCTTGAGCCCATCGTTCCGGATCCCGAGCAGATGGAGTTTGATCCAACGCTGCACTACAAGTTCTCCAAAAGCAGTAGCTCGGATACATCCCGTACGATCAGTCCGCAGTTTGAAGCAGCTCCCCATGCGGAGCCACAGCCACCCAAATCAATGGATCAATCAGCTGAAGAAAAGGAAAAGGAGCTGGAAAACGAACTTGAGAACGATCGGTGCTTTACCACAGCCACTTCCAAGCTTCTCGGATCCTACTGCGAGCACGAAGAGCAGCTGCTGGCGCAAATGTTGCGCGCCCATAACCTGGACCAGGAATGGGACAAGGTGCTCCAGATGCTCTGCTCCACAGCAGCCAATCACTTCAAGCCGGAGCACTGCACGAACGATCTGATGGACATTCGCAACTATGTGAACTTTAAGAAGGTGCCGGGTGGCAGACGCAAGGACTCGAAGATTGTTCATGGGGTAGCCTTCTCTAAGAACGTGGCTCACAAGGACATGGCCACAAGTGTTGAATTTCCCCGCATCCTGCTGCTACAGTGTCCTATCGTCTATGAGCGTATTGAGGGCAAATTCGTGACTATAGAGACGGTGCTGCTGCAGGAGAAAGAGTATTTGCGCAATGTCTGTGCCCGCATCATGAGCTTCACACCCAACGTTGTGCTCGTCCACAAGAATGTGGCAGGCATTGCTCAGGATCTTCTCAGATCCTATGGAGTAACCCTCGTCTTGGATGTGAAACTCTCAGTGATGGAACGTCTGTCACGTACTTTGCAGTGCGACATCGTCAGTTCCATCGAGTCGAATATAACCATGCCCAAGCTGGGCTACTGCAATGAGTTTTACATACGCAACTACAATGGAAAGACGCTTATGTTCTTCGAAAAGCTAACTAATCCCCGGGGATACACCTGTCTTCTGCGGGGAGGAAGCAATGCGGAACTCACAAGGGTCAAGCGTGTGGCTTCGGCGCTGCTTTTCGCCCGCTACAACTGGCGTTTGGAGATGTCTTTCTTGCTGAATGAGTTCGCCCAGCCGCTTAGTCCCAAGCCTTCGATTTTCGACTCTAAGGAAACCAGTCCCAAAACGGAAACAGAGGCGGAACTTCGGGCTAAACGGCCTGCTATTTTAGAGCGCAAATCGGAGGATAAGATAACCACCATTATCAGCGAGAATGTGCCTGATTTTACGGATCCACTGCGTGCGAGCCAATCCGAGGCCTTGTCCACTTTACCATGTGCCTTACCAGTGGTGGAGGCCCTGGCCGTGGAACAGCGTTACGATAATAGATTCCGCACAGCACTCAGCTCCACGGTGCTCTCTGTCAGCCCCTTCCTCACATTCCCACTTCCTTATTTGGAGACCGAGCAGGGTCGAAAATGCAAGCTGCGCAAGCTGTTTCCGGCCGAGCTGTACTTCTCCAAGCAATGGTCACGTACGGGATTGGAAAGGCCAGATAGCACGGGAGACACCGAAGCGGCCAAATCGGAGCCGGGCAACAAAGAGAACCAGCTGCAGTTGCTTCCGGCTCATGATTTTGTGCAGATGAAGATCACGGCGCCTGCAAGCAGTCGCGACATTCAGTCTAAGCTGGCCGAATTCCGGTCCTTCGGAGGTCGCTTACCCAAGGGCAAGGCTCCCAGTAAGCACAAAATCTTAGCCATCTATGAATTCATATCAATATCACTCCTTTATCCCACAGTGCTTCGGCCGAAGAAAAAGAACGCGGAGGTCATTCAGCGGCCGCAAAAGGTCAGCGAGGAGCAGCTGTACAAGGATGCCCTGGATCCGCAGAACCACCAGCGGCTTCCGGTGCTCTTCTGCAGTTTCCACTACAATCCAAAGGGCGTGTCCTCCTTCTGTAAGCTTCCCATGCTTCTGGACATGAAGTTTTACGGCCAGTATGATATCATGCTAGAGCAATTCCTCCAGCGTTACTGTTGTCTCTTCAACTCGATGTGCCCATCCTGCAATCTGCCGATGCTGGGTCATGTGCGTCGGTATGTCCACTCGCTGGGTTGCGTCCATGTTTACCTAACCGAGGACTTAACCCGTTCCGACCCGAAGCGTATATACTTCACCTCTTGGTGCAGTATATGCAATGCCACCACTCCCACGATTCCGCTCGCCGATTCCGCAAAGTGCCTATCGCTGGCCAAATACCTGGAGATGCGTTTCCATGGCCACGCCTACAAACGACGGCCTCTCCTGGCGGACGCAGAGCAGGGCGGCAGTCCATGCGAGCACTCCTTGCATCGTGATTATGTGCACCACTTTAGCTTCCGCGGAGTGGGCGCCAAGTTTCAGTATACGCCTGTTGAGGTCTGGGAAACGGATCTCCCTTCGCTGACTTTGCAGCTGGATCTTCCGAAACCCTTTCCCAGCTCCCAAGCCCAGGAGGAGATCAAGAACTTCTCGGTGCGGGGTCACGAGGTGTACAACAGGATTCACGAGCGTATTGCTGACCTCGCCACCGAGGAGGAGAACTCGCCGCTGGTGCAGCAACTGAAGACCATGCTCACCCACGACCAGTTCATCTTCAAGCAAAAGATCGAGATCGTGCACACGCTGCTCACGGATAACAGGGCCACCGCCTTTGATACCTGCGATGCCTTGGCCATGGCGCGGAGAGCTCTGGCCGAGAGCATCGAGCTGTGGGGTCCGCGGTTGCAGGAGATCGAGAAGCTGACTGCCAAGCAGGCGCATCACATCGACTCCGGGACCATCTGCACGGAGGAACTGAGGCCGGAGCAGGTCCAGTCGGTGGACTCCTCCAAAGCTGCCAGCTCTAATTTGTCAAAGGATAGTGAAGCCTTGGAGTGTCCAAGCGAAGACACCGAAACCATTGCATCCAGCAGTCAATCGATTTTGGACAAGAAATTCTCTATTGACCAGCTCCTGGCCTCCACCGTGAATGGGTATTCGGATAAGAAGTCGATCAAGAAGATTCTCACCCAGCTTTTGCCCTCGGCCAATCAGGTTAATCCGCTGCAGTCCCCTTTTCCCGCGCAGGATCACCTTACGCTGCCATTGGGTAGCATTCCCATTCACGTTCGAGAAACAGATCTGAGTTCCGTGATTGCTTATAGTCTGACCTCTGCGGACTATCAAAGGGCAATAGATGAGGTGGAGGCCAACTCCTCTGCATCCCATTCAAGTCCCCAGCTGAAGCGGAAGATTCCGCTGGGGGAGAGCCAAAGTGATGCCGAGGACAGTCCGAGCCTATCGCGCACTTCGAGCAACACCAGTGCCGCCAACAATGCGCCTGTTCCTCCTCCAGCTGCCGCTCCTCCGGCTGCCGAACCCGAGGAGAAGAGCAAGGAGCGCACCAAGCAGCCGCCGAGTGCACATATCACACTGGCGTTCCAGGACGGCAGTTGCCAGTTCCAGTGCAAGATATATTTTGCCCGAGAGTTCGATGCAATGCGGTCCAAGAACTTGAAGCCGCCAAAGCTGGACAAGTCCCTGTACCGCCGGCTGGAAAGGAGCAAGATGCGCGAGGAGCTAAGAATCTCACAGAGTCGCACCGGGTCCGAAATGGAGCTGGTGCGCAAGCCCAGCGACGTTGGAGGTCCTCGGAACGCCGAGGAGGAGTCGAATCTTGAAGAGGACGCTAGGATAGCTCTAGCGCGAAGCCTTTGCAAAAGCGTCCAGTGGGAGGCGAGGGGCGGCAAATCGGGATCCCGCTTTTGCAAGACGCTGGGTAAGCTACAGCATAAATACAATACGCATCCCAATTCTTATTAGCGTTTATTACCACCAGATGATCGCTTCGTGCTCAAGGAAATGAACTCCAAGGACATGACCATCTTTGAGCCATTTGCTCCGAAATATTTTGAATACATCGAGAGGTGCCAGCAGCAGCAGCTGCCCACTCTGCTGGCCAAGATCTTTGGCGTCTTTAAAGTCAGCGTGAAAAAGAAGGAGTGAGTTTTGTTAATTATATATGTCAATTTCCGTTGATAACCCTAAACACTTTCTGAACTTTAGCTCCTTTGTGGAACGTTCGGTGATGGTCATGGAGAATCTGTTTTACGGCTGCGAAATCGAGAACAAGTTCGATTTGAAGGGCTCAGAGAGAAATCGATTGGTGGATCCCAGCAACCAGCAAGGAGAAATTGTCCTGCTGGATGAGAATCTAGTGCAGAGTTAGTTGTTCTTCTCCACAAGTCTCTTGAACTTTACAAACTTAACTTTAATATGTTACAGTGTCCTGGTCGAAGCCTTTGTATGTTCTGTCCCACAGCAAAACAGTCCTTAGGGATGCCATACAGCGAGATTCCTCCTTCCTGGAGAAGAATCTCGTCATGGACTACTCACTTTTGGTGGGTTTGGACAAGAAAAACAGCGTTCTGGTTTTGGGAATAATAGGTAGAATTTAGAGCTCAATTAACTCTTTGAATTGCGATACTTAAAAATTTTTACATTATAGATTACATTCGCACCTTCACCCTGGATAAACGAGTGGAATCAATTATCAAGGGATCGGGCATCCTGGGCGGCAAGGGCAAGGATCCCACGGTAGTCAATCCGGAGCGCTACAAGCAACGCTTCATCGACGCCATGGATCGCTACTTCCTCACAGTTCCGGATCGGTGGGAGGGCCTCTCCAAGGTCTGATCCCCGACACCACCCACACAAAGTGCACACACTAGTTAACATAGCTGTAGACGCAATAAAGTGGACGCCAATCCAACTCAATCCGATTCCACAACACTTTGTCAGTAAGCATTTCCTATGCCGCAGGCGAATTGATTTAGCCTTGACCCGCATCCGCATCCACACCCGCAGCCCGGAAGCCACCGCTGCTCATGACAATTGAAAGCCATGTACTCCGGAGTTGCGTGCCAGGTGAAAAGGAAATTATTATCATGATGGAGACCGCGTCGCGAAATGAAATCGTTAAGAGGCGAGTAAATCAGGCGAATGAGCTCGTTGGAGCCTCATAAGCATGGTTTCATTAGCGAGGCGTCAAAACGCCGCGAACTGGGTTAAAGAACTCAACTCTGACAGCTGCAGCGGGTGGCCAAAATCGGAATCAAAACACCATTTCATATTCAAATCAACTGCAGCTGGCAGTCTTTGATTTCGGTGAAATAGGAGGAGGAGTAGGAGGAGCGGCCGGCCATAAACTGCGCGATTGCATGCAGCAGCACTTAGAGCTCAGCCCAAAAATAAAATCACCGCCATTGTTGTAATCCCCCAGTGACACCTCAAGTCAGTCGCCGTGGGAAAATGTTGGAGAGGCAGAAGCGCAGTGGAGTTGGTGGAAAAAGGTGGGAAAGTCGGAAAGTTGGCGTGCGAAAACTGGCTAACTTCTTGGTGGCGCACACTGCCGCCATTCAGTTGGGATTTACGATCTGAGCGGTCAAGTTGTGGTGCGGCGAGCTGCGCTTGAATGGCGCCAATTGCGGTTCGGCGTGGTCGGAGGGATTGGGCTTGTGGCCAGCCGCTGGAGAAGGGTGTGCCCACCACGAGTGCTCCAAGTGTTCCCAAAGTGCAGACTCATTTAATGTTTAATTAAAGTGCAGCCCCCGATAAAAGGAAACTAACTATGGCGATTGCCTACGACTGGAAAAGCAGCGATGGGTAAGGAGGCAGTCTAGACAAGTTTTCTACTATCACAGTTTTACATTAAATATTTGGTATTAACTGACCCCGTTTAGCAGGTTCTTAAAGGGCTAACAAGTTAAAGTAGCACAAAAATCCTTTTCCTTTTATTGTGCTATAAATTGACCCAATTTAGTTCTTAAAGTTGTTTCATGTGTATACCTATGAAAGTCCTTATCCCCTATTTTACTAAGAAATATACTCACCAAATTTTCACTTTAAAGTGGCTTGTACTAAGTAAAACTTTGCTGAAAGGAAATACAGCAATATTTTATTAAAATTGTACAATTGGAAACAAAAATGCTTTTATCGGTTAACAAATATAAATAAACTGTTTTAATTTAACCCATTTTGTTACTTTTAAGCCGTTTTAATAAAATCAAAAGGACTTTAAACCCCTTTTTCCTTACGTGTTTGTTTTGCAACTGATTTAAAGTGAGCGTTGTTAGAACTAATCGAAATCCCGGTTGCGGCTGACCTTGTCTTGTTTTTTTTTGCTGTTAACATAATGGTGCATTCTTGTTTATTGCATTACGTATACGCCCTGTGGCGTGACTAGGCTGTGTAACAGCAATTAAATAGTCATAAATCTGCGTTTGTAATTATGTGTGTCCAGGTATCGCAATGGCCAACTGATTAGCATATTTAAATGGGTTGCGTTACGTTGGCCCGCTTTAAAAATAGCCAAAGGTCATTTGGCATTGTCAAGATTAGTCGTTCGCTGGACTTTCATTGCGAAGTCCCAAGACGTCTACCATGGGTCGAAAGTTCGTTCCGAAATTGGGTCAGACTGTGGGCCCCAGTTTCGTGCAGCCCTTTTATGTTCCTGTCTGTTTCCGCTTCTGGTTCTGATTCGGCCAGTGAATCACGCACACTCCCCCGCATCATGCAATGGAATGTGGATTACGGATAACTCAACATTTTGGCAGCCATCAATTATAATTACTAGGCTGGCACAAATGCTCCACACACGTGAGGGCTTTAACTTCGTTGCGAAAACTTGAAATGCCGATGTGTGCCGAAAGTAAGTACGCCAGCAACAGGTGTTTGTGGTCACATTTAGCCCGGATCCGGGCATAAAAAAGTGCAATTTGCATGCGCGCAGGTTCACCTTTGACTGGCAATCCTTGTGCATTTTTAATGGCTTGCTTGCCAACTCGCTGGGCGACGAGTCCTTGGCAATGCCTCAACAAAAAACTCATTTCCGGATATGGATTACCAAGGACCTCCGCCGAAGCGACTACGGGCGTTGTCAGGACTAACAAAAGTCGGCGATTCCGTGAGCTATTGATTGGCATTGATTGGTGTGGGCGAGGATTCATATATGACCAGGAGCAGTTTTGATAAAAAACGGGCATACAGCCTATATAATATTTTCCTACATTTTTTTTGGCTAGGAAATTGAAATAATTTGTATTGGTGCAATAAAAATTAGAGGAAATGAGCGCTATTTCTAATTTACTTCTTAAGGCCAATCTTTAAAGAATTTGTTTATCTCAAAATGGGATATATTTTAGAATACTTAATTCAAGGGATAGTCAACAGGCATTCAAATTTAAAATTTTTTTTTTCTACGAGTTGCAAACCCGAAAAAACCCTCAGATCGACCCTGTCTTGAACCACCAGCTGCTCCCGTCGAATCCAATAGACAATTTTCTAATTTGCAGCAATTTTATCCTTTTCCTATTCATTAGTTTGTTTACAAAGGTTTGTGAGTGTGCCTAGAAACATGGTCGAGGCACGCCATGGGCTGCAAATGGAAATGGAGGTACAGGTGGATGTGGATGTGGAGAAATGCCTTTAGTCAGAAGGCGTCTCCACCTCCGCCCCGCCGATCCCAGACATTATCCATTGCAATTGGAAAAGGTCGAGGGGAGATGGAACAGTTTGTGCCCCCGTTATTAAGGAACCTACCTGTTATTTGGTTGTGGTGGCGACCACCAGCGATAACCGTAACTTTTTCGCTCAGTTGGCAGTTAAAGACAAGACGAAGCGGATGTTCCTCGTAGATTCGGGGGATCCTAAACAGACTTTTACCATTCCGCAGCTTTGATGCCGACTTCGGCTGGAACCGCTCCTTCTCCGAGCCGGATCTCACAGCCAACCAGAAGCAGGGCGACCTCAGCCGGTTCGCCATCAAGCATCCGCACGAGTACATAGCCGTCGATGACCTCAAGTACTTCCGCCGCCGCCAGCCCGTCCATCTGCACACCCGGAGCAACGTGTGCCTCCACAGCGGCGATGAGCCAGTGCCCAGCTTCGGCTCTTTGAAGTCCGAGTACCGCAAGCAGTTCCGTGGCACCCAATCCCGTCCAAGATCCTTGCTGCGGCGCGCGACCTCGCTGCGTCTGGAGGGATTCATGCAGCTGCTGTCGGAGCACCAGGAGAAATACCACTGGTACACGCCCGAGGACCTGCGATTGTGAGTATACCATTACGTAACACTGAATTAATCATAGGAATTAATACAAGTTTAAGATATACATTTGTATCATTTCTATACAATAGCATTCGTTAGATTTGGTAATCCTTTAGCTTGTGGTTTTCTCTAAGGATCAGGTTTATATAAGCGAAAACGATACGTTTTTATAAAAGATTACAGGGCTTATATAGAAATTCACATAGGTCCAGTTGGGGTAATTACATACAAAAATTCGAACTTATGTTTAACTTTATATTTTAGTTTCATACATATATTTTTTATTATTTATTATCCAGATCAGTAAGAGTCTTAAAAAATTGCTCAAATCGATATTTTAGTTTTTTAATCTTAAAGCATACCTATCCTTAATGCTAATGTTTACCAACGAAAAGTTTCACTGCTATTTATTATAATGATTCTCTAAATATTCAATCAAATTTAAAGTAGAAAATCGATTATATTCAATCCGAGCAAATCGATTTGTGGTTGAATAAGGGCTAATCAAAAGTAATTTGGTTCCCCAGCTCCCGCACTTTCCCCGTTCGCAATCCGGAGAACCTGCAGTTGGGAGAGGGAGGCGGGGCCACTGATGGAATGAAGAACTCCTCGTACCTCATGCTGGACCCCAGCACCAAGATACTGCCGCGGGAGGTGTTCCTCGACGAGTCCGAGGTGGCGGCCAGGAGCCAGCCGAATGGCAAGCTGGCGGCGGACAAGTTCCGACGGGATGTGGCCGCCCAGGAGCAGCTGCGGTGTCACCTGCAGATGAGGGCCCAGGCCGTGGACAGGGAACAGCAGGGCCAGGTGCCCGAGCCCTCCGAGTACCGCCGCCAGTTCGTCCAGCAGTTCCCCGAGAAGGCGCACTCCATTCCCCAGATGAGCAGCATCAAGATCCAGGGCGAGTTCGTGGCCGTGCCGGAGTACAGGGACAGCTTCCGGATGTATGCCAACTACTCGAAGAGCGCCCCCATCAAGAAGGACGACAACCTGCGCGTCTCCGGCTCCGAGGCGGCCTGCGAGCCCAGTGCCGAGGTGCCGGAGTACCGCGACAAATTCATCGACCCACCCAAGCACGTGGCCAAAGAGAAGTCCCTCAAGACGGACGATCACCTGCGTCCGCGCGGGGAGTTCACCAAAGAGATTCCCGAATACCACGAGAGCTTCCGAGACCCGCAGATCACTGAGATGCCGGAACGGGGAAAGCCCCGGGAGCCCTTTCTCCGGCTGCGCGGCAAGATTGAGTTCAATCCGGAGTACAGGAACAACTACCAGGACTTTCCGCGCTCGCGTCCCGTCGTCCAGAAGCCCACCTCCTGCTTCCGGCTGCCCACCTCAGGCGTCACTCACCAGCCGGATGAGGAGCTGGAAGCGCCCGTCCTGGTGACAGTTCCTTCATCGGAGGTAACGGCCACGCCGGAATACCGCCGGGCGCAGTACAACTATCAGCTGAGGGAGCGCCCCAGGGAGATGGAAGGGGCTGCCGGAGGACCGGGGAATCTCCGCAAGAGCTCCGATTCCTCCCTGGAGGCGAGGCAACCGCAGGTTCAGATGCCCCACAAGCGCAGGACTTCGCGTCAGCGGCAAGCAAAGGAGACGGAGCAGCCGATGGCGACCAGGTTCGAGGACGTTGGCGGCAATGGGGCCAAGAAGCCCGCCAGATACGGCCGACGAGCCTCCGTCCTCCAGAACGCCGCCAGTTGCCGCGAGAACTCCTCGATCATCGAGGGGAATCCCAAGTACGCCGTGGGATGTCGCCGGGCCAAGCAGCCGGCCGGAAGTCAGACGCAGCCCGGAGCCTTCGTGGTGCTCGAGGAGCCCTGCAAGCCTTCCAACTGGATGAAGAAGACCTGGTACGACTCCTAGGTCCCGCATCTACGCCTAAACTAGAGTATTCTGTTTTAAATCTGTCTATTGTAAAGGAATAAATACAAAATCAAAAAAAAAAAAAAATCAATGGAAATATTTCAACAAGGTTCGAACTTTTAAGGTTGGCCGGTTTAAAGTTATTAACTTGACTAACAACCTTTTGTAGAAGAATAAATACAAATTGAAGGAAAATAATTCAACAAGCAGTACAAATTTCTAAAGTTGTTAGGGCTAAATTTAAGTTAATAACAACCTTCTCTGGAAAAATAAATACAAATTCACAGGAAATATTTCAACCACCAGTTTGATTTTCTAAAGTTGTTAGGGCCTACAGAAAAGTTAATAAAAACCTTTTCCGAAAGAAATAATCGACTGTTAAGTCTTAAGCATTTTAATATGCTTGATTTTGATCAGGTTATTTAGTTTTAACTTAAATTATACCTTGAAATTTTAAAATCTACCTCACTCATGGCGCAAAAAGGTAAACAAACAGGGAACTTCTCACCTCAAAAATGTTTGGCTCACTTTTATCTTATCTGCGATAGTGATTAAAAGAGAGCGGTTACTCATAGTGGTTCAGTATCACCGCGGATTTCGCAAGCTACAGATGCGAAGAGGGAGTTAATTGCACTGGATTCAGAAGGGGACTGCCACAGGAAGTCGAATCATGGCAGACACGGCGGTCCATGCCGCCAGTCCTCCGCCCCACATACTTGGTTACACCATTCGCAGTCGCACCCGGATTTGGGTTTCCTACATTGTGCCCACATGCCTGGGTCTCCTAGTTTACATAGTCCAATCTGCCTCGGATTTGGCTTTGGGTTGCCAGTACTTCAGACAGAAGGAGCCGGCACTGGGAGCTGGCACCCTGGTCCTGGTGATCCTTCCTCCGCTGATCACCTTCATCCTGGTGGCGGCTTCGAGGGAACAGCGGGAATGCGCCTGTTCGGACCGGAATAAATGCGCTGCCCTTGGCATTGGACTACTTAAGCTCTTGCTGTTCCCCCTCTTCGTGATTTACAGGTGAGTCGATGGGGCTGAATGTGGGTCACCACCGCAATTAACAACCTTTCCCGATAAGGTTTTCTACGCGCTTGTTTTGGGCCATCGAGGGACTCTTCCACGACGACGACGATGTGGAGCGCATGAAGTGCTTGGCCAAGGCCACGCAAACCTCCAACATCGAGCTGTATCTCTTGATCCAAGCCTACGCACAGGCAGCTCCCCAAATCATCCTGCAGCTGTACCACATGCTCAGCCAGGATTTGTTCCGGAACTATGAGACTTGTGAGAAATTTATCAATGCCCAAAACCATCTTGATATTTATTTGGATCCCCTCTTTCAGCTGCTGTTCAGGCCATGTCCCTGGTGTTCTCGGCCATTGATCTGGCCGCCATAACCACTAGTTACCACAGGATAGAGAGCCAGCGGAGGGTGGGTCGCCATTATCCCTGGGCCACGCCCCAGCAGGTGGACACCCATCGCTGCCAGTTGGAGCAAAACGAACGCCTCTGCTGCGAGGCAGAGCGAAAGAAGCGGGAGTCGGAACGAACCATCACTAGCTTCCCGGAGTCGGACAAGATCATGGAGAACTTTCGGGCCCGCAGGTCACTGAGAATTCCAGGCGAAGCCACCCACGAGCTGCACATTCGGGGGGAAGATGAGGTGGACAACGATGGTTTGGAGCAGCTGGAAACGCGGGCATTGCTGCACTCTGGACCCAAGGACAATGCCACGGATGAGGAGAAGATACAGGGCGCCAGGCCCAAGTTAAAGGTGAGATACGAGGACCTGGGGGATTTGGACACCATCGAGGTTTTGGACAGCATTCCCGAGACACCGGCGCCCCCACCTCCACCCAAAACAGCGCCACCTGAGTTGCCTGTTCGGAGGGCAGCAGAAGATGATCCTCCAGCGCCTGATTTGCGACGAACCATGTCGGACAATGACCCCCGAAAGAGTCGTCGCATCACCAGACCTCTGTCCCAGCTGGAAACCTTTAAGGACATGCTCCTGGTTAACGCGCAGCTGTTCATCAAGGATAATGTCCCACATCCACCCAAGCTGCTGATGGGCAAGGTCAAGGAAGAGGATCCAGAGGAGCAGAGGGTACTGATTCCACAGTCACCGAAGCCATCTCCACTGACACCCAAGGACGTGGTGGACTTTTACTTCCCGCGACCCACCAAGATAGTGAATGGCATCCAGCAGGATGACTTCGCCGGCAGGACAGTGTCCTTCTTCGGATGGATTGCCTTCATCACCATGAGGATGCTGGCCCTGTCCACCTTCTGTGTCTTCTACCCGAGGGCCTTCATCATCCTGGTCGGAGTGCATTACGCCCTCATGCTGGGCTGCCTAGCCCTGGAGACCCGATGTCGTGGTGGCTGGAGTCGCAACCTGTTCCTCCTGCTCCTCGCCTACATATACATCTTTGTGCTGATGGAATTCCGGGTGTGCTTCAAGAACATCCGGCTGTGGTACGGTGGTTATCTGGTGCTCACTTTGGTGGAAAACATAACCATTTCATCCATTTGGTATACAAACGAGGAGTTCGAGTCCTGGTGGTTCGGCTTCATCTGGGAGTGGATCGTCTACAGTGGAGTCCTGTTTCTGGCCACCTTAATCGTCTACTACTGGATCCTGCGACCCAAGGAAGTGTCGCTAATAGTGGAGGACGACTCGCCAGCGGATCAGGCGGCGACTCCAGAGGAGCAGGCCGTTGCCTAGCATTGACCAGGTTGTTTGTTGGATCGAAGTAGCTGTAGCTTGTTAGCCGTCAGTCTGTTACTGGCAAACGAATAAATTATTTACCCTTGTATTAGTACCAAACTATTGCAAGACTTGTTGTGAAATGGTTGATCGTGGCAATAACTTGGTACTCCCAGTGGGTCCATGCACCTCGGAGCTCACAGAATCGCAGGCCAGCTATGCTCCCCCCAAAATCAAGAAAGTTTTGCGTAAGTTTGGTTTAGTTGGATGCTAGAATTCTGTTGATGCTCTAATTCACTAGCCACTAGGGGAAATCGGATGGAGCAGTTCCTTTGGCAAGAGCTCTTCGCGGAGTACAACCGACAGGCTTCCGTTCCGGTTGACCTGGGGGAGGACCGCACGGAGTACTACGACCAATTCTGCAAGGATGTGCCGCCAAAGAACGAGGAGACCGAGGAGGTCCTGATCAACAAGTACCCGCTGTATTGCACCTCGGCCGTTACCGTGTGGAACCACGATGGAGATGTCACCAGGACCTTTAAGAGAAAATATTCCATAACCAAACCCATTCATGAGTGCACCGAAAAGTTTGCACTTTAAAAGTATCTTCTCCGAATTAAGCTGTGTAAAATTGTTACCTTTTCTAAACATAAGGTCCCAAAACAGCTACTACCTCTTTTGAATTGAAATATAATTATCCTGGCAACTCAAACGATTCTTTTAAGATTAAGTAATTTCCTTAGTCTAATTAGGATTTTAAAAATGCAGTCGAATTGTAATTATACTGCAGTCAAACCAAAAATGTATAATTATTTCTGTTTTTTGATCAAAACCCCGGGAAATAATTGTCTGATGTTGGAATGTCATACCTCGTTGAATTCGTTATGAAATTTCCAATCGGGTGGCATTCACAGCTAAAAAATTTCAAATCAGTCGATTTTTGGCAAATATTAATGATGTAACCCCTTATCAGAAATGCCAAAAACCGGAGATCCGGAAAAACCCACTTTTATTTCGGTTCTTTGATCAAAACCCTGGGAAATGATTGTCAGATGTTGGAATGCCACACCTCGTTGAATTCGTTATAAAATTTCCAATCGGGTGGCATTCACAGCTAAAAAATTTCAAATCAGTCGATTTTTGGCAAATTTAATATTTATATATATATGATATATATATGATATATATATGATATATATAATTATCAAAAATGCCAAAATCCGGAGATCCGGAAAAACCCACTTTTATTTCGGTTTTTTTATCAAAACCCTCGAAAATAATTGTCAGATAATGGAATGCCATACCTCGTTGAATTCGTTATAAAATTTCCAATCGGATGGCATTCACAGCTAAAAAATTTCAAATCAGTCGATTTTTGGCAAATATTAATGATGTAACCCCTTATCAAAAATGCCAAAATCTGAAGATCCGGAAAAACCCACTTTTATTTCGGTTTTTTTATCAAAACCCTGGGAAAAAATGGTCAGATGTTGGAATGCCATACATCACTGAATTCGTTATAAAATTTCCAATCGGATGGCATTCACAGCTAAAAAATTTCAAATCAGTCGATTTTTGGCAAATATTAATGATGTAACCCCTTATCAAAAATGCCAAAATCTGAAGATCCGGAAAAACCCACTTTTATTTCGGTTTTTTTATCAAAACCCTGGGAAAAAATGGTCAGATGTTGGAATGCCATACATCACTGAATTCGTTATAAAATTTCCAATCGGATGGCATTCACAGCTAAAAAATTTCAAATCAGTCGATTTTTGGCAAAATCCGAAGATCCTGAAAAACCCACTTTAATTTCGGTTTTTTTTATCAAAACCCTGGGAAATAATTGTCAGATGTTGGAATGCCATACATCACTAAATTCGTTATAAAATTTCCAATCGGATAGCATTCACAGCTAAAAAATTTAATTTCATTTTTTTCACCTATTTAATCTGAGTATATAATTAATTTATTTATTATGAGTTTATTTAAAAGCGACTGATATAACCATTCGTTGGTGCAGTGGAAACGACTTGCTGAATATAGGAAAACCTTGGAAACGTATTCAAAACATATGTATTAGACAAAAAATGCTTAAATTCTTCAGAAACTTCTACCGATCAGAATGATGTAAAATATTCAAGCATATACTTTTATTTATTTTTAAATATATATTTCAGCATTTAAATTAGTAAGTGCATTTGAAATAGTTAACAGCGCGCAAAAACTGGAGTGGAATCGTTAACAGTGGCACTCATCGATACACCGATGTCTGAAAACATCGATAAAAGCGATATCATCGAATCTTCCCACCTCTAACCGCTGACGTGTATTAAGTATCGGTGGACCAGGCGGTGATTTTTGAGCGATTGCATTTTATTTTCCTATAGAATTTAAGCGGCGTGTGGAAGCGCAACGACCAAATAGGAAAATGTTCAAGTTAGGTGCGTAAGTTGGGCGGTGTTTCGAACGAAAATTGTGGCTTTTAGGCCGCCTTTTAGAAAAACGCCGGCTGCCAACTCGCAGCCCTCTCTAGCTGTCTCTGTCTGATTCTCGTGGTTAAGCGATTGCCGGCGACTTGGAATTCATGGTTTTTCCGATTCCGCTTCACCCCCAGGTCTGATCGTCCTCTGCGTAATGGTCGCCTGTGGGCCGACGTGGAGCGCACGCACCGTGGACAGCCACTTGGGGCAGAAGGATCTCACCCGCCTGCAAAAAGTGTTCGTGGACGGATTCGGCTCCAGCGACCTGCAGTCCATCTTCTTCTCCAGCCTCAACATCCAACTAACCGACGCCACCCAGAAGGAGCCACTGTGCAAGAAGATTGCCTCGCTGCATGCAGAATCCAAGCTGAACGTGGGTTCTCCTATACACGCCCATATGTCTGTACCCATGTTTATGCTCCTTTGACTCCTTGCAGAGCTTCGAAAAGGACTACTACTACATTGGCGCTAGCCGGAACCTGGGCTGCACCGCGAAAATTGACGAGGGTCTCCTATCCAAGGTGTACGGTTCCCTGACCACTGAGTTGGGCAGCTCCCAGGAAATCTTCTACCGCGTGGTTACCCACAAAGTGCTCGGCGTGGAGATCAATGAAGCCGCTCAGGCAAAACTAGTAAAGCGTCTGCAGGAACTGCTCAAAAAGGATGACACGCTCAGCGGTCTGGGCTACGCCTTCAATGTTGCACCGCTTCTCGGGGCCGGTGCCTCCTTCATCGCCAATCGCGTTGAGGATGCCATCGTGCAGGCGGACGAAGTGGACGGCAAGCTACTGCAATTCGAAGGTGGCCTTAGTATCACTTCCCTGATCATTAATGGTGCTTTCGGCGTAAGCAAGACCTTCAACAAACCCCTGCCAGTTACTGCTGATCAGGCTGTCAAGTTTGCCAACTACTTCCTTAGCCGGCGCTCCGTCCAAACCGCCAAGGGAGCTCATGTGCTGATCGAGGCGCTAAAGACCATAAGTGGAGCCGATAAGATTGCCCCTGTTTGCGTCCAGCTCATTGGCAATGGCCAGCTGGAGGCTAAGTCGCCCACGCTGAATGTGGCTGTTGTTGACCTTCTCGGTAAGCCTTTGACTCCTTCCCCTAAAGCTGTCAGTGCCAAGGTGATCCTGAAGAAGGACAGCTCTGTGCTGGCTGAGAAGATCGCAGTGGCCTCGAAATCCTCTGACAAGACCACCTACGTGGCTGATTTGACCAGCTTGAAGCCAGGTCGTGGCATCTACCAGGCGGAGTTAAATGCTGATGGAGTCTACACGCAGACCTTGCAGTTCAAGGTTCTCGGACGCGTCAAGGTTCAATCTCTGGAGGTGGGCATTGCCGAATCTGATGCCAGCGCAGCCACCCGCAAGCAGAGCGTGACGTATCCAGGTAAACTTCAGGAGGTTCTCTCAGCGGACAGCACCCAGAAGTTGCTCCTGAAGGCCGCGCTGGTGGAGGAGTCCAACGGCAAGCCCTTGGCTGTTCATCAGGCCTTTGTGCGTCTGCTTAACAAGAAAACCGACAAGGAGATTATCTTTGTGGCCGAACAAGATAGCAGCAAGTCCTACAAGTTTGACATGGATGTGGGCAACAATGGCAAGAACTTCAACTATCAGAGCGGCACCTACAGCATCTACTTGACCGTAGGCGATGCCTCTCTGTCCAACTCCTTCGAGTGGCTGGTGGCTGAGGTCCAACTGAAATTCAACGAGGAGAAGGGTGAGAATGCTAGCAATTAAACTTAGATGTGCATATTTAACCACTTCCTAATCTGCTTACAGAAGTAAAGCCAAAGACTACTTCGGGTCCACTGCCTGAGATTGTCCATCAGTTCCGTGTGCCTGACAAGCGCCCGCCTCGCATTGTGTCGGACATCTTCACCGGGCTATGCATCACCCCGCTGGTGCTGCTATTCGTTTTTTGGGGAAAGCTTGGTATCAATGTGTCCAACCTGACGCTGGCGCCCAGCACGATCGGATTCCACCTCGGCTTCGGTGGCATTCTGGTGCTGTTCTTCGTCTTCTGGCTGCAACTCAACATGTTCCAAACACTGCGTTTGCTGATCCCCATCGCAGTATTCACATTCCTGGCCGGGAACCGATTGCTGAGGCGTCTTTACGCACAACGTAACTCAAAGCCAAGTGCGTCGTAAGTCCGTTCATCACAGTACGAAGTCAATAAGTAAGCTACTCGCTATCTTGCAACACCATCAGAAAACAAACTTTAATAAAGCGATTTAGTTAAGCCCAAACACACTATATAAACTCCCTTTAGATTATTTCTTGAAGAATTTATTTGTGTATAATTTTACAGCCTAGTTTCAACTGCGCAAGCAATGACATCATTAATGCACATCAATATTGTCTTTTAGACCAATTGCTAAGCAGAACAGTTGTAAAATACAAAAACAATACAAACATATAGGTATATTTACAATTATAACAAAACTCTTTCCGAGGAATAAGTTTGAATCTAAAGGTGTGCCTTCATGAATGGCTTCAAGTACTTGTGGAATGCTGCGTTCACGGGCTCCTTGTTCAGCGGATTTTTCTTCGTGGACTCGAAGATGTGTTCGTACACGTTGCCATCGTAGGCACCCAGGGCGGAATCAAGTACGCGATCGTGCAGATCGAAGCTGTCCACCAGTGTGACGGCATTTGGACGAAGTCGCTTCAAGCAATTTTCTAGGCGAACCTCCAGTTGCGTGACGTCTTGATCAGTCAGATCAATGAACTATGAATCGAGAAGATTAATTTTAATGAAAAAACTGAAATTATTTGGAAATCCTACCCGCAAGAAGTCGCCAATACGGTTGAGGCAGGCGTCCACCAGATACAGCTCCAGCACAACCTTCAGGACATCAGCCAGGGCGGGCGAGACATTGCGGGACAGGGCGAACAGTTCCGTGTATGCAGTCTGGGCCAGGAAGGCACGTCCATGTAGCTATAAGAGATGTAAATGTGAGTATTATAATATTTAAACTAATTCAAAAAGATCTCATTTGCACTTACATCTGCCGCCGCTGTCAAGAATGTGCCACACAGATTGGCTGCCACCTCAGTTCCATGCCCTTGCTTGCGACGCAGTTCAATCTGCTCATAGGCAATCCGGGTTTTGCTAAAACACATTTCTAGGATTAAATATCTTCAAAGGATTTTAGTTCCCAGACTTTACTTACTTGGCGGCCACGAACTGGAATGCCTTTACAATAGACTCCAGTGATCCATCAAAGTTAACGAACTTCTTTTGGTTGACTGCATCATTAATGTAGGAAACAGTGGGCACCAGCTTTTCTCCGTTCAGAGCCTGACCATAAACCTTTACCAGGTAGCGGGCAGTCTGCAGAAGCATCACAGTGTTCTCCCCCTCATAAGTGCAAACAGCCGTAGTCATGCCGTAAATAGTGGGGAAGTTGGAGCAGTCCATGTAACCATGTCCACCACAAGACAGACGACATGTTTCCACGCCCGCGGTGGCATCAGCGCTGCAAATGGCCTTCAGGCAGCAGGACAGTGCATGCATCTCGGGCAGACGGTCCAGGTTGCCCTGCTCAATCTCGCCAGAAATCACGTTGTACATGTTCCAGATACCATCACCCGTGGTCTTGAACACAATGGACTTAGCTATCTGGGGGAATACCTTTAGCTGCTGTGTGGTGTGGTCCATGATCTGTGGCTCCGGCTGGTTTGGATCAATGGGACTCTGACGACGGACAGCCGAGTACCGAGTGGCAATGGTGGATGCCTTTGCCAAGCTCTGAGCGGTATCACGGATAAGAGCACAACGTACAAACATCTGTTAAGGAAGAAAACGACTATGAGTATACCTTAAAGAAATACAAACTGGCAGGCTTACCATAGTTCCGTAGGTGAGTACACTGTTCTTGGGCGCCACATAGGTGCCATCAGGCAGAACCTGCTGGTTCTTCATCAGCATGTTGTTCAAAGGCACACGAACGTTCTTCAGTCCCAGGTAGCCATTGTTCACGCCCTTCATGCCCAGCTTGGTACCAATATCGCCAATATCAATTCCGGGCATTGGGCTGTGTGTGTCGGAATCCCTCAGCTGGACAATAAACGGGGCCAGGCCACGGAACTCGCCCTTGGTGTAGAGCTGAGCCACCACAACCGCATGGTTGGCAGTGTGTCCCACTGGGAATCAAAGGATTTGTTACAACTTCGGATCCTAAAAAGTAAGGAAAACTTACATCCTCCTGGCCACCACTTGTAGGCACTAAGTGATGGAGTATTTATCACAAACTCCTGGGTTGTGGCATCGTAGTCAGCCCGGGTTTCCAGACCACGCAGGAAAGTTCCGTGTCCCAGTTCTGTCTGGGCATATGTGCCAATAATTTCACAGTCCCAGGCCTTGCTCAGCCACTCCACCTGCTGGTCCATTGTTCCTTGGCCCATGATGGTGGGCACAAACATCACGTAGTGCAGGGCAAGAGGATTGCCCTCCTTTAAAATCGCGGCTCCCAAGGATCCACCAAGCAGGGCACTGTAAAAGAATAATGATTTCAATCTAATATCCATAATGGTTTGATTAAAGGCTCTCTTACTTGTATGTATCCACTCCATCCTCGCCATCAGCACGAAGCTTGCGGATCTTTTCCCCAATGATGCAGGCTTTCCTGAGACTGTGTTCATAGAGCTCCTTGTGTGACAAATAGGAGATGGGCAGGTCATCCTGAAGGGCAGGATCTTCCAAAAACAGCTTCTCTGTTTTAATTAAAAAGAAAGTATTTTAGATAAGACGGACTAATAGAAACAAAGAAAGGGATTTAACATTTTTTAAAGTTTTGTAAAGATAAGCATTTTCCAATTCTGCTGCATAATCATGAGTGGTCATTATTCTTCACCTATTTACCGGTGTTACCGGGCATTGTCCATTTATGATCCCTTGTACGACCGGGCAAATCTGTCAGATAAACCTATCAGCTAAACCATTTTCAAGTGGCTCTAAAAAAAGATGGGGCGGCATAGCCGCAAACATCCAAAGTACACGGCAACACAGATTGATCAAGATTCGTTCGAAGTTCAAAGATTTGTAATATAAGCTGACTAATCGGTACTAATTAACTTGTAGCAGTTTGTTTATTCGGAATACATAATTAATGAACTCTGAACTAATGAATGAATGGACAGAGAAGAAGCGTAGCAAAACAAAGAGTGATAGAGTTGCGAATTATGGGAGTTTATCACGATTCAAAAGTTATGATCTGATTTGAATATTGTAAATCAATACGTATCAATTATTCTGAGATTTTTAATTTTACATTTGTAAAAAATGACAGTTTTCATCTGCTTTGTCCATATAAACAATTTTAAACCATTTTAATATAGAGGGTGTTTACGTTCATCTTGTCTATTTTGAAAACAAGACTGAAGATATGTTTAAGCCTAGTTTAATTGCCAAGTCATGCTTCTGGCACAATTTCTTGCTAGTCGCTTGGGAAACGCGATTGCGCCAAGCTTAGATAAAGCTTTGGACGACCGGTTAATGTGAATTAGTGGGGTCACCAGCGGAGCTTGCGATCCGGGCTTCCCGTAAGCTCACCCAGGGTCTTCTTCTCCTTGTACTGCTCCTCGCCGCCCGCCCACAGGACGGAGAACTCCCGGGGATTGAAGGTGGCCGTGTTGCGCTCCTTCTGCAGGTCGGGATTCACTTTCTTGGCTGGCATCTTGACGCAGTAATCAGGTATTCAAGTGATCAAGTCACGTAAACAAGTTCTGAGTTGTGGATTAATGAGGCACCCCAAGGCGTCTTTCTTCGGTGAATAACGCGCACTGACTGATTGCTGGGGGAATTCGAATTGCGCTCTGTGGTCAGGTTCGAGTGCTCCGCGGCTGGATAAGATTAGTGCTGCTGATCTGATCCTAAAAATCGGAATCTAATCGGGGATGCAGGCCTTGGGCGACGTGAACTTTAACCGTGAAAATACACATGTAAAAAGTTGGCTTTTGTGTAGAAATAATCGTTAGCACAATTATTATTCACTGGCGATTGTTGTTGGACTACATTCTATACTAAATACACAATATAAATACCCTACACATTGAGCTATGTGCAGCGCTTACATGAGATTTGCCCAGCACGTGAGAAAATGTTCTTTGGGTGGCTGTCTTTTAAAGATATCTTGTCTATATTAATACTTAAAGGCCGTTATATATTACACTTTTATTTTAAATCACTTCAAGCTGTTAATCCATCACTTTATTACTAAATAGGGTGTTCAAGTCTCGCCTTTAAAACAAATTTATTTTTGTTGTTAAGCAGCTCTTTGTTTGTATTGTGACGAAATCAGCTGTTAGCCAGGGCTGCCAACCTGCCAAGGCTGCAGTAAACGTAAGTGCCAGGGCTTCACCCCAATGAGGCGCCAATTTAAATTCAATTCAAAAGTCATTATCCGTTAAAACATTGATATATTTGCTAGTAAGAAGATCATGAGGTAACACCAATCTTTGGCCTTATAGCAACAGGTTCAGGCTTGCACATACGAATACATGTAAAGGTAAATCACGTTTTAATACACTTACTAGGAGGTAAATTACATTAGGCTTGGGTGAGAACAACATTTAAGATTGCATATTGTATATCCATTTAAATGCCATGGGCGTGACTGGTGGCAATGGCTATCCCCCGTTGATGCTGTACCATTCCGGTTTCATAGGAGCAGCTGGTCGTTGGCTCTACTTGATGCACTTCCGCCGGATACCAGTGACTGTGGGACTCCGGCGCCTGATGGTAACTGAGATCCGCTGGAACATGGGCATCGCCCCGTGATTTTGGATACGACTGCGGATGCAGTGATTGCCAATCCATGCGAGCGGAGGAGGTGGTTGAAGAGCACGTCGAGGCAAAGGCCAGGCCACGACTGCTCTGGTGGAACTCAAAGGGCCAGCTCTGCAAGATACAATATAGATATTTACCACAGCACAGACATAAATCATAGGAGTTGAGGAAACCGCAGGGGCTATATATGGAACAATATGACGACAACCCATCCCAGACAGCGCCATTGTTTGTTTACGCAACTTTGATTGTTTTTAGTGCCCCCCGCCTCTGCATTGTGGATCTACAATAACAGCCTCATTAACGGATCTATAAAAACATAAACAGCCAAACACTTGCGGACAAGAGACACTCATTTGAATGGGATATGTAGGGCTGCTAGGGACAGCAGACAAATACAGACAGAGCCAATGGGTTGTTCCCACCCGATCATAGCGGGCGCGTGCGAGAAGCAATGGGAAAAATTCGGATAGGGTTGGGACTCCCCGATTCGATCCTATCCTATCCGATTTGCCGCCATATGGGCACAAGACGGAACCGTATTTGCTGAATTTTTCACGCATTCGGCGGCGGGTAAACAATCGCATCTATTTAGATAAGTTGTGTGCCATGAATCTTGAGGGATAGATTGTGTAAACTCCGGCGAGAATGAATAAACACGGTTAGACAAATTTTAATTACAATTATCAGAGTGGGAAAACTACTGAGGGCGACACTTTCCCTAGCATGTCATTCACTTTGTCGCATCAAAGTCGAACATCTTTAAAAATAAAAGCAAAGACTAACTAGTGCCCCCTTCCCGATCCTCAGGTCTGCGGTAGCGTCACCATTCCGTCCCCGCTCCTCGGACCTGTCACTCATATTTAATATTTTCGAAATTCACAAAAGTATCGGATTACAGGAAAGCGAGGCAGTCTGAAATCACAAAATGTGATTTCACTGTTCTAGTGGGGGGCCCGGCTGAATGGCTGACTCCGGTCTTGGGATGGGGGCCACCTCCACCTAGGAAAGGTGGAAATACTTGTCGCCCCAGCGGAGTCACCCAAGCAGATGTTGCACCATAAATATGTGCATAATCGTTTTGGATTTTGGATCTAAGATTCGGTCAGCTGGGATTGAATTACCACATTCAGTGGTTTTGAGATTAATAAAATATTACTTTACTAATTTTAAAAGAATTTATTTGACGATGAAAGATAATAGTTGATTAGTTGTTATTTTATATTTCAAGAATATATAGCATTTCCGACAATAAAAAAAGGACATACATTTGCTGGGTTTGGGACATAGTAACTTTAATCATCTTGCAAGGTGTCATTAATTCCATCATATAGAATAACTAAACCCTAAGTCTACTATTTAAATAATCAGGGAAAAATTCATAAAATGATAAAATGTAAGCAAAAATTAAGACATCTAAGTGATGAATATAAATTCATTTGATGATATTGCAATTCAAGTCAACACCTTATACCACAAACAAGTGGAATATGTAATCGGTTAATTAGGAATTTCGACCTGTTGATCATGTTCGTTCAATTAGACTGAAAACCCCAGAGTTTACGATGAGCTTGGGCATATCACAGGGGATCCCCGACGACACCTGTCATCATGTGACGAAACCCACCTGCAGTCGCCGGCTCATTAATGCGATTCCATTCATAACCCGCGGATGCAGTGCATCGTTAAGTGGTGCCAGTGACATCACTTATTGGGGGCCAGGGATCGCAATTGCATGACACTTACCATGCCGTGTCCGTTGTTGTGGAAATGGTAATTGCCTGCTCCGGATCCCTCCGCCATGTGACTCGTGTCCAGGCCCTCGGAGCTGGTGGTGCTCGAGTGGCTGTGGTTCAGGTGGTGGCTGTGGTTGTGCGGGTGGTTGTGCGAGTGGGAGTGGCTGTGGGTGTGACTGTGGCTGCCATTGCTCCCAGTCTCGACTGCCGTAATTAGCTGCTTGATGTAGAGCGTGGCCAAACGCAACGTGTCCAACTTGGAGAGCTTCGTGTCCGGCGGAATGTTAGGCAGCTTGGTCTTCAGACGTCCGTAGGCACTGGATAGCACCCGCATCCGCATTCGCTCCCGGGCATTGGCCGCATTCCGCTGCACAGGCGGCTGTGAGCCTACGAATTCAGGAAAACGTTTAATTGGTATGTTGGAAAGTGTATCTTTTAAATCAGATAAATACTCGTAGTTTTCCTTTTCTTTGAAATTATTAAAATGGTTCTTTGTTTTTCTACATTAAAGTTTCTTCAACTTTTAAAAACGAAATGTTTATAGTGTATCTTATAAATCAGATAAATACTCGTAGTTTTCCTTTCCTTTAAAATTATTAAAATGGTTCTTTGTTTTTCTACATTAAAGGTTCTTTAACTTTTAGAAACGAATTGTTTATTCTATTCAAAGACTTATTAAAGACAATATACCTATTTTGTTTTTTATCAAATTATTTCTTTCTTTAAGCAATCATTTTAATGTAATTATTATAAGTTAGTTATAAGAGAGATTGGAAATAATTGCTTTAAAATGATTGCTTAAAGAAAAATGGAAAATGTATAATATATAAATATTTTAAATACAATATAAGAAGAATGTTTTTAAACGTTTTGCCATAAAAGGAGACCGCATTTAGGAAAAACTTTCAATGATATAGATCTCTAAAAAAATTATAAGAAATGCTCTTTAAACTTACTTTGGGAGCTGGCATCCTCATCGAAATCGTCGTCAAAAAGATCCATGGGGCTGGAGGCGCGCTTCTTGCGTGGCATTATTACACAACAAATGGAATCACAAGTATCACTTTTGGAATATTCAAATTGGATATTTTTTCCAATTACTCAGTCTTCTCACTTCAAATCGCACCGTAGCGAACCGAAATCTATCTGCGAGTCAAAAACGTCCGATCTGCGTGGCAAATAGAGCACTTCTGTCAAGGGTTCCGGGGAGAGGCCTCCTTTTGAGCACTCTGCTCCTCAGCTCTCGGCTCTCCAGCCTCCGGCTATTTCTGGCACCTCTGGTGGGCGTGCCTGGTCCGCAAACAGTCGCAATTGGCGGAGGAACCCGACACATGGTGCGATCTTCGGTCTCTTTCTCGGGTGTTTGGCTTCTGGCTGCCACCACATTGGCCCAGTCTTCTGCCGCCGGGCTGCGGGAAAATTCAAAATGAATCGCTGTGTTTATCGGTCTATTTCGGAGCTCTGTCTTAAGGACGTGCGAAGCGTGCCAAGCCTCCCGTTCCAGATGGCACCACCTGGTTTCCATATCGCAGTGGTTTTAGGGATAAGCATTAATGGCAGACCGGAGTGATCATAATCCAGGGGTTCAACTGCATATCCTGTTGGGGTCAGCATGGAAGTCGTTCAAATTTGTGCCCCAAGTTCAAATTCTGTTGAATTTTACTTTTCAACATTTTATTTGGTATGAAAAAAATATTTATGGTATATGAGGTTATAAATCTATTGCGTTGGTCTTATTCATTTCATAAACTTATTTATTCTCTCATCCAAGTAAAGCAATCCAATCAATAAATAATTAAAATTAAGTATTTACCCCATAGATGCTCTTTATACTTTTACACAATATATTTTAGGTTTCAGTTCATTTAAAATCAGGTGAAATGGAGAAAATGGTAGGACATTCGAGATTCACCCAGCTTTTAATGTCTTTATTGAACCTATAACTCGAATTAAACCATCTCTCCTTGTAAGTTCTTGAGATAAGTGTCGGCTAGTAAGAATTTATGAAGCTATTTATTTAATTCAATATTAGAAACTAAAATCGCAACGTTTTGCTAAATAAATAAGTTGAAAAACATTATCTATATTTACAACACAAGTGGTCAGATTAAATTGTTTTTTGACCTAGGAAGCTCCGAACTAATTTTACTACTTGGCACACCTCCTAGTCGAGATAAGCCTCTACGGAGAGCTTCGGCCCCGGACAAGTAGCCTTGATTAGGGCCGCAGACCATGGATGGGACGTCACGGCAGTAGGGTTATCAGGATGCTGGCCAAGAGGTCATCAGACCAATTCAGCGGGAGATAATCAGGACGGGACCGTGTTATTAATACGAGACTTCAGTTGAGATTCTAAAGTGCTCGCGCGCGGCAGCTTCTCGAAATGTGGCGCCATCGCATCCTGCAGGAGACATCCCGCCGGGGAATCAGCAAGCAAGTGAGAGGAGGCGGAGGAGCGAGACAGGAGCCGAGTGGATCCCTGCCAGCCTCAGCGGATGTGGTTGTGATTGGCGGTGGGTCGGCGGGATGCCACACCCTCTATCACCTGGCACGACGCGGTGTCAAGGCGGTGCTCCTGGAGCGTGCCCAACTCACGGCCGGAACCACCTGGCACACCGCCGGATTACTGTGGCGCCTGCGACCCAACGATGTGGATATTCAGCTGCTGGCTAATTCGCGCCGGATGCTCCAGCAATTGGAGGCGGAGACCGAGCTGGATCCGGGCTGGATTCAGAATGGTGGTATCTTCATAGCCCACAATGAAACGCGACTGGATGAGTACCGTAGACTGGCCACCGTGGGTTCAGCCCTGGGTATCGAAAACCAAGTACTGAGTCCCGAAGAGACCCAAAAGCTGTTCCCCCTCCTGGATCCCTCGGCCTTTGTAGGAGCACTCTACTCCCCAGGTGATGGTGTCATGGATCCCGCGATGCTGTGTGCTGCCCTCAAAAAGGCGGCCACCAATCTCGGCGCCCAGGTGATCGAGCACTGTGGAGTGGATGACCTGCTGCTGGAGCAAACTTCCAGGGGTAAGAAAGTAGTGGGCGTGGCCACGCCCTTCGGAGACATCAGGGCAGAGAAGGTAGTGAATGCCACGGGCGTATGGGGCCGCGATTTAGTGGCCAAGCATGGGTCTCATCTTCCCCTGGTGCCCATGAAGCATGCCTACATTGTTTCCGAATCCATTCCGGGAGTGCGGGGACTACCCAACATCCGAGATCACGATTACTCCACCTACTTCCGCATCCAAGGAGACGCCATCTGCATGGGAGGCTATGAGCCGAATCCGATTCTACTGGAACCTGTGCCCAAGGACTTCCATTTCGGACTCTATGAACTGGACTGGTCTGTTTTCGAGGCCCACGTCGAGGGGGCCCAGAAGTTGTGTCCCAGCTATGCGAAGTACGGCGTGAAGAGCACGGTTTGTGGACCCGAGTCCTTCACACCCGATCACAAGCCACTTATGGGTCCGGATCCGATTCTGGACGGGCTGTACCACAACTGCGGCTTCAACTCAGCGGGCATGATGTTTGGCGGTGGATGCGGGGAGCAGACTGCTCTCTGGGTCATCCAGGGGCAACCCGAGCTGCCCATGTTCGGCTTCGATCTGCGGAGATTCACCCAGGAGCAGGGCAAGGCCATCCAGTGGATCAGGGAGAAGTCGCACGAGAGCTATGTGAAGAACTACAGCATGGTCTTCAAGTACGATCAACCTCTGGCGGGTAGAGACTTCCAAAAGGATCCCCTGCACGAGGAGATGATGCAGGCGGGAGCCGTGATGGAAGAGAAACAGGGCTGGGAGCGACCTGGTTTCTTCCTGCCCTCCGGTTCCAGGAAGGCGGTGGTTCTGCCCTACGACTGGTACGGCAGCTATGGCCACCAGAGGATCCAGGACGGCGAGTACGAAAGGGTTCTGGAGGGCGATCTCCACTACAGCAGATTCTCGGAGCACCACGAACTGGTGAGTGGAAGCATCTTTCTTATCTATGTATACGTAATATTTGTTTTCCTGCTTTTAGATCGGATCGGAGGCATCGGCTTGTCGCAATAACGCCGTGGTATTCAACATGAGCTACTTCGCCAAGCTCCTGCTGGAGGGTCCTCAGGCCCAGGAGGCCGCCGACTGGCTCTTCTCGGCTAATACCAATCGAGATCCCAGCAAGTAAGTCATTAATTTATATTAGTTTAATTTGAACATACTGATATTTATGAGCAAAGTACATTCCATATTTTGGAAATCCAATGGTATGGTCATAGCTATTACAATAAATATATCTATCACCATAATTATAAAGTACTTGTCAGAATAGTTATTTGAGAATTAAGGAATATATTCGCCCGAATACTAGCGTCAATAAAAAAAGTTTATTGTAAAGGTTGTAGCTTAATAAACGTCAAGCAAAAAAGGTAAAATTAGACATTTGTATATCAAAATCGAAGGGATGCTAATCAGAAATACTCAAAACCAATTTTTTAATTAGGAAATTTAAATTTCAGTCCGTTTAAAACTTCACAACAACATTATACATGGCTGATACAAAACAAACTTATTAAAGATTAGTTTCTATACCAAAATCATTCATTGAAAATGATCTATATATTCAGAATAAAATCTTTTGATAACCAATAACTCATCTCTTTCAGAACTGTATACACCTGTGCTCTTAACGATGCCGGTGGCGTTGAAGCGGATGTGACCATTTCCCGCCTGTCTCCCGGTTCCGGAAAAGTCTACGATCCCAAGTTCAATGGTCAAGGATTCTATATCGTGGCGGGCGGTGCCTCCGCCTTCTACACGTACAGCTCTCTGCAGGCAGAGATCCGTAGAAAGGGCTTTGAGGCCAGTCTCAAAGACTTGACCGCCGAATTGGGTGTCATATCCATTCAAGGACCCAGCAGCCGGAAGATCCTCCAGCCCCTCATCGACTGCGATCTATCCGATGAGCAAGTACCCCCGAATAGCACCCGCTTGGCCAAGTTTGGGGACGTGGGTCTCCGCCTCCTGCGGGTGAGCTTCGTGGGCGAACTTGGCTACGAGCTCCATGTGCCCAAAAAGGATTGTGTTGCCGTCTATCGAAACCTGATGAAGGCGGGTGCTGGCCAGGATTTGCGCAATGCTGGCTACCGGTCGCTGTATTCCCTCAGCAGTGAGAAGGGCTACCATCTGTGGAGCTTCGACCTGCGACCGGATGACACTCCTCTGGAAGCTGGCTTGGGATTCACCTGTCGCAAGAGTGGAGCAGACTACCGCGGCAAGGCGGCCATCGAAAAACAGCGATCTGAGGGCTTGAAGAAGCGCCTGGTTTACCTGACCCTCCAAGATCAGGTGCCCATCTGGGGACTGGAGGGAGTCTACCGGAATGGAGAGGCCGTGGGCATTCTGCGACGAGCGGAATATGCCTATGCCCTAGGAAAATCCCTCGGACAGGCTTACATTTCCAGGCCAGATGGACAGATCATCGATGTTGATTACATCAAGAACGGGGAGTACGAGGTGGACATATTGGGCAAGAAATACCGCGCCGACTGCCACTTGCGCAGCCCATTCGATCCCACTGGCCAACGGGTTCTCGGTAACTATGCATCCGAGTCCGAGCCCAATAAATAAAGAAGAGCCTGTTGTTTCCAAGAACTCGTTTGCTCCGCGAAGGGAATTTCTCTGAGGGTTCTCCAAGTGAAGTGCCTGCCAAATAGGGCCATAAATTACTTTCGCCGTGAACAGAGGTTCGAAGAAAGGTCGCGGAGAAGGCAGACAGACAGGCAGTCTGCGAGTGGGTCACCCGAAATGGTTGCGGTTAACAGCTCAATTAATTTCACTGTCCAACTATTATGACATCATTCTCGGTTTCCTCGAAGGATGCGATCTGCAGACGTAATTCTAGAGCCCTCGATCTTCCCAGCCAGACAAACTGTCGCCTCTCAAGTGGTTTTTCTTAAATGCAACTTCATTAAATTGTGATCTTGAGGTAATACTTTCAGCTTAAATGTTAGTGAACATAAACTAGTAAGTCTAGGCCTCGATGGTCACCGTGGAGGCCGTGTTGGAGGGGCTATCGAAGTGGCCGGCCACCACCTCCTCGAGCGTCAAATCGAACTTGAATATGGGACGCAGGTCGCTGTTCAGGCGGCAAACCACTCCGGCAGAGGCAATGTTCCAGTTCCAGCAGATCATGGCGCAGTTAAGAGCCTCCAAGTCGCCCTTCATGGAGACAATGTTCTGTGGGGAAAGCCAATATAGTTATCTATCGTTGTTTACTTTTCATTTGATAATTACCATAGCCACTGTGTAGTCAATGGAGTTTATCTCCTCCCCCCTAATGACCACCAATTGCGTTTCGCCATTTTGACTGTTGAGGAAGCGCACCACCTTCTCCTTGAGATACTCCGCGGATGCGTAGTCCAGCTTCTGCTTCACATCCACCACGCTCACTTCATGGCCATTGATCTGAGGGATGATGATTTATTAGCTGCTGTTAAATAAATTCAGATAAAGTAGGGGGCTTTACCTTCTCCAGTTTGATGTCTACATGGGGACGCGCACTGCTATAAAGAATGTAGACCATATTGGCAGCAATGCCGCAGAGTATTCCATACTCCAAACTCCAGAACATACAGGTAATAATGGTGACTACAAAGGGAAACAGATCCTTCTCTGGAAAGGTAAAAAACAAATTTTAGACAGAGCTTTGACAAATGGAAGCCACTCTATACCCACTTTTAGATTTCCACATGTCCCTGATCTTGTGCAGCTCCACCAGCGATATCATGGCTGCTATAATAATGGCAGCCAGGGTGCATTTGGGAATAAAGTAGAACGTCTGAGTGAGGAAAGCCAGGGCCATGAGCACCAGTGCCCCGGTGACTGCTCCACCCAGAGGAGTTTTCACTCCACTGGCATTATTGACAGCCGTACGCGTAAAGGATCCGGTCACGGGCATCGAGAGAACGAAGCTGCCCATGATGTTGCACATGCCCAGAGCCACCATCTCCTGTGAGGCATCAACGATTTTTCCCTTTGCTGCAAGTGGAGGATCGATTTAGTTGGTTGCCTCAATGGCAAATGAAATTATACATACAAAACGCCTTAGATATAGCCACTATTTCCAGGATCGAGATCAGGGGAATGGAGCCCAAGGACGCGCCCAGTGTGCTGATCATCTCGCCAAAGGACACATATTCGCCATCCACGGTGGTACTAAAAGGAGGCAAGCGGAAGGGAGGCACTCCGGCCGTAATGTTGCCAGTGACCCGGAAGGGCTGATTCCCATCCCGACTCAGAATGTAGGCCAAAAAGGTGCCGAAAATCACAGCCAGAGCATTTCGGGAGAGGCCAAGGTACTTCCAAAAAATTCGGTTGCCCCACTTGATGTCCTTTACGCGCTGTAAATAAATACATTTTGGAATATAAACAATTATACTGATAAAATTAAATTACAATTAAATATGACAGTAGCGGATACTAACACAAAATTATTTATGTCAAATAATATTTAAACCAAATTAAACTTTCACAAGTGGTATTAAACGTCACTTTCAAACGTTCAAACCGAGAACAAGGTTGATTGGTTTCAATTAAAATCAAACCCCTATCAATCAATCCTCTTACCGTCATGAGCAGCAGGAATACGAGAGATGAGACACCCAGCAGGGCATCCCAGACCCTAATCGACGCCAAGTGGGTGAAGAAATTCTTCCAGGCGGGCAGTAAGTCATTCGAAGGACCTATTTGCAGAGAGATTAACATTTAAGTTAGATTTCAATTTCATGAACTAGATGTAGGCCAAAACTCACTGGTCAAACCAACGATGTTGTTGATCTGGGCACTTCCAATTGTGACGGCCGCCGCCATGGTGAACCCAGTGATCACTGGAATCGAGATGAACCGCACAAGGACCCCCATGTTGAGCAGTCCCAGGATGAGCACGATGCAACCAGCCAGGAAACAGACGAGCACAGCGTAGTCCGGACTAATCGTGGCATACTGGTTGACCATCAAAGCCATAATAGCAGTGGTGGCTGGGGGAGATTACAGAGTTGGTATCGGAACTTCATAGCGCTGATCTCAACTCACCGATCGTGACATCCTTGCAGGATCCAAATACGATGTATGTGAAGCAGCCCATGAAGGCGGAGTACAGGCCGTACTGCGGCTCCAGACCAGCCACCACTCCATAGGCAATCGCCTGGGGAATGGTGGTCAGTCCAACCGTGAATCCTGCGATGAAGTCCTGCATGATGTACTCCAACCGGTAGCGGGGCAGCCACTTCAGGATCGGGAACTTGTTGGTCACGGTCGCCGGACGACACAGCTTGCGGCCGCCATCCCTGACAAGCGAGCCCACATTCGGCAGCTGCTCCCGGTACAGATTATCTGGGGATCCAAAAAAAAAAAAAGCCTTGGATCAGTTTGCACTCGTACTCCATGCTCCGATAACCCCTCCTCTGCCGGCTAATCTTCCCTGGCAGCAGCGTGTTGCGACATCTGGCGATCTGCTATTTTTATTGACATTGGGCTGGTCAGCCTATCGGTCGTGAGTGCCGACTACCCCAAGCAGATAAGCCCCACCGAGATACTCTTTTATGAATTGGCACGTATTTTATACAACCAATCATTGCGATTGCATCGCACTTTCCCACTGGACGAGTGGCCAGACATAAATCAATTGACCCTGAACGCCTGTTCGTTTCCGGAAAAACCCCGGGAGAGTTACTCACCCTCGTTGGCTCTCATCGCGGATGCTACTGCGGCTTCAAACTGCGTTTCTGGTTCTGAGAACGAGCGGGAGATCGGTAATTGGGCTGAGCGTATAGCGAAAACCGGGCAGCTAAGGCGTCCGCTCAGTGTGCCGCTCCAGACGCGACTGCCGCTCCGATCTCCGTCAACCAACGGCAACGGCGAATAAAAGCAATCGTGCTTGTAGCTCGTGTATGCGTACTGGCCATATAAGATTTACAAGACAGGTACCGGTACCGCCTTATCTTGTTAGCCCTGTTAGTCCGTCGATCAACAATTGCACAGTTAAGCTGCACGTTTGCTTAATAACCTGGTCTGGCTGCCCCTTTTACAAAACAAAAAACAACTACGGGTTGATCGGTATACTTTAGTTGATTGCCAGGATCACTACTCGCTGCTCTTCCAGATCTTGACGGCGTAAGTGTTCTGCAGTGCTCCGGTGGCGATCACGTTCGCCGTCGGATGGCAAGCGGTGCAGAGCACCCGGTCGCCCTGTGTGGCCGCCTTCTGGACCAGCTTCCTCGTCTGCAGGTCCCAGATGCACAGCGTCTCGTCCTCGCTGCCAGATACGATCCAGATGCCCGCGGTGATGGAGAAGTTGGAGGACAGGCAGTAGGCCTCGTTCACATGCCCGCGATAGACCCTCAGGCACTTGGTCTTCTCGTAATTCCACAGCCTGAGCGTGTTGTTCAGCGTGGAGGCCAGGATGTAGCGGCCATTGGGCGAGAACTTCACATGGCCCACTGGCGTGTTGTCGTCGTCGATGAGCGTCTTTAGCACCTGGCAGGTGCTCGTGTCCCACAGGCGCACCAGTCCATCGAAACTGCTGGTCACGAAGAGGCTGCCCTCCCGGTTGAAGTCCACCGAACTGATGGGATCCTGGTGGGCGGTCACTGTCTTCAGGGTTCTCCCGGTCCGCACATCCCACAGGCGGACCGTCTTGTCGAAACTGGTGGAGGCCAGCAGAGTGGACTGCGGATTGAAGCAGCAGGAGAAGACGATTCCGCCGTGCCCATCCAGAGTTTGAACGCAGAGCACGCTGCGCGGATCCCAGAAGCGCACGGTCTTGTCATCGCTGCAGCTGGCCAGGATTCCACTCGCGGACCAGGCCACATCGTTGATACCCATCTGGTGCCCGACCAGAGATTGGATGCAGCTGCCGGCCTGCACGTCCCACAGCTTGAGGAGACAGTCGGCCGAGCCGCTGGTTACGTGACTGCCATCCGGACTGAACTTCACGGCCGTAATGCAGCCAACATGTCCGAGGAGCGAGTTCGTGATGGCGTAGCCCGGCGATGGGGGCTTCTGCTTGGTGAGCTGGCCGGGGGGCAGGGGCAGCTTGAAGGGATTGCCGCCGGACTCCAGGATGGGGGTCACGGTTCCGAGATTCTCACCAGCATCTGTCAAATCAATCATTGCGGATTCGGATTCTTCCGGATCGATTTCAATCTGGAAAACCTTAAAAACAGTCGTGAATGAAGTCGTGGGCAATTTGGTAACAACCTCTTTTGTTTATCCGTCTTTAGTTTTAAATTGTAAAGGGACTTCTTTGCTTGCCAAAATGGCGCTGACATTTTGTAAAACAGTTTTTTTAGCTTTTTCGGGCTGCCAACTTTAGCAACTTTTTTTTGGCGCGAATTTTAAAAAAATCGTTTAATTTCCACTTTTTGTTGACAATTCCTCGGGTGCTAATTATTGCAAATTAATTTTAAAGATAATTAAATTAAATTAAATTTAATCGAAACCCCAAAGTAAAAATGTCCAGCAAATTTTAAAAAGATCAGTCGTCGAGAACTTATGGCGCCATTTCGATTCAATAACAATCTGTATTACAACAATATTTGCCTTTTTTAAACAAATGTTAATTGTTTCGCTTACTATTATTACTCTTTTGTTTAGTCAATATTTGCGTGAACTATCAGACAGCGGTCGTAAAAAATCTGACTGAAAAAAATAAAATAAACAAGAGCAGTTAATTGGCGTTGTGGATTTGGCGACAGGGCGGTGTATTTGCACAGCCTGTTATGCTCCCCAGACTTGTTAACCAAACATTAAACAAATGGCCGGTGGTGTGCCGGTAATTTGTCACCTAATTATTTGCTTACGCTGCTAATATGCACTGAATTACATATATGTATGTATGTAGGCAAAATTGAAGAATGCGCGCTAATCAAGTCAGTGAACTGTGTATTTACATAATAATTTGGGAGCCAATCATGTATCAACATAATTCCGCACCTATTATACTTTTTTTAGGGAACAAATAGTTAAGTAATAGGAACAAATTGCTTGATTTTGGTGTTAAAAATTTTAATAGTATTTGTGTTTTAGTAAAGACTTTGCAAAGGTGATATTTGAAACATGTAGGTATGAAATGCTTATTGTGTACATTATGAGCGGAAGGCTAGCTCAAACCTTATTTCAAAAATATTTTAAACAGTTTTAGGACTATTTCGTTTTACGGCACCTATTAAATATAAAAACATTGGCGAAGCTTTTTACTGTATCGTATTCAAGATAGGTAGGGATCCAAAATAATAGTTACCTGAAATATCTATTAAAATAAGCCAAATTAAGTTTTTTATTCGCTTCAATTTAAAACTTAAATTTAAACGTAGATGGTATTTTTTAACGAACAATTTAGCGAACGGTCACACTAAGCAGTGGTGCTGTCAACTGTCATTTTAAATTTAACGGAAGTTGGCAGCCCCTTGGCGTCCAAAAAAATAGCGCGCAAGGAAGTAAAATAGAAAATATCCTTTAAACCTAGTTACGCGGCGCAAAATGGCAAGCAAGGAGGTTCCGGAGGTGCCACAGCGAGAGATGCGCTCCTTTCTGATGGCCCGCGACCCCTCCATCGACCGCCGCTTCCGTCCGCGACCAAACAAAAAGATGCGTCTATTCGACCACATTCAGGAATCGGAGGAGGAGAGTTTTTCCGAGTACTCTGACACCGAGTCCGAGCACAAGTACCGATCCAGTGAGGCCACGGATGGCGCCTCATGCGCAACCAGCGTGGCGGACAGCAGCAGCGTGGAGACGGGACCGCAGGTCTTCCTGCGCTTGCGCCCCGTCAAGGATGCTTCCAAGGCGTACATAGTATCGGAGGACAGCAACGTGCTCATCACCAGCTGCAAGGTGGACTCCACCAGCAACAATGTGAACCGCATGGAGAAGCACTTTGGTTTCACATCCATCTTTGACAGCAATGTTGGCCAACGGGACATATACGACACCTGCGTGGGACCAAAGATCATGGAGGAGGAGTGTGTGACCATCATGACGTATGGCACATCGGGCTCGGGAAAGACCTACACATTGCTGGGTAAGCTGTAAAGTTTTGCATATACATTGCATGGTTTTTAATAGTTAAAATCCTTCCTCAGGCGACGATGTGCGTGCTGGCATCATTCCGCGAGCCCTAGAGAACATATTTACCATTTACAAGGACACCATATTCCGCTCACCCAAGCTTAAGCTGATCAACGGCTGCATCGTTTTTCTGCAGGACGATGCCTCACTGAAGGAGCTGCAGATTCGGAAAAAGTTGTTGGACTTGTGTCCTGACATCAGTGCCCATCACCAGCGCTTGAAGCAGGTTATTGACGGGGATCACACTTTCGAAACGAAGACCTCCACTGACGTTTCCGTCTTGGTTTGGGTGTCCTTCGTGGAAATCTATAACGAACTTGTGTACGACTTGCTGGCCATCCCGTCGAAACAGGATAAGCTGGGCGAGGTGCCACGGAAGAACCTAAAGATCGTGGGCAACAAGGGCCAAGTGTTCATCAAGGGACTGACCAGTGTTTTCGTGACAAGCAGCGTGGAGGCGCTCCAGCTGCTCCGGTTAGGCCAGCAGCGCTCCACGTACGCCTCCACCTCTGTGAACGCCAACTCCAGCCGATCGCATTGTGTCTTCACCGTGGACATACTGAAGTACAATCGCTCGGGCATCACCACCCAAAGTTCGTACAAGTTTTGCGACCTCGCAGGCTCGGAACGCGTGAACAATACAGGAACCTCGGGCCTTCGTCTCAAGGAGGCTAAGAACATCAATACATCGCTGATGGTGCTGGGCCGTTGCCTGGATGCGGCCAGCACTGTGCAGAAGAAGAAAAACGCAGACATCATTCCATACCGCGACTCCAAGCTCACGATGCTGCTGCAGGCGGCATTGCTGGGCAAGGAGAAGTTGGCCATGATCGTGACGGTTACCCCTTTGGACAAATACTATGAGGAGAACCTAAATGTCTTGAACTTCGCCTCAATCGCGAAGAATATAATTTTCAAGGAAGCCGTAATCAAGCAGCATCGAGTCAGCTACTGCGGCTTCATGGAATTCTCGAAAATGTCAAACTTCGAAGGCGGCGATTACATCAAGGAACTCGAGAACGATAACGTCCTCTTACGGTGCGAGATCGAACAACTGAAGTACGATCATGTGCTGCAGATGCAACTTTTGGAGGAGAAACTGCGCAGAGAACTAACTTCTACTTACCAGGAGATAATCCAAAACAACAAGAAACAACACGAAGACGAATGCGAGAAGAAGCTTCTGATTGCACAAAGAGAAGCTGATTTTATGGTTAGTATCAAGCATATCAAGCAGAACAAGAATTCCTTATATATTATCTTTCACAGCTTTCTTCTCAAAAGCGGCGCTACGAAGAGCAAATAGAAGATCTCAAGGATGAGATCGAGGAACTTAAAAATCCCACAAGCGACACGGACAGTTCCGATGATGCAAATGATTCCAAGTCGCCCATTGAAATCATTGATGATGATGAGTAGTTTCTTTAATTGTTTAAGTGTTGTTTAAATTTTTGTTTCATAACTGACGTGTTGTGGAGTTTGCAGAGTTATCCAATAAATGTGTACATGCTCAGAAAACTAGAGAGAAAAGATATGATGAGATGCTTGACCAGAAAACTTCCAGCAGCAATAGCACTAGCGCAATCGCTAGGAGCGTTCCGTAGGCCAGCCACACCCATTGTAGATCCATCACTCGCAAGGCGATAGTCGCTTCCGTTTCCTTACTGGGATCCTCAATATTAGACAATCCCGCCTCCGTCATGTCGTAGTGGTGCATTCCCACCCAGAACTGATACAGCCCATTGGCTCTTACCTCCAGGATTAGCTTGCTGACCGGCTCGGCGAACCAGGAGCTCTGCGGCCACTGAAACGAAAGCAAAGCCAGGGACCACATGCAGGCGTCCATGGAGTAAATGAAGAGTTCCCGGGTGAAGCGCTTCTGCTGCTCACTGAACAGTGTCCAGTGCAATCGAGAGGCGAAGTAGGCACTGCTGGAGTTCCTCCCACTTCTCAAGTGATGGTATTCACTCACATTGACCACCAGTAAGGACAGATGCAGATCCACCAAAGTGTGCAAGTCTTCTTCAGTCGTAACCAACGGAATTCGCATGCGCCGGACATCATCGAAACTGCGGGCCTGAAACTCCCGCGGAGGATGCGCCATCATCGTCTCAAGAGCTGCTTCAAAGATACTACTCACATTAAGACCCACAATTCCCAGCATGAGATATATCCACCGGCTGAAACGAGCCCTTCTCGGTAAGGGCATCCTGAAGGACTGACCCAGGATTCCACGTAAAGCCCTGTCGTTCAGCAGAAAGTCTACCAGATGGACATCGTCTGTCAACTTACGGAGGCAACTCAAAACCAATCCATAGGTGAACACAATGGCCACGGCCAGGAGCATATTGGAAACGCTGCTTAGGAGAAAGTAAATGTCCTTCAGGGGAATCTGTTGGGCTACCGGGATCATCAGGCAGATGTGTGTCAGTTCCAGAGGATAACTGGTGCGAGCCAACTGCTCTTCTCGCCCCAACATTGACATACTGGCCGGTACATCTATGGACATGCTCCTGCCCAGCTCCTGGAGCTCAGTGGCTTGGAGAAAGCGTCCGGGAGTCACCTTTTCAGCAAACTGCAAAGTGGCATTGAGCTTCCAGGCCAGCACGTTGATAAAGCGGCCCACGGATCCGGCTAGGATCTGCTTACCCGTGCGCCTGTCCACGTAAAGAATAGAACGCGGAAGCCATTGGTCGGGCATCACAATTAGTGGATGGCCTTGCATGTTGGGAAAACTCTGCTCAAAAATAGGTGAAAAGTGGAGAGGGCGTTGCTCTATCCGGAAGCTGGGATACTGGTTGTATCTGTAATTAAAGATGTGCTCATCTGCAGCCAAGAGTCCAACTACGTTCCGAATTCGAAGTTGGTAGCTGGTTTGGAAAAGAGCTTCCATTCTGGTTCGATTGGCAAAACGATTGGCTATATAGAGCACCTTTTTCTCATTGGGAAAATCCTCCAAAGACTTAGCCACTTTCAGAAGAAGCTCCTGATCCAGCTGCAGTTCATGCCCAGACAGGCAAATAATGTGTAGTACGGGTTTTTTGGAAAAGAACGGCTAACTGAGCGGATCTCTATTGGATTTCGTATATTTTGAAATATTGTTTTTAACCAGGTGTCCGGACAGTAATCATTGTGGATTATTATCACAGAAAGCGAAGATTCTGCTGCTGCTCTAAGGATGAATTCCACGGTTGATCCCCTAATTATTACAGGAGTCCAAAGAAGCACAACCTTCATTAGTGCCCACATTTCCTTTAAATTATGTCGCGTTTATCATTGTGTCCCTTATTTATATTAGGCCTTAACTGTTCACAGTCATGCAATCGAAAAGAAAAAGCTGAGTCAGGAACTTCACGCCCCCAAATGATAAGACATAATTTGCACTGTTTGTAATATGCATATCTCAAAATATGTAATCTTTGTTATTTTGTTACAGTTGCTAAATAGGTAATTGTGTGTGTTCGTGGAAGGCGTGCAAATCAAATCGATATGCCGCCCATTACATTTGAGTTGATTACAATTATTTGTCCGATTCCTGCTGCAAATAAATATTACAAATAGGTAGTAAAATAAATAGGTATTTATGCATCTTAATTATACGTGTTTTGTGTGTATATATGTCTGCTTTCTCTAGGTACTTAAGTCACGGTGAACGATGAACCAATTGCAAATTATTTATTATTAATTACCGAGGTTGCCAATTGCGTTGCATCTAAGAGAGCGAAAAAGAGAGCGGAAGGGTTTGGGAGATTCGAAATTCGAAACGAAGTACATCATGGAGATCGCCTGTATAACTTAGTAAAATCTTTAGCCTAAACACAATGTTAATTTGCACTAAACGGAATGTTAAATACACATAGAGAATGTCACGAGATTGATCTACTAACAAGGTTAGCCCGGGGTTATAACAAAATAAACAGAAAAAAATAATCTTTCGGGAGAGCTCAGATGACACTGCTTAGATTTGAGCCAGTAACAGAGCCATGGTTGTTCTTCTGCGGCGTTGTTGTCGGCGTGGTCGAGGTGGTTACCCCATTGGCCAATCCAACATCCAGCAATTGCAGAAGCCTTTGGCGTGTGCGCTTGTCGCTAACACAAATACACTGAATAAGGCTGGTCAACTGCCTTGCGGAGTATTCGTCCCCAAGGCGCTGCTGTTCGATCCATTGCTCAAACTGCTCAGGCGCAAAGTAGTAGGTTTTGATAAACACATCAACGTAGGACCGATGCTGTGGATACTTCTGGTTCGAGATTAGCTCGAGGAACGACATGAAGTTAGCAAAGTCCAGCTGCATGAGAGCGCGTCCTCCAGCTGAGCATTTCTTCACATTGGAAAAACTATAAGAATAAAAGACGTTAAATTTTAATCAAACATTTCTGGAATATAGAAACCTACTACTTACCCCTCAACCAGTAGGTGAGTGGCCACATGTGCCATCGAATTCCATACATGCTTGCTCGGAACCGGTACCTCCTTGGCGATCTCCTCCAGACACATGGCAAAGCTTTGAATGTTCTGTCAATAAACGTAATCAGTTAGAAATAGCATAAAAATGTTAATATTTTGACCCTACCCTATTTAGAACATCGCTATAACTGCTGTGCTGGTGTATCACATGATTCACATCCCATTTGACCTTGGCCATTTGAGCCAGAATGGCCGACAAATCGATGACGCGCGACGTGACGCACGTGTAAACGGGTTTGGCCAGGTCCAGCATATAATTGCTGTACTCCAGGTAGCTGGCCAGCATGGGACGCTCGGCGAGGGGCAGCAAATGGTTTAGATAGTGCTGGAGGATGTGGAACTGCTGGATCATGCTACGACCCGCCTCAACGGCCACGATGCGTTGTGAGAGGCCGTAGAGTGTGTCCGGATTAGCCAGCTCGTTGTTGGCCTGCGAAATAAATATGTTAAGAAACTACTATGAGAAGATTACAGAATCAAATTACCAGCGAGGAAAAGTTTAGTGGCCATAACTTCAGTTGTGACAGGATGTTTGACTCCACCAACCGCAAACGTTGCTCCAGTCGTGGAGTATACATATTATCTGTTGCTACTGGCTGAAATGTAGATTTGGGTTTAATAAGTTTTATTTTTTGCAATACAAGAGCTTACTGCATCCTTGCCGAAAATTTCATGCACGGCATAGGCATAAAAGTCGATCAATTCCAGCATACAGGACACGATCTTGGGAGATATGCAGTGCAGCAACTTGCACATCTGCAGATAACGACCAATACATCGCAACACATTCAGGGCGGTGTTGTTTACCAGCAGTTGGCTGAAAAATGATTCAATTGAGAATGTTGCCATAGTAAAAAGATATTGCTATTACTTGCTGGTGTCATCAAACTCCTTGCTCTGCAAACTCTTCTGTTCGTCATCGCTCTCCTCGCTGAAATAACAGGAGGCTTCGTCTACGATGCCGGACAGAATGTCCTCCTCCAACATGGCTGCATCCAATCCTCCATCAAAGGGCGAACTCTTCTCGGAAAATCTAAGAAAATATCCGTAGGAACCGTAAATGGAACTGCCGCCATCCTGTGAATGCACGGAAACCAGCTCGTCGCAGTTATTATTGCTGATAGGGGAGTTGTTGGATGAGGCCAGCAAAGCTGCTGTCGGGGATTTGTGGCGTCTAAGAGTGTGTCTGACCGATCGAAATTCCTTCAAAGAATTGACAATTAATTAGCTAAGCTGTCATTTGTTTCCCTCAAAGTTTTAGAATTACTTACAGGCAATTGCAGGATGTGCGCAAACGAGTCAACTTGTGTCCAGGATTCGTTGTCGAGGAAAAGACAGATCTCCTCCACGCAGCAGATGTGATAGCGCCGGAAGAACTCCTCGCTCTGCTGCTGCATCGTATCGATCAGTTTCTCAGACTGCTCGCCGCAAAACTCCAGACCGACCTTCTTTAAGCGCTGTACCACGGACAACACCTGGATAAACTGGTCGTATTTGAGCGCCGTCAACTTGCCCGCCTGCAGGAACAAGCACACCTTGGTTAGAATGTCATTCCACACCCGCGACTGTCCCTTCTTTAGTTTCTGCTGAATGTAAACGTCTGGGGAATCCTCCTCTTCCTGTCCGTACAACTTGTAGTTGTTGTGCCACATAACCACCTGGTAGTAGGAAGCCAGAATGGTCCAAAAGGTCTTGCACAGACTAATGAGGCAGGGCAATAGCTTCTCCACGCTCAACTGTTCGCATAGTTGCCCGTATAGTGGTTTGGCCTGATCGTCCTGTCCGGGATCGCTGTAGCCCCGCAACACCGCATTCACAGACGAGTGGATGGCCGATATGTAGTTTATGTGCAGCTGGTCCATGGCCATTAGAGACTTGTTCGCCAGTTTGTAGGCCTCCTGCAGCTTGGCGTACTTGCGTCCGTCGAAACCGAGCACCATCTCATTAAGGACCGTGTCCAACTGAAACTCCATGAGCAGCATGGTCTCCTGAAGCTTCTTGGAGAGCGATTGCACGCAGTTAAACTGCATGTAGGCCTCGGCCGAGCTCTTGCACTGAAGCAGCAGTGCAATGGCGGCGCTGTAGTTGTGATCTGCCAGCAGCTTCTGCACCTCCACGTCTGTTGTGCGCTGTAGGAAACTTAATGTTATTATAAAGGATTACACAACTAGGATATTGTTTTCCAACCAGCTTCTTGATGGCCACCAGGGTGTCCAAAACTTCCTTGAGCACCTCTCGTTTGCGGTAGCTGGCCAGGATCTCTAAGCTAGTGGTAGTTAGATTCGTGCGGGCAAAGTTTAAATAGGATCTCGCCTTCTGGCATGTCCAGAGCGACTCCTCAAGCTTCTTCTGGGTGTCATTGATGGCCGCGAACTCACTGCTGCAGGCATTGCGTTGCTCCAGGATGTTCTGCAGCACCTGCTTGGTGAGAACCTTCTGCTGAGTGCGCAGTTGTGCAATGGTGACCTCGATCAACTCGTTGTCTATGCCGTCGTTGAGAACTTTCTACGGAAGATTGTGCGGTGTGATTAATACCTTTGGATACTGGTTTTGCACCTGGTTTACCTTGAGCTCGTACAGCTGCGGATTGCTGTCGGGGCTGTAGTAGCACTGCTCGATCCCCTCCAGGATCTCCTGGTCCGACTTTTGTGCGTTCGACTCCCCGGATGCGATGGCCGCCGCATCCGTGGCGTCCACTTCATGGCTGGGCGAGGAGTTCGTCGTCACCGTTTGGATGAAATAATCCGAAAATCCCATGGCAGGAATTTTCATTTGACGGTCCGTCTGTGTGTGCGTGGGTAGGTTTTTGTTTGGTGGTCGGAGAGCAGTGGAAAATGGTTAGTTTTGCTGGTTACTTAATCGTACGGTTACCTGCTACCTGTTTGTGCAATATGTCCAAGATTTTGCTCTTGAATTCGTCCATTTTGGCCTTGGAATTCTGCATGTTTTAGCCATGAAGATACCAGCCAAGAAACAAAAACGTCTCCCCCACTCCCGTTCAAACCAAGTGTGGCCGTATTAGACCCCGCGAAAAATGCCCACGAATTCGAGGAAAGATTTTTATTGTACCTAGGTAAACTAAAAAAGGTACATAAAAGGTAAGACTTCAGTTGGATTTTTTATTATCAATCTGTGAATGCCACTTGATTGCAAATTTTCTAACAAATTCAATGAGGTATGACATTCCATCATATGACCATTATTTCCCTGGGTTTTGATCAAAAAACCGAAATAAAAGTGGGTTTTTTCGGATCTCCGGATTTTGGCATTTTTCATCATTAATATTTGAAAAAAATCGACTAATTGGAAATTTTTTAGCTGTGAATGCCATCCGATTGGAAATTTTATAACGAATTCAGTGATGTATGGCACTCCAACATCTGACAATTATTTCCCAAAGTTTTGATCAAAAAACCGAGAAAAAAGTTAATTTTTCCGGATGTCCTGATTTCAGCATTTTTCATAAGGGGTTACATTGTCTTTTTTGGCGAAAACCCGACCAAAATTAAATTTTCGAGCTGTGAATGCCACCCGATTGGAAATTTTATAACGAATTCAATGAGGTAAGGCATTCCAACATCTGACAATTATTTCCCAAAGTTTTGATAGAAAAACCGAGAAAAAAGTTGATGTTTCCGGATCTCCTGACTTCCGCATTTTTCATAAGGGGTTACATAGTCTATTTTGGCGAAAAACCGACCAAAATGAAATTTTTGAGCTGTTAATGTCACCCGATTGGAAATTTTATAACGAATTCAATGATGTATGGCATTCCAACATCTGACAATTATTTCCCAAAGATTTGATAAAAAAACCGAGAAAAAAGTTGATTTTTCCGGATGTTTTGATTTCAGCATTTTTCATAAGGGGTTACATTGTCTTTTTTGGCGAAAAACCGACCAAAATGAAATTTTTGAGCTGTTAATGTCACCCGATTGGAAATTTTATAACGAATTAAATGATGTATGTATAACGAATTCAACGAGCTATGATATTCCAACGTGTGATCATTATTTCCCAGGGTTTTGATTAAAAAACAGAAATAAAAGTAGATTTTTTCGCATCTCCGGATTTTGGCATTGCCAAAAATTGACTCAAATACAATTTTTTAGCTGTGAACGCCACTCGATTGAAAATTGTATAACGAATTCAACGAGGTATAACATTCTAACATTTGACTATTATTTCCCACGGCGTAGATTAAAAAACCGAAAAAAAATTACAATTTTCCGGAGTTTTAAGATTTTGGCATTTTTATTAGGTACAGGTACATCGTAATTTCCTGTGAAAATTCGACTAATATTAAATTTTTCTGCTGTGAATGAAATCACCAACTCAGGAAAGATAAAAAGTGTTTAATTAGGTAAGAGGAAAATTACAATAAAATTATATCTACGAAAATTTGGTTGGTTGTTTAATTTAATTAAAATGTTAGGCAAATTGGGTCGTACAAAGGGGTCAGAAGTTCAGTCCCCTTTTCGGCACATTACAACACTGCGCCATTGACCGATTTTTAGCATTGTGCCACACTGACTTTTTCGTTGTGCCGACTTGTTTAAGTTCTAGCATTTATTTGTTTTATGTGGAATGTCAGCTTACTGGAAGCCCCAGAAGCCAACGAGTGAAAGATGCGCATCTGCATGGTGTCGGACTTCTTTTACCCGAGCATCGGCGGGGTGGAGGAGCACGTCTACAACCTCTCGCAAATGTTGCTCACCCAGGGCCACAAGGTGACTATTGCCAATTGGGAACGTAGAGGAAGATAACGACTATTTAAACAACTTATCTTCATCTAGGTCGTGGTGCTGACCCACGCCTACGGGGACTGCAGTGGCGTTCGCTATGTGACGGGTGGAATGAAGGTCTACTATCTGCCCATCAAGGTGTGCTACAACCAGTGCATTCTGCCCACTGCCGTCTGCAATGTGCCCATGTTGCGGGCGGTGCTCCTCCGGGAGCGTGTGGACGTGGTCCATGGCCACTCTGCCTTCAGTGCTCTGGCCCACGAGGCGCTGATGGTGGGCTCCCTGCTGGGCTTAAAGGTGGGCTTGGTCCAAACTCACCGGAGATCTCTAATCAATACTATTTTGCAGACTGTCTTCACCGATCACAGCCTATTTGGCTTCGCGGACCTTTCCGCCGCTCTGACCAACAATCTGCTGGAGGTCAACTTGGGCATGGTAAACCACGCCATCTGTGTTTCCCACATTGGCAAGGAGAACACTGTTTTACGCGCTCGAGTGGCCAAACAACGTGTTTCCGTCATTCCCAATGCTGTGGACACCGCCTTGTTTACCCCTGATCCTGGACAGCGTCCCAGCAATGACACAAGTAAGAATTAACGAGTGTTAAATGGGGTCAACACTAACTTATTTCAATTTCCCCAGTTAACATTGTGGTGGCCTCGCGTCTGGTCTACCGCAAAGGCATCGATCTGCTGGCTGGCATCATTCCCCGTTTTAAGAACACTCCAAATGTGAATTTTATCATTGTCGGCGATGGACCGAAGCGGGATCTGCTGGAGGAGATTCGCGAAAAGACCAACATGCAAGAAAGAGTGGAAATGGTGGGCGCGGTGGACCATGCCAAGGTGCGCGATGTCCTGGTGCGTGGCCACATTTTCGTGAATACCTCATTGACTGAGGCCTACTGCATGGCCATCGTTGAGGCTGCTTCCTGTGGCCTACAAGTGGTGTCCACCTGTGTGGGTGGGATTCCAGAAGTGCTGCCCAAGAGCTTAATACTACTGGCGGAGCCAGACATAGATGCCATACACGCTGCAATTTTGTTGGCCATCGAAAGGCATCAGAGGAGTTCCTTTAAAGTTAGCCCTCGTGTTGCCAATGGACACTTGCCGTCGGAGGCTAACGGAAAAGGAAAGCGGCGACGTCGCAAGAAAGTGGATGCTCCTACCTCACTTCCGCAACTGCCATCATCCTCGACTCCTCCCGCGGATCAGAGTAGCCACACAGAACCAGTGATGTGTCCCTATAAATGTAATGAACTGGTGGAGACGCTCTACAACTGGGAGGACGTGGCCCTCCGAACGGTCAAGGTATATAATCGGGTTCTACAGGAGCGCTCCTTCACCACCAGTGAGCTGGTGTTTGCTGTGTGGCAGCACGGATCCTGGTTCCTAGTTTTTTTCGTAGTGGCCCACTTTATGATGCGTTTGCTGGAACTTTGGCGACCTCAGAAACGCGTAGAGCTAGCCCAGGATTTGCAACGTCCGCTCAGCTAGCGAAGAGCAAACGGATTCCATTCTTCCATCTACTAGCCAATTTTAAATGAACACCTTAGATGACAGAACTCTAGTTCAGAGTTTATTTATTGTCCATAGTCGTAGTTGAATACACTGTCACACCCTGAACAACCTGCTAAATCTACTGTAATGAACAATAATCCGACGGAAACTGATCCTGCGGTATTGGCCCAGAGCTCCTCGGTAAACATATTCCACGATGAATCGATCTTGCCGCAGCGTAATGTTAAAACAAGTGAGCTTCCCCTTATACCAACTACTTAATTCCCAAAGACTTCAGGCAATGATCCTGTTTGTAACCAGGTGAAAATGTACCCCCATCATGTGCGGAGAAAACCTTGTTTGTGCTTTCTATCATTCTGATAGTCCTGACGGTGCCGTGGTCCCTTTTCTGCTGCCTCAGGGTCATGTCGGAGTATGAGCGAGCGGTGATCCTCCGTCTGGGACGCCTGCGTCCAAAACCTCCCAGGGGACCGGGCGTCATTTTTGTAGTGCCTTGCATTGATGACATCACCGTTGTGGATATACGCACCAGGTCGTTCGATTTAGATAGGCAGGAGATCCTTACTCGAGACATGGTGACGATCAGCATCGACGGTGTGGTATACTACAGCATCAAGAGCCCTTTTGATGCGATGCTGCAGGTATTCGATCCTGAGGAAGCCACCGAGAAGCTGGCCATGACCACACTGCGGAACGTGGCCGGCACCCACAAGCTAATGGATCTGCTGTCTTCCAAGGAGTACCTGTCCAACCAGATCGAAGGTATATTGTACAACTCTACAGAGCCTTGGGGAGTGCGCGTGGAGCGGGTGGAAATGTAAGTAGTTCCCTGTCCTCACTTGAACCTTCAGTGATATCCATATATTTCTTAGAAAGGAGATCTTCATGCCGGACCAACTGAAGCGCGCCCTGGCCGTGGAGCAGGAAGCTATGCGTGAGGCCAAGGCCAAGGTGGCCGCCGCCCAAGGAGAGCGGGACGCTGTAAAAGCGCTGAAGGAAGCCGCTGACATCATGGAGACCAACCCAATCGCCTTGCAACTGCGCTACCTGCAAACACTAAACTCCATTTGCAACGATAACACCAGATCATATGTCTTCCCCTTTCCTGTGGATATTGTGAGGAAACTAATGAAGTGATTAGCAGTGCTTGTTGTAAAATAGCATCACTAGTCGATTGTGCAATTCCAAAAATACTTTATGTAGTACGTATGCACGTCCAAAAGAGGATCATTCAATTACAGATGTATCAGCTCATTAGAGTTAATACTTAAATCTAAATGCTCAACTCAATAATTCCAAATGATGATTACCATTTTAGGACAGAAATAGTTGCCATTATTGCTCAATAGAATAGATTTGATGAATAGATTCACTTTATTCCTAAACATTATTTTATTTTCATATCTAAATTAAGGTCCAGCCAAGCAAAATTACTTTATATTAGAATATATAAGTAAATTATTAGAAAACAAAAATAAAGACAACTTCCAACTTTTTTTGTAACCTACAATTGATGAACAGAGCGAGTTTGTTTATTACATTTTGTAATTATAAATATTAATTTCATAAATATTAATAATTTAACGACCGGTAAGATATACCAAAACGGATTCAAAAGTTTACGCCAATAAACTAAATACCAGAAGAACCATATACTTTCTCTGAATAACTGAAAGTCTGGCCATACTGCGATGCAGCCCTGGCTTATTTGGGGAAAAAAATTAAGAGGGAGCAGCAGCGGAGACGGGCGATAAATTAATTAGCCACTGCTACCACATAACCCAGGGTGCGGAAACCTGACGCTAGCTCATAAACAATCCCAGCACCATTGCTAGCATCCCAACGTTCACCCAGGTCAAGGTGAGCAACGCCGACGGCCACCTGAAGGTCCGACATTGACTGCGGATTGGTGTACCACATTCCAGAATCTGTCACCATATCAGGGTAGCGACGATGGCGGAACTGGTCAGGGACTGGCTGGCGGACTACCAGCGGACACGGAGCCAGCCAGCCGAGGCGGAGGCCTTTGTGGTGGAGCACGAAACGGACCCCGAAATTGCCGAGGCAATTTTCACCATCTTCAACGAGCGACAGCGCAACGAGGCGATGGTCCACGACATCTGCCAGCAACTTCTGGCCTTCTACCGCTCGCCGGAGCTGACACTGCACAAGTTCCCGCTACAATTCATCCCGGTGCTCGTGTACACGTACCTGCAATCGGTGGCCGGCGGCGATAAGAAGGCCGCTCGAGGTGTGGAGACGCTGCTCATCTGCATTTATAATGGCGAGGTGTCCACCGACGACGGCGGACAGAGGGTGGTAGCCTTCCGCATGCCCATCCTGGCCCAGACATCCGTCTACCACGAGGTCAAGAATCTGCCCATGACGGATCTGCGTCGCTGGGAGGAGAACTGCAACAGAGAGGTCAAGTGGGGGCCGCACCAGCGTATCGAGTCGATCCACGCCCAGAACCGCATGCGCATCCTTACGGCGCTGCTGTTTTGCTACAACCAGCAGGTCAGCCAGACGCAGAAGTCGTCGCTGCTCCATTTGTGCCGCGTGACGTCCCAGCTGGTGAATCAGGGATTCACTACAAAGTCGGGTCACGGACATCGCATGAGCTACGGGTAAGTGAGCTCCAGATCAACAGTTTATTCTTACTAACAGTGTATATCCCATCCAGTTCCGACCCTGCGACGGGAGCCACCTTTCCCAAGCCCTCCTCACCGCGCATTCCATTGTCCGGCTCCTTCCTAATCGAACTGGTGCACGCCATCTACTTCGCCATGTTTAATGGCTACGGCACGATAGCCATTCAGACACTGGACGACATTCACAACCGGGCCACCTACGAAATGTACACGGAGCTGATCCTGGTGACCAGTGCGGTACGCAACTCGCTGCACGCCAATCCTTCCGGGCAGCCCAACGACGGACCGATGGGTCTGAGTGTGGCTTTGACGCCGTCGACCAATACGGTGACCACGTCGGTGTCCAAGTCCATGATCACGAACGCCTCCTTCCGCACGAAAAAACTGCCTGACGACATACCCATCCAGGTGCAGGACCTCACGATGCCGCAGGCGCCACAGCAGTTGGCCAGTGTGACCGAGGAGGCGGAACCGGGCTCCAAGGAGTCGCCTTCCACGAAGGAGAGCTCCGGCACGCGCACTTCTATCATGCGGCCTAGCATGGAGGGCATCAAGGCGCAGGCACACAAGGCCCTCATTGCGGGCTTCAAGAAGTCAAAGGACAAGGAGAAAGAGAAGGACAAGGAGCCGCCGAAGCCACCGCAGCGCAAGTTCGACAAGCACACGCAGCGTAACTCGCTGCTCCAGCTGCAATCGGAGCCGAGCTCAAATCCTAGTGCGGATCAGCCACCCACCGGTGAAGTGCTGCCGCTGCAGACGCTATCGCTGATCAACGAGAACGGCAGCAACAGCTTCAGCGTGGACAGCGATCTCAACGACGGCGTGCTTGGCGTGAATGCCAACACATCCCTGCCCCCGCTGAGCAGCACCACCAACTCGGTCACCAGCAGCGACCTGCTCACCAAGAGCTTCGACTCTAGCATCGAACTGGCGCCGCTGGGACACAGCAGCAGCAATGGAGGCAAGCTGGCCGAGCACAGCTTGGCGGAGTAGTGCAATTGATCGTCTCGTTCCAAAGGCGATTAGCCAAATCCAAGTATCAAGTATATATATTTAAAACCTTAACTGGGGTGGGTGGAACTTACACGAAAGAAAAGATGAAAACGAGTAATTGTAAGGGCACTATCTTTGGATAATTCTTTGATATTTTCATTAGAGTATTAAATTTTTTTTTAATATAAAGACATAAAATATAAAAGTTTCTGGAAAAGTGCAATTATATACCTTGCATTTTAGCCGGTCTTCAAAGAATATTATCCAAAGATAACCTGCCGTGATAAAAATATCTTCATGACCTAAAAATTCACCCACCCTGCTATATATATATTCGCCACCTACCGCTGTGTATTAGCCGAACAAAACCGTGGCGCGAGGGGAGATTTGAATTTATGGATTAAGGATCGTTTGAATTTGTTGAATTTGATGGGTTTTCTTAGTTGTTTGAGGTTATTATCGTATTCCAAATCCAATTGTTGGTTAGATTAAGTGTTGCTAGGACGTCACACGAATTATATACAAACTACAAATTGTATACACGCGGAGCCCTCGGTAGACATCGTTTGCAAATGCTTCAGTCAGAGGGAGATTATGTTCCATTTTCGGGGAACACAACGTACACATCCCGGTGCATTTCACTTGTTTTAGGTAAGCAGCATGACGCTCACACATTCGATATCTACTCGACATTCAGCCAGAGTTGGGTCCAGGCAATTTCAATTGAGCTCTACAGGAAACCTTTTAGTTCTGTCACTTATTAACATATACATGTGTAAACTAATATTACATACAAATATTTATTGAACGTTGACTTGAACCATGTTATTGATTTAAAATAAATACAACAACTAAATACGTAACAAAGGGCCGTAGTTTGTGGTCAGAGGTTCTTCTTTCTGAACTTTCCCTGCAGGAAGATGCGTGGCACATCCACACCTTCCTTGAGATTAAGAGTTCTCCTGTGCACATAGGCATTGGTGATTATGTCGAAGCCGTTCTCCTGGAAGAGCTGGGATACTTCTTCCTCGGAGAAGAAGTAACTCCGGGTGCCATCCTGTCGCACATATAGGTTATCGGCAATCTTGTTGCCCGGCTTAAAGCGCAGCTGGGCCATGTCGTAAAGTCCATAGTCCCTGAACAGCACAAGTCCTCCTGGCTTAAGAAGCTTCCACAAGTTCTGCACCACATCCAAGAACTTTTGTGGGTGGATCGCGGAGAGTACGAAGATCAGGGTGCAGACATCTAGGCTACTGGGCGGGATGTGTTCATGCACCTGTTGCGTGGTGATATCGCACTGAAAGGCTGTTATTTGGCTGGAATCGTACAGTGGATTGGAACGCACAAAGTCTACAGCTCGCGGTGAGAAGTCGCAGGCGTAGAAGTAGAACCTCCCCTTGGTAAAGCATCCTTCCTCACTGGTTTGCTCCTCCAGGAGCGGAAATACCAAATTGCCCACTCCGCATCCCACTTCAAAGAGGGTGCGTTTGTCGTCGGACGACTCTTGGTCCAGCAGCTCCTGGAACTCCCGCGTGGTCCAGTGGCGGTCCTTAAAGAAGCGAGTCTCATTCCGCTTGTAAAATATGTCCCAGTTCCTCTGGGCATCAATTTCCAGTTTGTTGGCTTTGAATTCGGGCACAAAACCACGTTTGTTTTGCTCCTCCAGCTTTTGCTTATCCGCTGCTGTGAGCTCCTTTGTTTGTTTGGTGAAGACATCCGGTTCTAGAGGTTCCTAAAGTACTTTACTAGTTAATTAATGTACTTAGAAGTTTAAAAAAAATTTTATTTAGTTACCATGTTTGTTGATGCTATGTAATTTTTGTGGGTTATTTGCACCACGCGTTCAATGACAATTCTGGAATTATTGGAAGGTCAGCTGGCAACGGCGTTATGTGTCTGTACTATTATATTAAATCCTTCAATTTATATAGTCACTTTGATTCAAGAAACTTATTTTTCAATAAATAAATCTTTTGGCTTGATTTCCAAATGGGTTTCAGGCAAACATTTATGCCTGCGATATGGTCATACCGGTGACCATAGACGTGGACACAAAAAAATTCCAAAGGGGTTATAAACTATCTATATTCTTTCTATCCTCTTTTATTTTTCTTCCTCTTTTAATATTTTATGTTTTGCTTTTTAAAAGCTTGTCAATATGGGAATGTTGTGTCCAGGGAGATAATCCCTCCTGCAACATCCGTGATCGACCCGCCAGACTCATGCTCGATAGCCGCAATCGATTTTCCGATTTAATTATGTTATCTGAATTTAAAACTAAAACCGTTACTATTGACTGAAATCAATTCCTTTATTGCTTTGAGATTCTTATTGCTATAAAGCGAAACAATTTAAATACAGCCATTATGAAAACAACAAATAACGAAATTGAAATGAAAAGCAACTACGGCAAGTGTGCCGGTTGCTTTGGTCTTTGGGTGCAGGAGGGCATTCCATGCTATCTGCCCATTATGGTGGGTTCATCCGCCATCGCCAGCTCGTCATTGGGCGCCTTGGCGCCCTTTTTCTTGCCAGAGTACCACAGGAACATAACACCGCACAAAATATTGTCCACAAAGGTGAACCAGGCCAAGAAGACGCCATATCCATATCTAAAAAAGAGGGGAAATTAGTGATGACAAATTATATTATATCCAAAGTTTCAACTCACCTTAGTTCAGCCCCGTCAGGATATGCGTAGAACAGATGATCCTTGGTGTAGTCAATGGAGTTGAAGAGCACCTGGAGCACCACCAGCGCCGTGGAGGCGGCCACCAGGTGAATGCCACCTGCCAGCCGCTTGAACATGTAGCGCGGATTCATGAACGTGTAGAAGGAGAACACAGCTCCGAGGCTCATCACGAAGAGTGTTATGCAGGCAAAGGATGCCTGCGTCCGGATGTAGTCTGAAAGGGAGTACCAAGCGACTGCCAATTAGGAACCGTTGCCTTCAAGGCGGAACTCTAAGTACCTACCCAATAGTTCATCATCGAATCCGGGCTCGTTTCGCAGGGCATTGGAGTTGGGAAACATGTCGATGTACTTGCAGCGCTCTGGAAAATTGGATTTAGTACTCAATCAAGGAACTGGGTCGTGTCTGATTTCCCACTCACGGTTCGGGATATAGCTGTAGAAGGCGGGCTGACCCTTCTTGGGCGGCAGTGGTGGCACCAGGATCAAGATCACCCGCTCGTCGTTTAGCACGTAGGCGGGAATGTTTATGTCCCGGATGTAGGTGCCCAGCAGACGCACAACCAGCGGGTAATCCGTCCAGTTACTAAAGAGTGCCAACTGGGCCACCTCGGGGATCACGTAGTACGACCAGGTGTTGTTGTACTTAACCCGCTGCAGCGCCGAGCCGAAGGTCTTTCTCGCAATGATGCCCTTAACGTCCAGCGGATCGATGGGTATCGGCTTGATGTCCGTGGCGTTGATCTGCCGCTGGTTCTCCTCCGTGTTCATCACCAGGCTGCGAAAGGCATTGCGCAGCGTTTGAAACTCCTCCGCCTCGCCACGCGCCCAATGGGCAAACATGTGCCGACGGGCGGACTCCGTGAAGTTTTCCGACGTATCCAGCGGCTCCTGGGCGAACTCCTTGATGAAGTCCCTGTGCGAGAGATTCCGCTTGGCCTCGTTGATGTTCGTCTGCGAGGTGTAGGACATGGAGCTGAAGTTGCGCACCACCTGGGCATTGCTCATGGCATTCGGCACGATGGTGTTCCGGCAGTGGCGCCACAATCCCGAGTGCGAGGACATGAAGAACCGCCTCGACTCCGGGATAAAAATGCCTGCAAACGTAGAAAAAAGGATTTAGTTTAATACTTTTCATTTTATCACTACGACTTAAGGCTAAGCTAAGTTAGTAAATATTGTATTATTGTTATAATATTACTAATGTGTTCTTTCAATCTAGCCATTTAATCTTGAATTATTATTTTTATGTATGGTATGTACATATTACTAATAATTTTAAAATAATCTGTGTGGATAATGAAATTCACACATCTATTTTGTATAGATATTGCACTCACTTCGAGAATTTTGTGGATTTTGTTCTGGCATTCTTCTCAGAACGTCAACATATATTTTTTACAATCTTTTGGTCTGTCACCAAAAGATTAAAATATATTTTTACGTTCTACGAAGACTGCCAAAACACAAAGTTCTAAATAAAAGATTTATAGTATTCTATAGTTTCGGCGATAAAATACGTATACGTAATGTATACATATTTAAAAATTCTGAATAGTGTCTAAAAAGGATTATAGATCCCTCAAGCTCTAACATAATAAATCAAAAACTTCTTACCTTTTCCGCCGGAGATGATGATCCAGTGATCGGTCGAGATGGCCACTATCCAGATCACCAGGGACACCACCATGAGCAGACTGCATCCGAGCAGGACGCGTCGCTGGAACATATAGGCTTCCATCAGGGGACGGCGGGCCTCATCCCGGCCGATGGTCGACGTGGACACCTCGCGCTTCATTCTGGCGCCTGTTATGGTTCCGGGTCACACTCCTCCCCTCCTAGGGCTCTCTGGACGATGGCAAGGGGCAATCCACACGCACATGGAACAACGCGCGTTCCTGGGGGAGGAAGGTAACCCATTTATTATCGTTCCCCAGGCAAATGAAGTCATGCGGACATATCGCACATATGTGGGACATTTGGTGGACGCCGTTTTCATCATTCGGCAGGTGTTTCGCTGGGCCTACACCCCGTCCCATTCCAACCCAGACCTCTCTAATTTAAACAATATTTTATTTTTATACTAGACAACCTGCGGCAGTCAAAACAACAATAGTGCGGATGGGGATTTAGAAACGGACGATAAAAGATATTGTAAGTGAAAGAAAATAACAAATAAAAATAAGTATTAGAAAAATGTTTTAAAAAGCAAAGTTTTTTAAACTATTCAAAACGTTTTTAATATTTATGTATTTGTTTTCAATTTGAAAGTTTTTCATTATAATTTAAGAATATTATTTTTTAATTTTAATTTGCTTAGACGTTTCAAATAATATCTGAATCATTAGAAATTTGTTCATTTTTGAAAACCAATATATTTCTTTTGAAAACTCAACTATTATTTCCACCTAGACTGTATGTTTGCCTCACGTAAATCCGCGAGAACGTGCCCATTAATTATGTAGTTTTGGAGAATCCGTTTTATTTTATTTATGTATTTTAATGTTGCCACGAGGACCAGAAATTCCCATTCGAAAACGGTTTTTCGTCTTGATCTGTGACAGAAATTAAGCAAATTAGTGGACACATTCAGGCGAGCAAAATAAATGACAAAATGCGAATTCCGTTTCAAAATTATTTTGGCTCTTCACTGAAATGTTTGCGAGAATTAGGTGCGCCTCTTCCGAGTGGGCGTTCAAATAAGTGGGTGGAGTGGCAGGTGGGGATCAGGTTTGGGTGGGGGGAGGGGTGTGCGTGCACAAGTGCCATATACATAGTTAGTACTGCCTGCCTTGTGGATGCCGACCAAATTTATGTTATGTTCGTTTCTCCCTCTTTGTTTCGAGACAATAATTGGGCTACCAGAAATGTCATCTTGAATCTTTTTCAGGGGAAAACCCAGAGACAGCTAGGAGAAATTCCCCCTCAACGGCGTCAGATTCTGGTTCTCCGCTTCCGCGATCTATTCCGGGAATAGATCTTGCAGTTGCAGCTGCATTTGCAACATCGGGAGTTGGGGGAGATGCTGCACTTGCGTCATGAAGTGCGTCATTAGGCGGAAAGAAGAAGTTATATCGCATGTGCCACTTTCCTTTGAATACGTTTTTTCGAATTTATATTTTCTTTTTTAGTCGCTTTGTAGCCACGCACAAATTACAGCAAACTGTTTGCATTATTTTTAGATTTTTAACAGATTCCTGACTGACAAAACGTTTGGAGGCAGCAGAATCATTAATTGTCGCTTTTTGGGCGCGAATATATTGACACTTTTGACAGGCGAAATTTTTATATATTTTGAAAAAACGCACAGCAAAATAAATCGCGAAATGTTCGCCCGCCTATTTATTTATTTGTTTTGTGTTTCAGCCTTTGTTTTACTTGCCGACGGCCATTGTATTTTTGGTATGTGCCGTATTATTCAGCCCGTCGCAACACCTCGAATTCCGCCCCCGGCGTAAAAGAAGCGAATTTTGAGAAATGTGTATTTAATTAATGCCCCGCATAAATAATGCCAATGCCAGCGGATTTGGATCAGCATCAGAATCAGAATCCGCGCCGTCTCCTCGGCAGCCTACCTCATAAACTGTCAGGCAGTGCTAACGCCCGTTGGGTATCCTGATTTATCGTTATATAAGAGCGATCCGCTCGGTGTTTTACCATTAAAGCTGCAGCGATGCAACGGAGATCTTTGGCTGGCCTGGCCCAAGCTGATTGTTTACGAACGATGTGTTTGGTTTGGTTTTAATGAGCTGCCCGGCTCGTCTAAAATAAAATGTGTTTAATCTACCAACTAAAATCCGAAACGGACCAACGATAACAACCGAAATAAATGGCTAAGCTGCCGCGAAGCGAACTAAAATTCGAAATAAAAGAGCGCGATACTGGGGTTCTCGGATGGGATCGCGGCGGCACGGTTCCGTCTGCTGCTGGCCAAGGCAGAGCACAGACTGACTGGCTACTAGCCACCAGTGGTTGTCGTTCGCTGCCTTTTCCTTCGCTTTTCTTGTGGGGAGCGCGGCGAGCTAAAAACAAAGGCAGCCATTGTTAGCCAGCATAAACATAAAATCGTTCTACATACGCCGCTGGGAGCGGGATTGGATGGGGAATGGGGGTTTGGGCAGGGCGGAGCTGCCACCTGCAGCAAGTCGTCGAAGGAATTACTCGGGCAGACGTCATCGTTGCTTAATTGCGCCATAAACATGAACTCTACTCCGCCGATGCTTCTTCGTTTCTGCTGCTGCGGCAGTGTGCGCACAAATTTAGAATTTAGATGGATTTAGGCATCTCTTTTTTAATGGTACACAGAGCATGGTACATGGGCAGCTATTTTTATATCTTCGCTAGCCACGCTAGCGGTCCGCCACGTTCCCCGCTCTGCCATTAAACGTTGACATCGCGTTTATGAATGCCGTTGGCTATCTGTTGGCATACCATTAGCGCATCGTAAGGCCTCAAAAAGGGGGCAACGACTGGGCGGAGCATGACGTGTTGAGAGGAACATCTAACCACTTGTTGGCCAGCCAGTGGTCGTGGCTCGCTTGCCATGTCCGTGTGGGTAGATGAATGCTGTTTATGGATGTGTGATCTATTTCTGCCTGTCCGAGATACGGAGTGCTCCCATGTCCAGGTTGAGTTCGGTGAGGATGTCGTTGGGGGCCGATCCCTGCATTGTGAGTCCAGCAATTACCTGTTGTGCCTCTGGACAGTTGATGCAGGCGTTGCGGATGGCCAGGATGCTCCACTCCCGCATCACTAAGGGAAGAATGGTATAATGTAGTGATTTTTTTCCAAAGACAATCGTGATTCTTACATGGATTCCGGGCATCCATCGTGGTGCATTCCAGGAGAGTGGGCAGTAGTTGTGTGTCCAGGCAGTAACCCTTGTTGGCCGTGTTGTCGTACAGAAGATTGGCCGAGCATCGAACGAGTAGCGTCTTCAGTTCGTAGGATACCTTTTTCTCGTATCCCGCATCAATGTTCGAGGTAAGGGCCACCTCCTCCAGTTTTGTCATGGGTTTATCCAGTCCGCCTCCATCCGCTTCCTTGCCCGCAGACACCACGCATCTCAGCAGGCTGCTAACGTTGATGAACAGCGATTGGTCCGTGGAGTATACGTTGGCGTACTTCTCGGAGCCACTAGCGCTGGCAATGATGCGCAGTAAAGTGTGGACTTCACGGGGATGGAGCTCATGTTTGAGTTTGAGAGTTTCCCGTAGAAGGCAATCGGATTTCAGACGGAATTCTTTGGCAAAGTGTTGTAGCAGGAACAGGGCCACCTCGCAATTGGGGCTATTTTCCCTGAGATAGTGAGCCACATAGTCCAGGAAGGCGACCCGATCTTCAGTCTCCAGTTTCTGGTAACTAGCCACGCAGGCACGGCCATTCTGCACGATAAAGTGCTCTAGAAAGAAGTGCAGATACTCGAAGTTGTAGGTGCACTGGGCCTCGTTTAGAGATTGCCATAATCTCAAGCAAGTCTGGAGCGCCACCAGATCGCTGATGAGGCCCCGACCACTGAGATATATGTTGTACATGATCATAAGGAGCACATTATTAGAGCTGCCCAAGGGAGAAGCGTAGGCTTGTTCCGAGATCTTCAAGCCATGTTGATTCCAGGTGATAGTTTGGGTGGTCTCATTATTAACGACACTATTTGCAAGCACCTGGAGTGATAGATTGTGTATAATCCGATGCTCTGTGCGCATCAGTGGATTAAAAGCTACCGCATCCAGAAAACTGGAAAACTCCACATTTCTGGCTAATGTCTCTTGATTTTCACTGCCTTTTGTAAGCAAAAGACGCAGGTTTTTGAGTATAGCCGTGATTTCATCTTCATTTTCGGTCGTATTCAGACTCACGAGCTTTTGTATAAGCTCACTGGTTTCGTTAGTCTAAAGCAAATCAGCAAATTAAATATATTTTTCAGGAAATAACAATAATATTTACCACATGCTCCATTTTCGATAGACACAGCTGTTTGCCGCCATGTGTTATCGATTGGCAAATGCAACGCTTCGCAACACTGCAGCAATCAGGTCAGAATTTCTCTTCCGCGAATGCGGTCACATTGCAAAGGAAAACAACAAAAGAGCTATTTCTTTTTGTTAATTTAAAAAGTGATGTAGCAAATAAAAGGCTGCGAAACAAAGCAATGTCACTGCGGGCGCTTCGGAAAAGAGAGAACGGCAGTAGCTACGGCAATAACAACAACCACTTGGCACCTGCAAGAACTTCGTCAGCAACGCTTTTCAAGAAGGCCAGCACAGCAACAACGTCACCGAAGAAGACTCTTCTCAAAACTGGGAACTCTAGCAGCGGGCTGAACAAACAGAAGCTGTTCCAGCAGAGGAAGCTGCTCGGTCGCAAGTGTCACTCGAATCCCGACCTGCCACAAGGGCGAAAGAACCAAAACAACAGCCTGTTGCGCAGCAAATCGGAGGGTGATGTCAGCGTAGTCCTGACCAGCAACTCGGGTGCTCCATTGACAGTGGCCAACGCCAAGTCGGAAGTGTGTCTGCAAAGGATCAGCTCGCACAGCTACGAACAACCCTCCAGAAGCCCCATCAACAGAAGTGAAATGCTTGGTGGCGCCCGTTCCCATCGGGACTTGACCCAGTCTTCCTATGGCCACCAGGCAGGAGGACACCCCATAGACCTGGAAACCAGCACTAGGGCTCCCCGCCGCATGAGCGAGTGCAGCCTAGGCTATAGCCAAACCAGCTCCCGCCACACGGGCTCCAACTCCATGTTCGCCAGCCAGATGACACTCTCCTCGGGATCGGTGGTTCCTCCCGTGGATCCGAATGCCGTGCTTCGAGTGCCTATCATCGGCTACGAGGTGATGGAAGAGCGGGCGCGCTTCACTGTCTACAAGCTGCGTGTCGAGAATCCGGAGACAAATGACTGCTGGCTGGTAATGCGACGATACACCGACTTTGTGCGGCTAAATGGGAAGCTGAAGCAGACTTTTCCCAACCTCACGCTCATGCTGCCGCGAAAGAAGCTTTTCGGGGACAACTTCAACGCCGTCTTTCTTGACAATCGAGTGCAGGGCCTGCAGATCTTTGTCAACTCAGTGATGGCCAAGGAAGAGCTGCGCAAGTGCAAGCTGGTGCGAGAGTTCTTTTGCCTGGACGAGCCGCCCTCGTACTCCGAGTCCATGGAGGAGTGTCGGGTAATAAAAGGTTTTTATCGAATGTATATGCATTGCTTATGATTTTTCTTTTTTTTAGGCCATTTTCGAGGCTCAGGAAGAGACTATTGTTCATCTGAAGCTGCAGATTCAAAACAAAAACGATCTCATACTCAGTTTGCAGCAGAAGTTGCGCGAGGAGATGAACGAGAAGGAGCAGCTCAGGGAGGCTATGAAGTGGGTTTAATATTTATGTTAAAAGTTCTTTAATTTATTAATATTCAAAAAATTTCACTTAGAAACTTGGACCTCAATTGCTCGCACTGCTCCTCGGCCAACGACAGTCTGGGCCTAAAGTAGACCTCCACCAGTCCATGGTGGAAACCCAAAACCAGTTGGATGTGCGTGTGCGTACAACATTATGCTGAGCATAACCCTACGCACCCGCACCGCTCGTGGAACGCATCCATATCCAATCCAATAATCCAAACCAAGTGCATATCAAGGGGCTCGCCCCGTCAGTGCTTTAGTATTCATATCTAGACCTAGATGCTAGCAAGTGCTGCCCAAGATGGTACTGAATGTAATACATTAGTAGATATTTTTGATATTCGTTTATGGGCAACCTACAGTTAAGGATGAAATAATTAGATTAAGTGTATACGAAGTGTTATGCAAGCTCACATACAAATAAATCTAAGGCACAATTTATTACCCAATGAAAGTCATTGAATGATATAATGATATTGTACATCTAAGGCACAGGGTGTCGCTCATTGGAATGGAATCTTACAAGGGCTCGATGACTTATAAATAGTATGCGTATGTTAATCAACGTAATAAGTATGATGATGATAAGAGTGAATCAAACTCTCAGAGACTTGTCATGGCAGGCGGTCTGGCGTAGGCCTTCGGAATAAATCCGTACTTACGGGTTTTGGGTGCGTAAGCCCAAAGCCAGCCATCAACAGTCTGATTGTTCAGATCGGCGTAAATCCAATCTCCTCGCCGAACGGAAAGGTATAGATCGTCTGGAGCCTGGGCCTTGTAATCATATAGCATCACCAACTCCGTGCCATGGTAGCGCAGATCATCCGTTCCCAGTCCCAGCTGCTGCTGCTGTTGTTGGGTCTGCTGACCTTGTTGGCCCTGCTGCAGAATGGTCTCCATGGCGTTAAGAGTGGCTTTCTGCTGCTGCAGGACTCGCACGCTGTCTGCAGGATAGATAAAGCTGGCCGGCACGAATCCCTCCTGGCCATCGCTCCGCATGATCCAAAACCAGTCGGGATCCTCGCGATTCAGCACAGTCACAAATTCGCCCCGTTCCACAGACAAATCGTTCTCATCTCGTGCTATAAAGGTGTATAAAACGATGCAGCGCCCGGAAGGTTCTTTAACGAAAGGAGTACACTCTGGTTCCACCAGCAGAATATTCTCCATGCTCTTGGCAGACCCTGGATTTAGGGTCTCATCGCAGAGCACATCCAGTTTGTTTTCCGTGCCCAGGAGTGGTAGATTCTCCTCAATCGGCTGCTCTGGACACTGCTCCCTCGGTAATTTCTTTTTGACAGCCAAGTCCGCCAACTGGGTGTTGCAGGGGGCACAGTAGGAAAAGGGTATAAAGCCCTCTTGTCGCGAGTCCTGGCCAATCACATAGACCCAGTCGTTTTCTCTGTACAAGATATTAACCAGCTGGCCGCGCTTTACCTCCAGTTCATCATCCACGCAGGGAGTGAAGTCATGCAGCACAACCATCTTGGAGTCCGGGCTGGAATGGGATTTGTATTAAAGCTATATATCAAGGGAAATACTGGTATAAACATACCTTAGACCGTGTTCCTTTTCGATGCCAACTCGCACTAAGGTTTCGATGCTGGAGGAACCTGTTATGCGGCCCATGCCTAATCCACCCACAACTGGTAAATCCCTTTCTATGCTGGCACTCGTGGCTGAAATAAAATGTTTATAATTAAATTTAATTGTTTTAAATTTTTATTTGTATTTGCATGATCTTTCTGTTTAAATTTCTGTTTAATAAAACCGAAAGCAATGGAACAAAAATAAGCCATTTAACACTTTTCTCTTTCTCAGTGCAGTCAACATCAAGTTCGTGATTGAAGTCTTTCGTTTTCTGTGCTGCTTCCGCTTTGAAATAATTTACCTTTCTTTTTATCGCGCCGCATGCGCACGGGGCAAAGAAAGGCCATCTCTTTTCCCCACGCCTCTCTTTATCTAGACTCCCTTAAACCGAAAAACAGCCAAATTACGGCTAATTATTTAATTTCTTTATTGTTCGTTTCCGATTTTAATGTTTCTTCGCGATCTTCTCTTCTGCTAGAGATGGAACACAGGCGATTTATCTATCTCTCTCGATTAACGGGCAACCGTTAATCGACGGTCGAATGAAGCGCCAAACTTCAAAACTAAGTTATGTATTTTGTGTACGTGCTGCTTCTGCTCTTTCAAGCATGCAAATATGTTGGAAAGCGTGAACTGCTCTTGAATCCGGCCTTCGATTTGGGTGCACTGCACCCGGACTGCCGTTCACCTTGTCCCGTGTGGATTAGTGTGTTGGTTGAAGCATAAAATGGTGACTTGCAGATTAATCCACTTTGGAGGGCACTCCTGTGGTGGAGGGGCCGCAACTGTCAGCGAAGTTCTCGAATGCGTCTTGATCTTCGTAGTATCTATAAGCCCGGCGACGTGGAAAAGCATAATCCAGGGCGTGAGTGACCGATACCGCTTTGTAGGCGCCCAGCAAGGACACGAAGAGCTTCCCAAAGTAGCAGACATCCTGGCGCATAAACATATATACCTTGGGGTGGCGTTCCAAGAGATTCATGGCCATTCGAGTGTCAAGTGCTGCATCGCGCAGCATATTCATCAGGGTGTGGAACTGCTGCCACACGATCACCACGAGGACCTGGGTGCACAGGTAGAAGGCCACCAGCTCCAGTAGCAGGCGCCACAGCTCCTGCAGCGGTGGCAAGTTCACCACCCTCAGATGGTGTATCAGAAACACCGCCGACAGGACGAACACAGCCGCCGGAAGATCAGGGACATACTGCATGGGCAGGGCATTGCAGCCGGCCATGTAGAGACCCACGCATCCAACGCAGCTCGCCACCAGCTCCGAGATCTCGAACATTCCCTGCACAATCACCATTTCAGCCGATTTCAAAAGGATATATTCGTATCAGTATATTAGTCCCGGCGGACCAACGACAAATTTGAGTTGACTCTATGGCTTATGAGTTGGTTTTCCAAGGAGTTACTTATAAAAGTGTTGAATGTAATCTCAACCAGATTGTCAATGCTACAGATTCAAAGTCTACTCAGGTGTTCAAATTCAAAATAATGTATTTTAAACTTACTTCTTAAATTATAAAGAATTTTGTCCTCCTTTTAAATTTGAAACAAAATCTACTTCAGGAAAAAAACATTAACGTTTTTAAAGGTAAAAAAATCTAAAAAATCTAAAACAGTCATTAACGTTTTATTAGAGAATTATTGTATAAATGTTATATATTAGTTAAATACTTCTGTAAATTTTAATTCGATTTCCCTTCTATAGCGTGCCTTACTTGCGTTCTTTGACAGCTTTGAAAAAGTGGGGGGCAATGCACTATTTTGGTGCCAAGGATAAAACTTTCGCATGCAATTTTCGATTATAATTCAGCGAGAGAAGAGCCGATGGAAAGGGTAAAAAAGGGTGGAAAGTGAGGCGGCCAGAGAGGATGGGTTCAGAGAGAGAAAGTGTGCAAACTGACCTACACTTCGGCATATCCCACATACCCCTAACTAAATTGCGCATTAAGCATCTCAAACATTATCCCTCTAAAAACAGCAGCAGGTGCCACACCCCCAAAACGTCCCCCTCAACTTGACTTTTGACTACTACGCAGTTGATTTCACATCCGCATCACATCCCCATCCGAAAAGCCCCATCCAAGAAAGCCACCCAAACACCCATCCCCATGCCCTATCCCAAGTTTTTCCTGAGAGAACTGTCTGCCTTGTGAGTTAATCGATAGAGAGGATTCTGCGCAGTCCTTGAATCCTCCGATGCCATTCACAAAAAGGGGTGGGCAGTGGGCGGGGCAGGAGGTGGAGGGGTGGGCGATTCAAGTGGGTGAACCAGCTGCCCACTCATCATGGCTGTTGTGTCTGCTGGTAATTGTTGCTCGGACCTCTGATGGCCAAAAAATGAGACTAGACAGCGGGCCAAATTAAGAGGAATGAGGTGGAAAATGGGGCAGAGTGGCAGCTTAAGCCGGAAAAAGTAGCTCACTGGCTTTGTGGGTCAGCTATTTTCGGTTGTCACGCATATTTAAATAACATGTATTCCCGGAAGCCCATATAAATGTATCTGCAACAGTCGCCCCTGCATAAATTATTGCTGGAAACGACCTTGAAAAAATCGCACCCCTGTTATTGCAACAAAAGTGGTGAAATACAAACACCATGACCTTGATGATTTATTTCATGAATATGTGTAAATGGTGTTTCCAAATTGTAAACAGCAGATGATTATTGATGCCTCATTTGTTTTTTATATGTTTAATCAGAATTTGTATTTTGAGTTCACAGAATCCTTTCTCTAAAAGAAAGCTTTCCAATCTTAAAAACGTTCTTTAATTTAAATTCCTCCAAGCATTTCATTATTGACAAATGAGTAACAAATGTCTATCACGCTTAATTTGAGAATAAATCAATGTAAGACCAATATTCAGAACGTGAAACCCCAAAAACCGTGTAGTTTTCCTCTTCATAAAATTCTACTTTCAATCAGGGAAAGAATTTGCCATTTCATCACACCATTTCCATTTCAAACATTGTGTAATGCATTTAGCGAGATAAAAAAATTTTTGGTGGAAAGCAAAACAATAAAAGGGGGCAAAAGATGGCAGGAAAACTGCAGCGGCGGCAGATGATAGAGAAATAAACCATATTTTTGCTCAAAATAAGGCTATGCACGTATTTCGATTTGGCTAAAACTGTTCAGCCATTGGCAAATATCCAAAATGTATACAGATTTAAAAGGGGGATTATTATAAAAGTGTAGAAATGCATATATACCATTTAACTCAAGCACTTGGCCTGGTCAAATAACGAATAAGTGAAAGTTGCTGGTGGAAAAAGTTAACCCTATCGCTTACTTTGACTTGGGGACCACAAAATGCGCAATAAGACCTGTCCTACAAGTCCATAAAAGTCCCAAATCCCTTTTCCGTTCGTGCCCAAGCATCAAATGCGGATTTCATTATCCGCCGCTCGCCTGCAACATTGTCAAATGGCACGTATGTGGTCGTGGAAACGGAAACCTACACGGAAAACAAACCTATACCTTTCAAACAAATTGTTCTATCCTTTTGCATTTCAAACTTAAAATCTTGTGAAAAGGCATTTAAGATTTTGCTATAAGAACTAAGTATAAATTTATCATAACGCAATATATGTAGCTTAAATTCCACGCATTATCACCCAATCTTATAAGCTACCAGAAAAAGAAGAAAATATGATAAAATTAAAATTTTGTATTTTTATTATAGTACTTGAAAGATACACAATATTTCAAAAAACTTTCCGAATAATACCTTCCCTTTTATTTTGCTTAAATTTGAAAAATAGGCCAAACCTTTTGTTTTTTTTCTCACTGCAGGATGCAATAAAAGAGCTGCTCTGAAGGATGTGGCAGCGTGGGTGGCGGAGGTGGTGCTCTAAGTGTGCGTTCAAGGACGTGCATACATTACATTAGGGCGAGCATTCCGCAGCGAATCGAGGTATTAAGCCATGAAATGCGACCGAAGCCAAAGCCGAAGCCAAAAGCCCTGCCAACTGAAAGTCCAATGGAGGTGTTAACGCTGCGTATGTGCGATATTTAATTAACGCGCGGGGGCGTGACCAAAGGGGAGTAGGTGAGCCGTTGTTTGCCTCAAATTGCAGCGCCGTCCTTCGGAGAGGCGGAGAGAGAAAGAGAGAGAAAGCTGGAGAGAGCAACACAAGGGAACCGAGCACAGCAAAGTCCCTTTCATTCAATAGATACCCCCTTCTCCACCATTTCTCTCGGGAGATCTGCCTCTCTCTCCTCTTTTTTGGCCTACGCCGCTTTGAGCACGTGCGCCCGCTATTTTTCCTCTCATTCGATGTTGGTTCTTCGTCCGGTGTGGTTCACAATTTTCTTTCCCTCGCAGTGTTCGCACTTCTTCGTGTGTGTGTCAGTGTGAGTCGAATTCAGCTTGTGTAAGTGTGGAAAAGGCCGCAACAACAACAGTCACAGAGAGAGAGAGCAGAAAAATCCGCCGAAAATTAGGTAAATGGCGTGCACAAGTGTTGCAACTGGTTAAAGGGGTAAGGTGCTTTAAGGATGCACTGGGGAAAAAATACTGCAACTATTATTCCATACATTTAAATATACAAAAATACTACTAAATGCTACGTAAATATACAATTATTTTTAAGCCAGCTCTAAAAGAATATATATATTTTTTTAATTAAGCTGCTCGGCAAAATATAAAAGTAATCTTCATTAATTTCGAAGTGGTTGCACGAAAAAATATTGATCCATAATTACTATAAAAATAACTGTAGTATTGAATCGCAAAGAATTGAAATTTTTATAAGTTTATCATATAAGTTAGCTTTGGTTATTTACCAAATGGCTTACAGGTCGTATGAGCAATTTTGCACACTTTTAGCATTTATTTTCTCTGGTTTCATCACATTTCTCTTTGTTTTTATTTTCCTTTACACACACTAGCAAAACTTGTTTTCATTTCAATGTTTACAGTTTTGCGTTTTCTGTTTTGATTTTATTTATTTTTTCTTTTTCGAAATAATGAACATCACAGAAAAGAACATTATAAACTGTTTTTGTGTTGCCGAATTTTGTCTGCGACGTCAAAGACATTTTAATGTGCTCATATATATGCGTGTATATATAAATCGTTTTTTTAAGATATTAAGAACATTTCGCTTGTTTATTTTGTTATATTTTAAGACTGCGGCACGCAAAATATCCATCTGAGGTTAAGTGCCAGACATCTTCAATCAATTAGTCATTTAATGGCGTTATTAACAGGCTTGGCATATTGTAGATGATGGCATAGATATACATAGGATAATCGGAATAAGGATTAGGGTAAATTCGTAGAAAATTGAATGAGTTATTTATTTTTTAGTCAAGTATACTTGCGTATACTATATATATTTGTGTTTGCTAAATTTGAAAGGACCCTTATATATTATATTATATTATATTATATTAATTTGATCAATGGTGTTGGGGATGACAAAAGCTTTTGGTAATTGTTTTGATTTAATTTATGGCATTATATCTGGTTTTCAAGTAAACAGATTCTGGTTGCCTTCGATTGTTTGCCTTCCATTTGCATAATCACATTTTGTTTATAAGTTGCAGCCACATCAATATAAATGCAAATCTGCGAACTGAGCAATTGCAGAAACTATTTCATTTCGCACAGTTCCCCAACCTCCCAGCCACCCCTTTTTTCTCTTCTTCTCTTTGGAAATTTCTCGAATGTTCTCGGGGTTCATTAGGCGAATAAGAACTTGACACCCGTAAATTATTGAACACCCCCAATTTCTCTTTGCCCTCCATTTCCAACTGCAAATTGCATCCAATTGGGCTTAATTGCTCAATCTGGAACCGCACTTGTTGTTGCTATTTGTGCACTTTTAGATTGCACAACCGGGATTTGAAAAATTTAAGATTTTAACCCGATTCCAAATTTTGCTATTTTCTTTTCAGCTATGGATAAACAGAATGGAAAAATGTATGCAATTACCGTCATAAGTTTCATTGAAATTCGTAATAATTGAGCCACGAAAATGAACCAAAAGGGCATTTAGCCTCTAGAGAGAGCGAGCGAGTGAGAGTAGAGTGGGAGTGAGAGAAATGCGTTAAGTGTTTCATTTGCAACGTCATCGTCATCTGAAGAGAATCGTCGAAGAAAAGAGAGCGCGCGAGCGCATTACGCCCTTGTTTACACGCCCATTTCATAACTCCACTGAAAGGAAACATCATCTAAGCACTTACTAAATATGCAAATCAAACCGCTATTTGTATAATTAATGCAAAGGAATCCGAGATTAAATCGCAACCGATAAAAGAGTCTGCGCAAAGAGAGACCGAACACTCAAGAGGGAGGAAAGATAAAGAGAGAGAGAGAGCAGCGCTGCGTTGGGGCTCCAAAAATTGTGTGTGGCTCCCATTTGGAAAAATTGCGTCTCTCGCGATACAACGTGCGTCCAAAGCAGCGGAAAGTTTTTATGTTCGCGGACCGGTAATTTTAATTGTGAATGCAATTGTGCTTCAAAAACTCCAGTTTCTTTGGATATTTGTCATTGGAAAGACAATAACAACCAGCGGGACCCATAAACCCATTTAATCTAGTGCGACAAGTTTTAAATATCGATTTTTTTCGGCTAATGCGCGTCGATGACCTCGCACACAATAACAACTATAAATACCACTACAATTGAGAGCTAAAAAAGCACATCAAAGCTGTATCCGAGTTTTTAAAGTAAGCCAAAAAAACGCTTTACATAATTGGCCCAGTGCCAAAAGAGGCAGCTACAACAAAAACAACAACGAGAACGAGGACAACAACGGCGTTGCAAGGGGGAAAACTCTCGATTGGAATTGGAGGCAGAAGAGGCAGAACAAAAAGGCGGAGAAGAGCTCCCGAAAAGATAAAGAGCGGCAGTCGAAAACCGCAGAGACACATGCTCAGATACCGTCTCGTATCCACTCATTTCTTGAAGCAGCCGTAGTGTGGTAGCGAGTCAGCCGTACCCGGAGAGTGGGAGCAAGAGCGAGTGTGTGGGTGTAACTGCAAGTGCAAGTGCATTTAGAGCGAGAAAGGGAGAGAAGAGCGATCGCAGGATATAACACAACAGTGCTATAAAAGCGCTTCAGGTGCGCTCTGCCTGCTCAGTCACCGTTAGACAGGCGTTCAAAGAGGTCCTCGCTCATTTCTCTAAGAGACAGAACAGGATCAAAGAGCAGCCAAGGGAGAGTGGGAAGGACTCGCCGAGAGAGAGAGAAAATTCGCATCCGATCCGGCACTAAAATCCAGTCACAACGTATTCGCTAGGAGTGCTACGCCTTTTGGGTCTGAGCTATAGTCTAGATAGCGAAAATGTGCAGAGATCGCGATATGAGTTTGTCGTAGATCAGCGCAACCGTCGTTACAAGGTCAAGAAAAAAATCAAGCTCAAGAGCGAGTAAAAAGGATAGCGGGCAATAGCCCGAGGGCCCCAAAACGAGAGAAAGATTGCGCGAGATTGCGAAATCCTGGACCACTAACAACCACAATAACCAGATTTAGCTACCATACCAAAGTTAACAATATTAGCAAAAGGCCACAGCAAAGTAATAGTTAAATTAAGTATACGCCATATCTTCCAATTCGAGTACGCGTGTGAATCAACGGCAATGTGACTATCCTGCGCTCCACGGGCTCCATCCAAACGGTTCTAGCCGGTTCCAAAAAGCAAATTAAGTTTCGGGCCAAGTGATTTCGTGCACCTTTCGATCTTCGACTCGATTCGGTCTTCCCCAACCTTTTCCAACCACCAAATCAAGCGGAAAACGTCGTGCAACTGGCGAACGTACGGGGAAAAACCAGCAAGATTGAAGACTTTGGGAGAAATCTTTGGAAGTCCGTTAAGGCTTGCATTGTAAGTATAACCATTAATTACCCAAATAATAGTGAATTAATTAATATTAATGGAAATCAGAAGCGTCGTTAAGCTGAAAAGACTTTTGAAAGTAAATTAAAATGCAAAAAAGATTTTACTGCAGTTTTAGCTCTTTTTTGTATCATGTGAACTCCCGAATAATTTTGAAGAAATGTTTTACAATATAATGACGATTTTAATAAATTAAAAATTTAATTTAGAATAGTACATAACCATTTGAAGTAAACTTAAAAAAAACCTTTATATGAGTATTGTGACCATTTTCGCCTAATATTGAATAACATCATTTGCTTTTATTGGAGTATCTTTTTAAGTCTTACTCATTTTGAAATAATTTTATTATCAACAACACAATTAATACCCGGCACTAGAAAGTACTATTGATATCTCTATATAAACACCCACAGAAATGACCAAATGTTCTTTCCCATTACAAAAACAAATAGCCTATTTGGAGGTCATATAATATTTGTAAATAAACAAGCGTTAAGTTGTTTTTAACAGTATCGGAAATTGTAAATAATCCTATTCCAGGTCTTGATGAGGCATCTCAATTTTACCTTATTTTCACACCTATCCGCCACAATTGCCGTTTATTGCTGGACATTTATTTACATAAACGATTGCCAACTAAATGCGAGGTGTATCATTTAGGTACATAATACGATGTTTATTTTTGCCACCGCTGGGGCTTATACAGAAATTAACACATTTGGCCAGGGCAATGGAAAAAGTTTGCAAACGTAATCGGATCCATTGCATATTTTCAGACGCCTGCCACAAAGTAGAACGACCGCTGGCACTTTCCAGGGAAATGCCCGTTTGATAAACATATTGATATCCAATTTATCGCCATCCAGGCGCACATAGCGAAATCTATATAGTTTTGTCTATGACACACGAAAATCTTATCTTGTTAGTGGGACTACTGATTTTGCCATTACATTCCCTTTCAATCGATCCATTTTGTGTTCTGTTTTCTGTTTGCTCTTTGTTTATTGTTTCTTGCTTAAAGATATTAAGTTTGAGTCATGACAGCACAGTGAGCACTCTATAACTACAACTCAATGGAATGTGCTTCCTTGCCGAAAAAATTCCATTTACTCCCATTTGCTTTATTTATTATCAGGGGGTTTATCCGTTTTGTAAATACAGCGTTGCCAGTTTTACGGGGCCGGTTTTACTTTTGGCCCCTCCGATTTCCCTGTCTCCGAAATTACGGAAAATTCCTATTCGCATGTCAGTTTTCGTGACGTGCAACGAAAATTAGTTTGTCGAGTATGTTGACCCAAAAAATTGCCAACTTTATTGACAGTCTATGTTTGAATTTATTTGTATACCTATCCCCAGACTATAATTGAAGGTAAACCAATTAAGTTGTTGTCAGGAGGTATGAACAATATTTTAGAAGCCACTGTGCCCAGTCGACGAAATTCAATTAACGCGTAAACTAAACGGATTAGCAAACATATATTTTTTGCCAAATTGCGCGGTTTTATCTATTTTTAGACCGCGTCCGAAAAGTTCAATGTGTAAGCGATCAATCGTGAGGTTTATTTTTGGCATTGTTTAAATTTCTATTTGGCATTCGGCCTGGTCCACTGAACAACATTTATTATCATCTGGGATTACTGTTTGCCCAGACAGAAAAGCCACTTCCGTCATGGAAGTAGAAAAAGGGAAGCCCCTTGATTGGAATTATATATGCAGAGAACAAAGGATACACCTATAAAGATCTTGAGATATATGAGTACTCACTTCAACGTGTTGCATACATCATGTTTTTGAAAGGACATATTATTAAAAAAAAATTATTAAAAATTTAAAAAGTATTAAAAGATTAATTAAGTCCTCAAAATAATTTTGATAAACAAGTAGCTTTCATTGTTGTTTAAGTCGTTGGGGAAAACTCATTTCTGTCAAACGATTAAGTGTCTTTCTTATGAACTTAACTTACCTGTTTTAAGTGTTTCATGATTAATTAATTAATTTTCCGAGCTCGTAGTTTTAAGTATTATTCTGTTTGTAATATACACCGCATGATCTCGCCGGTCTCCATTTTTGAGATCATTCATTAAAAAGCCGCGAGTCACTACGGGGCGATTGTATAAGAGACTTGGCATCCATTAGATGCATCCGCCAGGGTCGTGTGCCTCGTTTGTGGGTCTCGTGACCAACTTTGCCGGGTGGTCATGTGGCCGGAGTGTCTGGGACCAGTCCGCGATGTGACACCATCAGCAAAAAAAGAGCAAACTATAACTCATGGCATTTCAAATTCATTTGGCTTAAGAACAAGAGATGCCTGCATATTGTCCCATCAAAAGTTAAATGTTTAAAATTAAAATGAAACCAGTGGGAATAAATTAAATAATAAAAACCTGTTCACATTTTGCGTAGCTCGTAAATTATGGCAATCCGCATCATTCCCCTTTCTTCAGTCTCGGACTTATTGTATTTTATTTATATACAAGCTGGCAAAGTTCACGAAACTGGAAAAAGAAATTTCTGATTCTGTCGATTTTTTTATGAACTGGAGATGCCTTCATCAATTGAAATTGATTGATTCTAACGAAAGCGGGCAGAAATAAAGACTCCAATAAAGAGAGCAGAAAGCGGAATTTGTAAATTAATTGATGGGACCGAACGAAAACAAAAACAACAGCAGAAAATGATCAAGTGACCAGCCATAAAGTAATTACGTCACGAGCGGAAAATGAAGGATATGTACTTTGACCCGAGGGAAATGTAAGCCCATTTCCTGGCATTTAAAATACGTTTTTGCTATTAGCCAGGTTATTTTTGAACTAGTTACCCTTGCCTCATTAGACATATTTTGCTCGTCTTCTTATTCACGTTTCCTACTCACATTTTTGCCGCTCTGGTTTGCTTGTTGTTTTAGCCACGCTTCATTAAAATTTTGTGAGCTTCGCATTTGCATTTCGGTTTCGGGCCTGGTAATATTCCACCGTCATTTCCCCATAACTTGTTGTGTAGTTCACCCCACCCCACTTCTTTGTATTCATTCTTATATTGGTTTTCAAGTTGCGCAATCTTAGAAATTGAAGCCCAGAAATCCAACCAAAAAGCACGTGACTGACATTAACCAATTTGAGGGGTATTTTTAGGGACCGAGACTTGTTTAGTCGATAGCTATATAGCAGTGATTGATGCGATTTGCAGCGGAAAGTTACGATTGCCGGGGTCCCAAAAATAGAACTTGGTAAAAAATAGAAACGAGTTGCTTTAGTTTCGGTCCTATAAACCACACATTATGATCATGTCTGGCCACTTGAGATGGCTGCTTGAAATTCCAGAGGCAGTACATAAATTTAATTCGCTATCAGTTTCTGTGAATCGTTTTCCCTTATCTAATCGGTGTGATTAATTGTCGTTCAATTATAAGCTCATACATATACATATGTATCCATTGAAGGCAAGTACGTGCTGTCAACTGGGTGCAACGGATATCTTTTTGAAGACTAGCAATTCCATTCTTCTTCACTTTGAATGGGACTTTTGCGGCCTTGGCTTCAATTGATGGACTTCAAAGAAAGGTGATTGGAGTAGGTGAACTGCAAATGACTCAGATCGCTTTAAAAATAAGCAAGTAACAGCTGTGAATAAATAAATACCATCAACAGCTGTGCATGCTTTATCCTAACCTAAAGTTAGTAGCTTTGTGGAATTGCATAATTGTCAAGCTCGCAAACACCGACAAAGTCAGTAATAAATAAAAAAGATTCTACTATTATTAAAATGAAAACTAAAGTGTGAATCTAATAATAATAAAGGTTTAATTATAATTTAGTTTTGATAGACTAAACTAAACAGGAATAAGTAAAGGCTCATATTTGGGGGAAAATAAAATAAAAATTACTGCTAATATGTGGCTAAAATTTATAAATTAAAAAGGTTCTGTGTATTTCATAATTGTCCCTGTAATGAATTATAATTGACAACATATTATATCTTCTAACATTTATATCTTCCTTTGATGTAATGTACACATTTTTTCCTTGCTCGCAAATTAAATTCCATGATAACATTAAATTGATGGACAACCCATAAAAATAGCCGAAACCTGGTAAACAATTACAATCGCCGTGTGTACGGTTCGGTTGCCGAATTCCCGCCACTTAAACGGATGAAATGTCAACATTGCCAGCCGTTTTTATCGTGCCCGTATCGAAAATACAATTACACTAACACTGTTTACCCTCTCGATCCCAAAGTGTAGACCTAAAACCTCTCAATGGGTGAATGGGAGAGTATTATCTAGTGGCCGACCTGCAGTCACCGGTTTACTACCGGTTTCAGCCGGCGCTAGGCAGTCTGAGGCTGTTGATTATTCGATGATATTAGCCCGGTTACCAGGTAAATCCGACTTATCAGCCGGTGAAAATGCCTTTTCAATATTTGCACCCCGTTTAAAGTACTCGAGTAATCGCCCAATTCCATCGGCCAGTGATACATTCGCACGGGCTTGTTAAAATGCCCGAAAATTTCACATCTCACGGTTCGCATCGTCTTAAATCGCGCATACGCCGCGTGGGCCAATTTTAGCATCGCAGTGCGAGGCGACTCCGACGTTCCAGCGTTCGCGCTGCGAGGCTGCCTGTGGTTTTTGTTGTCTCCGCCGAGCGGGCAGAGCAGCAAAGCCACATAAATCCCCATGCTATTGTACCCATGACTTTGTTTTCGTGCCGTTTTGGGCGGTAAACATATTGATTCCAGCGCGTGGCTGTTTGAAAAGTGTGCTGCACGACCTTCTGGGCGTTGGCATAGGCTGGAGGATTATGAAATTTACGAGCTTCCGGAGCGGAACTCTTTAAAAGCCCTTTTTAAACGTTAAAGATGTATTTTCAATAGAAAGTCATTACCATAATTACATTTTTGGGAATTCAAATTTCCTTTGCAAATCTATTCAAGATAGATTACAAGATTAGGAAAGGACTTTAAAAAGGTTTTCTTTTTATTTGAGAATGAAACAACTAGACATATTAAATGGCGAGAATAGTTAATTTTTTGAGAAAAGTTTATTATTAGATTTTATGTCTATTGTTTTTACCTAACGTTTCAAGTATAGTCCAAATATTTATTAATATTTTTCGATGCACGATGAAACGTGCTTTAAAATGTATTGTCACAATTGCATTAACAAATTTCACCAAATTACCCAGGGCTCTTTAGAATTCATTTTAGAATTTGTTCTTGTTTGTTTGGATCCGCAAGCACTTAAACTCTAATCGTCTGCCTTCCATAAATAGTCCATGACGACAGATTCTTATCGAGAAAGTCTGATCGGCAGGTGGGAAACTGCCTCAACCACAAGTATATTCACAATCTTTATCTAAAACTACAAGCTGAAAGCGAAATTCGAATAAATGCCAATTCATTTGTGGGCTCGTGTCAGCTGCCATTGGTGGGGTGATTGGATGAGTGGGGAAGTGGTTCGGTGGTTCGGTGGCTCAGTGGTTCAGTGCGGGCTGTTATCCATGTCGACCTTTTGTCGGAGCTTTTTGAGTCATGCACTTGTGTGGTTGCCTCTGTGTAAACAATTATTGAACTCTTTATTGCGTAAACAATTCTGGAGAAGAGAAAATCATAGTGACACGAATAATTTATCCAATCCTGATGATTTACTCATCAGAAGGAGTTCAGTGATTGTTTTTATATTATTTAATCAACACATTCGATGGTGTTTATAATTAATGTGGTTCGATTTCTCGGCCCTAACTCAATCAATCCTTAAATCAACACACCCGACACGAGTTCAATTGAAGTCCAATTCATTATCCATTATAAGGTGTCGGTCGACGGGCTTTCACCTGTCCGTATCTATTTGCCATCGCAAAACCCCAACACAAATCCTCCCTTCCGCTTCAGGGTTTTAAGTAGTCTAATTAATTTGATAAAACCTAAGACCCTTATTTAATGGGCATGCCGATTCGAAATGCTTTGCACGCGCCTTTCTTTTATATCAAGCATTAATGTTCTTTGTTGTACAATAAAGTAAATTAAGCATTCTGATGCTAAATATGTATAAATATATATTGTTTTGATTTTTATGAGGTAAAACCAAAAATATCATAAAGTAAATGTTTGGGAAGCGGCCAAGTGATTGTTGTAACATTTATCACTCATACGCAGTGTTGACATGTTTAAGTTTGTTCCCTGCTTTATAATACTACGCAACATAAACAAATTAAAAGGAATAGGGGATAACAATTTAATACATTTCTTTGCACTTACAAATATTATTCGAACATTTTCTTCGATAGCAATAATAATGAAATCGAAGTTTTCATATTTCATTCACATTGTAAATGTGTTGATTTCGAAACGTTCTTGTTTCTTTATTGTTGCTGTACTCGATCACGTTCGCCATTGACGTCATTGTAGGGCGCGTGGGTCTTAATTAGTTCGTCTCGTTTGCGACCGGGCAGTTGACCGAAGATGCTCCGATATTTGGTTAACCTAGAGGAAAGTGACTCACAGAATCGCAGCTCCCTCTCACGCTGCTGTTGTTTTAAATTTGTATTTTCACACACGTCGTGACATTGCACTTGAAATTTTGTTTTTCAACAGCTACGCTTTTTCGTATTCGCATTTGTGCCCGTGCATATTTCTGTGTTTATTTCCCGGCAGCGGGAGTTGCCGTTACCTGTTGTTGTTACCTGCCTTTGGCCTCGGATCCCCGAAACGATTTTCGATCAGTCGATGTGGGCTATATATTCGATATTGGAGCGCGAAACGCGTGTTGCAGGGGGCGTAAACAAGTGCATAAATTCATTCGCCCCATTAATATGGCCATAAAGTCTAGAGCTGCCGCTAATTTGCGGGCCAGATTTATTTTTAAACCCCTCGCTCGCTCACCTTTGATTCCCATACCCCGTCTGCAAACCACCGTTCATATAGACTATGGCCGATAAGGAAAGTAAAGGCAGAACCAGGAAAAGCCAAAAATGCCTTCTTTTCGACCTGTTAGCATTCCCGACTTTTGTTTACCGAAGCTTTCGCACCTTTTGGCGGCCCTCGCTCTCTTTCCCGATCGATCGGGAAATATATATCGCGGCGCAGGCGCGCTCTCTCGCTATATCTCTGCTGCTCTCTCTCGCTATATCTCTGCCGCTCTCTCTCGCTATATCTCAGCCGCTCTCGCGGGATTTTCGCATATAATTCGCGAGGTCGGAGCGAAATGGGTTTAATAGTGATTCGGTGCGCCCAAAGAAAGCAACGCAAGCGTTCTCCGCTTCTCCTCAAACATTTTTGCTCGGCTGTGTCCGAGCCAAAAGCAAAGTATTCTCAAAAGAAATCCCTCGATATCTGCAAAATATTCTCGAAAATCGGAATACGGCAATCTTGTAAAACCGATCGATCCCCGAAACATGTGAAATGATTAAAAACTGCAGACCTTTGAAACGGTTGAGCACTTGAGAAAACGTCAAACCAAAAAAAAAACAAGAACCTGAAAGGAAATTTCAATTAGTGTTTATTGAAATTTATTAAGCAAGATTTAAGGCGTTGACATTTTTATTATAACTTTTATTGCTCAACAAAATTCTATTCAAATCAAACGCTTGTGATCAAAACTCAAAGTGAACTGAATTAAATTCATTGTGATAATACATCTAGTTAGACTGATTAAAGTAGAGATAAGCCATCCAAAATGACGCCCAGGATTATTACTTACATTTTGGTAAATATCAAATAGAATAATGGGGGTAATTTTTATCGCGAAAAAATGTTGAATAAATTAAATACCAAAATTTCATTATTCCTTAAATACCAGAATTTCATCATCCCTTACAAAAAATATTTTTAATTTGCTGAAAATATCTAAACCTTATTGAAACTTAATTTAAAAAACATATTCTTAAAATAAGTACATAAAACTAATTTGGTAAGAGCCAGTCCAGTATTTCATCACACCTTCAAATAACAGGGAGGACTTTTAAATATGCCTTAAATATATTTCACAAAACCTGACTTTGGCTAGCAATGGCCATAAATTATTTATCAGATCGTGTGGGGCTTATATAAACTAAAGATTTTGTTGAACTATGGTGGGGGCTCATGACCAGGCACAAATAAATGTATTGAACAGAATATTACTCATACGACACGTAGTGCTGGACTCTTATTAACCCATTTAATTGTGCCAAGGAAACGACATTTCCCGGGCTGTTTAATTATTTATAATTAAGCGTTAAGTTCGTCACGGCACTTGATGGATTTTTCTCATTACATTTCTCCCTGTCTCCCCACTTTTCTTTCAGTGCGGCATGCGACATCCCACAACTGGGCTGAACGAAGACGACCTGAGTCGTCTCACTGGTTCATCATCGTCGACGGCCTCGTGCGGCAGCGCAGCCTCCTCATCATCGTCCTCATCCTCCTCGTCCTCGAATCCCGCTGCCCGACATGAGGTGGTCCGCAGTCCGGAGAAGCCAACGCCGGCGGGCGCGGACAAGAGCCACCTGAACAGTGGCTTCCACTCCACCTATCTGCCGGAGATCATCCACCCGGCCCTGGAATGGCAGAAGTCGTCGCGCAAGCGCAAGGAGCGCCTGGACAGCAGCTCGGCCTTTGGCCAGGATCGCAAGCTGCAGCGCAGCAACAGCGAGGAGCTGCTCACGGAACCGGCGGCCCTCGTTTCGCCCACGACCCAGGCGGCCGCCAATCTTCTGGAGGCCCAGTGTGAGGTCATCCGACGGGTGTCCTCGGAGGACTTCAAGCGCACGGCCAGCTACGCCAACTACCGCCAGGAGTTCGAGCGGGAGCAGGAGGAGTCCTCGGAGCTGGGGGAGAACAATGCCTCGTTGGCCAATCTGCCGGCAGGGGAAGCGGCCAAGGAGCGTCCGCGTCTGGAGACGAGTCCCGCTCGCCAGCCGCCCAAGGAAGCCAGCGATGACTCCGAGTGCGAGCACGAAAGACGCCGCAGCAGTGAGCGCTTCTGCAAGTCCCGCCAGCCGCCGGTTCGCAAGTCCGGGGTGGCCAAGAAGGGGGGCGGAGGCAGTGGCTCCAAGTACCTGCCGTCGCGGCGGGACGAGCAGAGTGCCTACAAGTACGACCTGTCGGCATTGAAGTACGAACGCAGAGGTTTCATCAGCAGCAGGAAACAGCAACAGTCGCAACAGCAGTCCGTGCAATCTGCTTCCGATCACAACGACAACAACTTGATAGACTTCCATCAGCAGCAGAAGGAGCTGCAGACGAAGAGGAGCGCCAGTATTTCGCCCACACCCACCACGAGCTCCTCGGCGGGCAGCGATGACAGCACGCCCACTTCCAATGCGCCGGCGCCCGTCAAGGCCAAACCCCAGAGGCAGCAGCAGAGCTTGGATCTGACCTCCGCCCAGGAGTCGCTGCCGTGGGAAAGGGGCGATGAGCCCGCTCCAATCCTCAGCCGGAGATACGCACACTCCCGACCACATGTGGGCGGCAACCTCGATGCAGCCGCCCAGCTGGCCAAGGTCATGCCATATCCGCAGCAGCTGCCCAAGCAGGCGGCCACCGTGCAGCTGCACTCGGACATCAGCGACATGGACTGCTGCCTGGAGCCCATGGATGCAGTGCGCGCATTCAGCTCGCTGGAGAACATGCGCACCCGCGATGTGATGCAACAGGTGCTGCCGGCCATGATGGTGGCCTTCCAATCGCCCGAGGAGCGGCTGAAGGCCATCAACCGCCGGGTGACTGTGCTCAAGAAGAAACTGGTGCAGCTGGAGGAGTCGCTGGAGCAGCGACTGGGCTACAGGCCCTCGCAGGCGGAGCGGCTGAACGACAAGTACATGAAGAACGCCCTGGCGGAGTTGAGCAAGCTGCGCAAGGAACGGCACGAGCTCAAGACTGATCCCATCGCAGCTCTGGGCTTGAAGGTCGGAAGCGGCGGCGGCGGCGGAGGAGTCATTGGGGGCCAGGAGGTGGCCAAGAAGCTGGAGCGCATGAAGGCCACCCTCGCTGAAATCGAGCTGGTAATAGAAATCGCCAGTCTGCAAAATCACGAGACACGATACATTTTATGACAATTAGCAAGTGGAACAGACGTCAGCGCCAGATTGTGGGGCAAACATATAAATAGGAGGGGTATATATGCAGATATAGTATAGTGACATGCCTAGCCTTTTGGCAATAGCTTTGATCTTGCCCCATTGTCACAAGGCACTTGGTAAACATATTTTGTTTTGGCTAAAATATCTCATGAAAATAAATTCTCGCTGTCAGATAGCTTTTAAAGAAGGGGTATAGGATAGAGAAATGTACAGTTCTAGGAATTGAGTGTTTATTAGAAATTAACACAAAAAGGGTTTAGCAGGTCTTACGAAATTATTATTTAATATGACATAATTAAGATCAAGTTTTAAGAATTGAGTGTCCATTAGAAATTAACACAAAAAGGGTTTAGCAGGTCTTACGATATTATTATTTAATGTGACATAATGAAAATCATGTTTTAAGAATTGAGTGTTTATTAGAAATTAACACAATAAGGGTTTTGCAGTTCTTACGAACCTATTATTTAATGTGACATAATGAAGATAAAGTTTTAAGACTTGACTGTCTATTAGAAATTAACACAAAAAGCGTTTAGCAGGTCTTACGATATTATTATTTAATATGACATAATTAAGACAAAGCTAACAATATTAAAGACAAACTGCAATGAATCGTGATTACATCATTATTTTCTAGAACTTTTTAAGGTTTCAGTAGCGACAGACTGAATAGAAACAATTCCCAAATTCCAAATTAGGACGTTTCTGCCACATTATAATGAGTTTCTATTTATAAGCATATACCATATGTATTTATGACATGTAGACAAGCCTCCACATTCTCTATATTGACAAATTAATGATACATTTGCCAAAGAGCGGGCCAGACAAACACTTGGCCCAGCGGAATCCGCTTGAAATTGAATTTCTGCCAAGAAACAAAGTGTGCACGAAATGATTTTCCCTAGCTGGGCTGGTGGAAATGGGAAATGGCCGAAAGAGCAGCCATCCAAGTGCCACGCCATATATTATTGCTATACTGTAAGGCTGCGACTTTATTTGTTTACAATACGGATATATTCCGCACTTGTTTCTATTTCTGTTTGGCATCTTCTTTCGAAATGTCTGGTGCTGTCGCCGAGTCATTGCCAATCTGCCATAAACAAATCAAAAACGAGTAATAACTAATGCCACTGATTAATTGTCTTGTTTGCCAATGTGGGTGGTCTTTATCTTTTGGGGCTTCTGCGCCACTGATTACTTGCTTTTTATCATTATGTATCGAACCAGTAGTTGTCATATAAAAATTATATAAAAGTCAAATCACTAATTGTAATTCCCCGCCCTTTGTAGAATCTCAACGAGAAGCGCGTGAATGGCCATCGCTCCGAGCAGCTGGAGGATCTGAGTGCCGACCAACTGGTGCAGGAGAAGAGCGCCGTGCAGCATGGACTGCTGTACTTCGAGAGCCTCTATGGCCATCCCATCACCAAGGAGGAGCGGGATGCCGCACGACCGCTCTACGATCGCTACCGGCAGCTGAAGCGCCTAGTGTCGCGCACCGTGATGTTTGGAGCGGGCACAGGAGTGCCGGAGTTGCCCACCATCCTGGAGCACGAGGCGATGGTGTTCGAGGCCACTTCCACACCGCTGCAGTATTCGTCGAACAACAGCACCGAGACCACCAACTCGCCCAGCGACTCGAATGCTCCGAACACGCTGACCCAGAATGCTTCCTCCGACGAGTCGACGACCACCACCACGTTGACGGGACCGGCGGCTGGAGCGGTTGCCTCCGGCCAGGAGAACCAGGCGGCCAGCGAGAACATTTCCGCCCTCAGTCTCGACCAGCTCTGGGAGCAGCTGGACAGAGCGCGCGATGAGAAATCCCTGCTGAAGGCCACCATCCGGGAGTACGAGTCTTTGTTTGAGGAGCAGAACGGACGCAAGATGCTCAAGCAGGATCGCCGCTCGCTGGAGACGGAGACTTATGCCCAGTACAAGGAGAAGAAGGCCAAGGTCCGACTTCTGCAGGCTCTGATCAAGAAGCACATCGGGCAATAAGCCAGCAATTTCCTACTTCCATTCGACTCCTGTTCACCCACGCATGCGAAACTTATTTATTTCATACCCAACCAAACAAATACAGACCTAGATCTATACAAATTATATGTAGTTTTTAGACATACGTTTACCATATATTCTATAATGATACATTTTATGAATATTGTTGATTCCTTATTGTTTTTTGAAAACATCTATTGAGTAATTGTAATAAAAAGAAAATGAAACATTATGAGACAAAAAGAAGAGATTGAGAAAGTAACCGCTAGACATTTGATTCGGACTCAACCCTTTATTATTCAGACTCCCGCACGGAATTGACTTCTAAATGTAACCCAAAAATCTGCAATATATTTTCGCATTCTCCCTTTGTGTTCTGTAAATCGTCATTGATGTTAAAAAATGACTTGCCTGATTTGTCCCACTTCGAAAACGGGGAGCACACATTATTTGATTAGCTCTAGTTTTAAACGATCCAAAAGAGGAGCCGGTCGAAACCGCAAATCAAATAATTGAAAAACTTTATAAGTGTTGTCTAGTAGAAATGAACATTTTATATCGATATCTAAACTAGACTTTAGCGATCTATAAACAATATTACCCCAGCCACTCTAGTTGTGCTTTCCATTAAATGTTTCAGTGTGCAAACGACACACACCCACACTCGAAAAAAATCTTAAAAAGCATTTGAGAGCGTCGGAAACAGAAAAAAATTGAGACGATCATAAGTTAGTATCGATTGCAGGCCGAGTGCCTGGTAAATGATTTGATTTTGTTGTGCAACAAGCAATTGGTTTTTTGAACGTGTATACCCCCGCCCCTAATCCATACATACAATATATGAATATACATATAAATATATATTTACAATGATAAAAAGAGTAAGGCCCAAAGCTAAATTATATACACTTAGAGGACTCAACATTTACAAATTGAATATTCTTATATGCAGCCCACTGAATCGGGTCAATGTGGAAAGCAGAGCATTACAAATATCTCCAGCTAATTGAAGCGAATGAATGTCTATACATAATTTGAAATGCAAAATAAAATATATCACGTTATATTAAATAAAATCTTTGTACTTTTATTCATCGATAAGATACATCAGTTATATTTTTAGAATCAGTTGGTGGTTTTTGTCAAGAACCTAAAAAAAAAAGATAAGATACAATTTAGTTGCAGTGTGGGAGGAAGATTAATAACCTAGCGGCTGAATGAAAATGACGAATCAGTCACGTGAATTATGGAAATAGGAATTCAGCTATATGATTGATAAGCTTGCAAGGAAATTAAACAATACGTACCAAAACAACTCAGATGAATCACATAGCAAAGTAACCAGGGTTGGTATTGGAGTATTATCACCTGTAAGGAAATTAAATACTTGGAATTATTACAAATGCAGAGTTCTCAACAATCATAAAATAAGTTGATTGGTCAGCTTAGTTTATCATCAATTTTTGTTATGACAGGGATAACTGTTTGGCTTAAATAAGTTGTTCATCATTGAGAGTTTATTTTGATGTCCGTAATTCTACCGATTTCTTACCTTGTATGTTGTAACAAAGTTCATAGAAGGATCAGTTACTAGTTAAAAACAATTCCGATTAAGCCTAAAATATAAAAAATGGGCCGATTAGTATAAATCACATATTATTTGTCCAGTTCAAGAGATCTGTTTTATTCAGTCGAAAAAAGGTAGCAACACACGTAAATTCAGGTATATGCTTGTCTATTGGTTTGTCATCAGAAAAAAAAGGAAAAACAGTGTTGGTTATATACACACCTTTAATAAGGTTGGCTTGCAGATAAACATCTTCCGGTATATACATCCAGACATCTGTAAAACATAAAAAAAAGGGTTTTAAAATAAAATCCTAATTGAAGAAAAATACATTTGTGAACATTATTTTAATTTGTCAGTTAGTTTAACCAATCGACATCGTTTCTCCGACTGGGGCGGTATCAATAATCATCACAAAATATAATCCTAACTCTTACAAATGAATTGAAAAAGGGTTACCTTTATTACTTTTTAAGCCATCTTCAATGATTACTGTGAAGCCAAAGCATAAATCCAGGTATCTGTAAGATAAAAGAGAATGTAGTTTAAATAAAAGATTCGAAATGAAAACCCAATTTCTGAACATTAATTTATCAGTACGTTTAACCAATCGACATAATTTCTCCGACTGGGGCGGTATCTATAATCATCACAAAAAATACACCTAACGTTTAGAATTGTAATTTAAATTGGGCCTACCTTAATTTATTTTGAAGTCATCTGTAAGTAATAGCTGTCGTGCCATTAAACATTCTCATTGGCTTTCCCGTCATGTCTGTAAAATAAAATATAAATATTATAAGTAAGCTTTTAACATCAAAATAACATATTGTTTATGCGGTATATATGTCAGCATATTGTATCATCAAGTGTTTTTATGACAGGGATAACTGTTTGGCTTAAATAAGGTGTTCATCACAAAGGAAAAAATTATTAGGTGAAACACAACTGCAAACTCACCTTATTTATCAGTTTTTCTTCAGTTGTTTTATTTGATTAATATTGGGTCAACATATCTGTAAATAAAGAAAGTGAAATTAGAAAAAGGAATCCAAGAAAATGAATTAAGGAAAGAGTTTTATATATGTATCAGCTTATTTTATCATCAATTATTCTTATGACAGGGATAACTGTTTGGCTTAAATAAGATGTTCATCATTGCATATATAAAATTCTTTGTGTATAATGTGCTTACCAATTTGTCAACGAAAATTGAAGTGTTTAAGTGCTGTTTTCCCCGCTTTATCTGTAATATGACATTAATTAAAATGTGTTTTTCTGAATATTTCAAAAAGTTATATTTTCTCTGAACTCAGTCGGTTGAAAATCAACATGATTATTCGGTTATATGCTTGTCTATTGGTTTGTCATCAAAGAAAATACATAAACAAATAAAAAAAAAAAATCACTCACCGTATTGAAGATTAAGCAGGAAATTTAGAAACCATTTGTTCATCACATCTGAAATTTAATAAATGAGGTTAATACAAATCCATCTAAGCACGCAAATTAATATTTTGATGGAAAAATCAGTATATTTAACCAATCGACATAGTTCTTCCGACTGGGGCGGTATCTCTAACATCATAGAAGGACTATTTAAGATATTATAGATATTTTATGTTATTACCCACCTATTCCGAAATCCATGTTACTTGATAAGTTTTTCGCCAAAGCTAGCATCCTAACCAATAAATTTTAAAAATTGTTTCTGAAAGTATAAAGAAAGTGTTGTTAAAGAAAAATAATAGATAAAAGTCCACGCTCGTTGAATGTATGAATAAAGTCAGCAGTTAATTTTTGCGTTGGATATGGAACAGTTTTCTTCATAAAATATCAAAGCGAGCTGGGTAAATGTTTCATCATACTTTTATAAAAATGTTCTATAAAATTTGTAACTTTAAATACCTTGTTTTTAGATTTCTCTCAGCATTTCTCAGTTTCTCTTGCGTAGTCATCAATCTTTAAATATAAGACAAAGCAAATCATAACCCATTATTTAATTGGTATATTCTTGATAAAACTATTTTCTAATTTATAATTTTGATTCAGTTGCTAAGGTGAAAGTATTCATCAGAGGTTTTCAAGAGTAGCAAATAATAATAAATCATCATTTTCAAGTAAAGTAATTATTTGCACAGCAATAAATACACACCTAAGCCAAGATATCCATATGGTTATTTGAGTTTTCCTTTGGTTGAAAGCCAAAAAAAGGTTTCTGTAAATATATAGAAAATAAAAGCTTGTTAAAGATAGTCATTAAAAAGATCACATTTATCGTATATGAAATAAGTCAGCAGTTAATTTTTGCGTTGGATATGGAACAGTTCTCTTCATAGAATATCAAAGCGAGCTGGGTAAATGTTTCATCATACGTTTAAAAAGGCTATTTAATATAACCAAACAATTTGTTTACCTGATTTTTCAGCAAATGAGTCCGAATTAACCATCGTCCACTGGATTGTTCCTGTAAGTACCATACAAAAATGTTTAACGTTAGAATTTAGGAAAACCCATAAAAATCATTGTAGTATGAATTAAGTCAGCAGTTAATTTTTGCGTTGGATATGGAACAGTTCTCTTCATAGAATATCAAAGCGAGCTGGGTAAATGTTTCATCATACTTTTATGAAATTAATTGAACTAAGTATAAAATATTTAAGTACCTGAACTTTGTTCTCCCCAGAATTTAGTGAGCACTCCATCTTGCTGAATTTATCTTGTGCTCGTCAATCTGAAATTACAAAAATAAGAAAGGGTTAATATAAAGTTTATTACTATTTTTTTGCCGAGAAACTTTCTATATTTTAATTGTAAATCAGTTTTTAAGGTGAAAGTATTCATCAATGATCTTCAAGAGTAGCAAATAATAATAAATCATCATTTACAAGGTTTTTTTTATTTAGTTGATTGAAATTTTAAATACGTACCTAAGGCAAGATCCGTGTTTAAAAAGCCGAAGCTCCAATAGGTTCTCTGGAAACAGAAAAATATAGTTTTTAATGGATATATTAAGAAATATTAAACTCCTTTATGTATGAATGAAGTCAGCAGTTTATTTTTGCGTTGGATATGGAACAGTTCTCTTCATAGAATATCAAAGCGAGCTGGGTAAATGTTTCATCATACAATTTTAGGAGATATTTCATAAAACAATAGTTTACAAAGTAAAGCTATCAGCTTTTAGACAACATTTCCTTGTAGCCTCAAGTAGGTTCATATCACTCCGATTTGTTTTTTTTTCTATTTTGAACTCCAGGTAGAAAAAGCGTGGTAAAACTCAACCATAAATGTCGTTTTTTTTGTACTTCTAGTGTTGGAATATTACTGTACTAGTGAACCATATTTTCAGCACATAGGAATAGTAAACTATAGTTTTTAAAAATTTCTAGATATATTTCAAATCAAAACTAACCTTACTTTTCGACACGTGTGATATCTCAGGTAAAAACCATCAAAAATTGAATTTTCCATTTCTTTGTAATGCAGATAGACGCTGCTACCGCGTGGCATTCTGTAAATTTAAATAACAATAACAATTTAACCAATAAATCGATCGGCAACATGCGGCTTTTAGTTTTCAGTTTAGATAACCAATCAACACGTCTTTTCAGACTGGGGCGGTACGAATTTATCATCATGTAAAGTAAACCGCACATTTTTTATAGTTAAATTCAACGTTAACTTACCTTTTTATTATATTTTAGTTGGGAATTAAGAGAGCAAATGCGACTGGCCATTTTGAATGGAAAAATAAAGTGAAAGAATGCACGTGGCGATGTGACCGTACTTGCAATTTTGAAAAATATCAAAGATATCGATAAGGTATCGATAGCTAGTAGGTAGTGCCAATAGTGGCATCACAGAAAGTGTGAGTGATTTGTATTTCGAAAAAATAAATATTATTAAGAGTAACGGAAAAATGTATGGTTATAAAGGAACCGAAGCCGAAAGCGAGGGCAAACCAAATAAAACAAATCAACCAATCAAATTAATTGTATAATTCATTTTATTAAATCTTTTTATCTTCTTGTCAGAAATTTGATTAGAATGTAGTAGTTTTACGAACATGCCGGACATGATTTGGCAACATGTATTTTTAAGAAAAAGAATCGCATTACATGTGCATCAGTGATCTGCAGTTCAACTGAACACGCTTATTGTGTCAATGCTGTTGCGAATGCAGTGCGTAAACGTGGCAGTAGGATTCCAAGTTCACATCCATGATTTGGGGCCCAGCTAATTGGTCATCAAAGTTTCCCACCACATGCATTTTTTAGGGAATTATTATTGCAACGTTTTTAACCGGTGTCGGCCTGGTCACGCTGGTCAGGTATTTGTTGTTGGCTGTCGTTGCGTCGTGTGTGTCGCTTTGCGTAACGTTAAAACTTTTGATTTTCTCCGGGAGCCGCATCCGCCAAAGAAATGGTGCTGACCAAGGAATACCGCGTGTGCATGCCGCTCACCGTGGAGGAGGTGCGAGCTCGTCTTTGTATCCCTTCTCTGCATAGTTTTAATTAACGATTTTCTGTCATCACTTCGCAGTACAAGATCGGGCAGCTTTATATGATAGCGCGCCATAGCCTGGAACAGTCGGAGGAGGGCGAGGGCGTCGAGGTGGTGGAGAACAAGCCCTGCGAGGATCCCGTCCACGGCAAGGGTCAGTACACGGAGAAGCACATCCACTTGTCCAGGTGAGAGCCCCCCGAAGATGCTGCTTTATCACCGGACTGAGATAACTCCCCTTTCAGCCGACTGCCCTACTGGATACAGGCCATCTGCCCGCGCGTCTTCTATGTGATAGAGAAATCCTGGAACTACTATCCCTACACGCTAACAGGTGAGCAGTAGCAGCCACCCACGACCACCTACTGCGCATCCCAGTCTATTTTTAACTCGATTGTGTGTGCCGGAGGCGGGTAATTCCCCTCAGGCTGCCTCCTTGCCACCGCCATATGGCAACGTTCTTGGGAACATCATGTGTTTTTGGGGGCCAGCAAGAATTCCGCCTTATCATCCGACCATCATCATACATCCATATGCCGATATGGTGGGGGTACGTCTGCCGATAAAGGCCATTAAACGCACACCTGCCGACCCTGCCAATACGTCATCGATTTGGCTTTCACGGGGACCAGAAACAGAGCTCCATAGCTACGAGCTGCTCCAATCTGCGTTAGGCACTTTGTTAACAACTGTTGCTATTCCCACTGACTGATAAAATCTGATTACACGGTCCCCAATGCACTCGATAAAGAGTTATGTTATGCACTCCATGGGGATTGCTTTTTGTGTGTTCTGGCTTTGGGTCATTAACTCTAGGGGTGGCATCCATTACAATCCGGTTTATTTACATTCAAAGCTACGATTCCATTATCTAAATAAGAGTAATTAAATTGCTGGTGCTTATGAGCTATCATTTCATCAGCACTACATAAAACTTTTAAAGACAAATCGTGTTTTCCAAAAAAACTTTGGGCATTCTAAAAATTAGATTATTAATATTTTAAAAATATTAAGCCCTACTCCTTTTAATTATCGCTATTATTGCTTATATTTAAGGTCGTTGACTGTGTAGTGTTTGTTTATAAAAGTGTTTAGATATCGTATCAAAAGAAAACCGACTCAAATTCCTTTAAATCGACACGTGAAATATTCCTAGAAATTTCAACAATAATTTTCCATGTTTATTATGGCTTCGATTCCATAAGCCCATAAATGTTTTGACAAATCTAAATAAACTTTTTTTAACCCAAGGGTGCTTTATTTTGTAAGTGCTTTTATCGGCCTAGTGTTTTTTTTTATTAGTCCCAAGGGTACTATATATTTAATCCCAAAATAACGTAGAATGCACGCTTGAGCTATATTTGATGAGCTTGCTTATTGATTTATTTTTGATTCTGCATTACAATTTCATGTGCTGTAATTGGACCGTAATTGACTGGAACTTCTAATAGAATACACGGTAATTGTTTGGCATCTATTTTTGTTGTCCTTCGCTAACCGATTATTTCATTACAGTGCTCCTTCATTCCCAAGTTAAATGTCCTCATCAAAACTAAGTACGAGGACAATAATGGCAGCACAGAAAACGTAATAACGACTTAAAGGGCAAAAATTTACATTGATTATTAATGGTTATGATTGACAGTGTTTGGATCTCAGTGAAGAAGAGCTGAAAGTTCGAACTGTGGATCATTTGGATATAGCTTTTGATGAAGTCAGTGCCAAGCATTATAAGAAGGAGGAAGACCCCAAGTTCTACAAATCGGAAAAGACAAGTAACGTCATGGTAGACGGATTAAGACTAGTAAACGATAATTAACTTTTCTCTAGATCGGGGGCCACTTATTGAGGGATGGCGAGAGACGGACAGGCCCATCATGTGCTCCTATAAGGTGGTCCATGCCAGCTTCGAGGTCTGGGGTCTGCAGACCAAAGTGGAGGACTTTATCCAGCGCGGGATCCGGGAGATTCTTCTGCTGGGTCATCGTCAGGCCTTTGCGTGGGTGGACGAGTGGCATGGCATGACGCTCGAGGATGTCCGAGCCTATGAACGCCAAAAACAGGCCGAGACCAATGACAAAATCCACAACGCCAGTGGTGGCGCAAATGAGGCGGCCGGCGATGCTGCTAGCCAAGCGATCGAAGGTGGCGATATTGATTGAAATTTCTACCAAATCCTAGAGTAGTTAAAGAGACAGGATGCAGGCAAATTGTACCTTCATGGCCTCGCGGCAAGCTTACAAAGTTTCATAGGAAATATCTTATTTACATACGCATATTTGTGTATATAGTATATCAATGTCGATGCATTTCACCGGTCCAAAGAAGCTCAGAGCTCTAGTAACTGCCTGTTGCGTTTTAAAGTACAATGCACAAGCACCTAGCTGGGAACTCGAAACCAAATAATTGTTACAACTAGACCACGCAATTTTTAGTCAAACTTATATATATGCAATGCACACACCCACACACACTCTAGTGAACGGTTTGTGTTAACTATATCCCCTAGTTTAGTATATTTTGGTGTACAAATACAGAACTATTAAATCTATTAGAGAAGTACCTGTATCATATGATTGTTAATTACTTTTATTCTGCACCCGAGCCAATTAAAAACGTTCAAATTGGTTGCCGTTGAGTGGTTGACCAAATTATAAGCAATTTGTATGCCAATGAACCAGGTAGCAGATGAAGATGATTCACCCGGCGCTTGACAGAGTCGACTTCCAAAGTGTATATCAATATAAGCCCACGTGAATCGACCCTGACACTGATCGTAAATCACCCCCCACCCTTTCACCCATTACGAGGCAAATTCAACAGCTGCTTTGGCACAAACGAGCCCCCAAAAATGGTGGAGAGAGCTATTGATAAGTCAATATCGCTCTCGCTGTCAGCTGTTTTGATCTCGGGCGTCAAAAAATAATACCCGCGGAGCGCCAGAAGAAGAAACGGCAAAAGCACCAGTGATTCGCGTTCGCGCCGCATTTGAACTTCAAACGCGAGAAAAGTAGCACAGTGCGGAAAGATACGCGGATGCGTGGCGATTACTCGGCAAAGCGCTGGAAACAACAACTTTTGATAATGTATTTGGCATAGAGCAAATGGCCAAGCCAAACAAATTCAATGCGAATTGCCCTACCTGCAGCGCCGATCGTGACAATGGAATATTCTGAATGAAAACTTCGCAGCTCGGATAAACAGAATTTAAAAAACAACCTATTTGAAAATACCAGAAAATTACCATGGCAATGAAGACTATTCGTATCCCGCTGTTCTGCTTGGTCTTAATAAGGTAAACCCCAAGTGGACCACGCGGCGTATGTGTAATTTAATGTAATAGAAGCATTGTGTCGCTGTTATCAGATGTTTACAGCACTAGCTGATTTATTAATAAACATACTAAATCCTATTCTGGGCCAGGCCATATGTGGGTTATAGTCCATGGTAAACCTTTTATTAGGCCCATGCAAAGTCACTTATCACCAGACCAAATCAAACGAAACTGATTGGGTTTTATGGTTAATATAAAGACAACGCCAAATTCAACTGGATTAAATTATAGTACCCACTACAGTCTTTTCATATAGTTCTTACACAAGTTACAACTGGTTTATTCCCTTTATCTGGGAATCAAGTTGAATGTTCTACAAACACAGACATAGGATAATTAGGGCAATAAAGTTATAAGGTGGTAACTTCCTTAACATTCAAAACAGAGGCGAAAAAGCTCATAAGTTATTCCACCTTTATCGCTCCCCCCAAGAAGTTAGCTACCCACAACGTATCACAACTATGAGTTCCGTAAGGGAATCAGGTATTTGCCCCTAATTTAAAAATTCTTATCACAGCCAAATGCTATAAAAAGGTTTTGTTTATCAAAATGATATATAACACTAAATAGCTCTTAGATTTGCGACAGTTGTCTATTTATTTCCTTTTTCGTTCATCTTTCTTCTTGTCATCTTTTTGATCTCATTTATTTTTTGTGCCACTTATCAAGCAATCCCAATGAGAATCAAAAGCCAATTGACAGGCGGTGTGACGAATGCATAAGTCAATTTATTTAGATTTATTGTCATTGGGGAATTGATAAGCTGGGTAAATGCGTAACAAACGAAATTTTCTTTTTTTTTTAAATTCGTGCCTTTAAATTTGAAAATAAATCATTTTTTTCCATTTTATAGTAAGCAAAGAATTTCTTACTCAACACATTTGATTGTCTAAATGAAATAGCATGTCAATTGTTTCGACGGTCAAAAGTCAACTGAAAATGTTTTGAGGCATACTTTTCAATTAAATTTTGACATTACTCGTCTGCCGAGGCAAGCACGTATACGCCATGTTGTACAGTAAGTGAAACTTCGTGGGATAAATAAAAACGAATTTGGTTTTCAAAAAACATTGAAATACTGGTCTTTGTATACCTTTCGAATTTGTCAATGTTAATTAATGATAATTGAAAGCCTAAGTCACTCAGAGAAAGAGTGTCGATGCTGTCAGCTAGGATCTTGGCTTTATAAAGCACCTGAACTGAATACCAACCGAATTTAAATATTTGTCATTCCCAAAACTTCACCACTTCAAGCAAACAAAGCTGCTACCGAATTGCCTTTATTCGTGGATTTTTAAGTAAATATTTTCCGTGTTATAATATTTCACTTTGTGTATTGTTGAGTTTAACGCCTTGAACGTTGGCTGTTAATTGTCAGTTAGACCCACTTAGTACCCCTAGAAAACGCGCCGGGGTATATTAAAAGATGATGTATGTATTTTCCCTGCGTATTTTTGGCAGCCCCGCTGTGTTTATTCGGAAATAAGCTGGCTAACATATAGCCAGAAGTTTTGTTTCGGAATAGACCTATAAATATATCACGCAGAATGCCCACTGACCTACCCCTATTTAAGGTATAAGTAGTATTTAAATTGGGTGTCTCCCAAATTTAAATCGAACTTTAAGTAATCTCCAGTCTGTCACCCTGTCAAACAGCACCTCGAGATGTGCTAAATGAGCATCATGTGATCGCCGTCCGCTAATAGAACCACCATATAGACGGAACAAACAAGATTTCCATACTACGCAGCCATACTACTCGGAGTTCAGCTACTGCTCAGATTAGCTGTATATATATTTGCCCAAGTCAGTTGGCTAGAAGCAGTTTGCAGTGCCTTAAACCGATCCACGGAATGGCTCTAGGCTATTTTTAAAAAAGAGTACAGAAAATAGAACGTATTTTTTGTGATTTCTCAACCCCCGACATGTGATATAAAAAGTAATCATCTGCGACTACCAAATTTCCTGGATCTGTGGGGCAGCACAAAATCAGAGTAAACTAAATAATCAGTATCTGTTTCTATGGCTGTTTCTATGGCTGTTTCTGTACCCGTATCTGTGTTTTTCCGAGCAATTAAGACTAACCTGGCGTCTGCTTATCAAGTTGGCCCTAAACGAGAGTCGCACTGCGGCTAAATTATCACCAATTTGAGGGCTAGCTGGCCCAAAAATAGCATCATGAGATAGACAGTTATTTACTTACCAATTATCTGTTACTTAGACTGAGCCATGCCACGGATGAGAGCCATGAGTCGACCACCACCACCATTACCACCAAAATCATTCCGATGTCCGATTTCCAACACAGCTGCTTTGATTGGTCATCTGCTCCGGAGGCAGCGGGCGGAAACTGCTCCAAATTGACCCGGAATGGCACTCTAAAGTGCTTCGGCGGAATGAACAACCTGGCAGCTCTGAAGTGAGTACAATTAGACCACTGTTCATCCCATCTTTTCCCATTGAACATAAAAATTAGTTTTCTAAAAATATCTTAATAACGGAAAGGAAATTCTCAATTACCTTTTCCGTTTGTTGCAGTATTAATATTATATTTTGAAACATGTAGTTTCCCTTTGTCTTTAATAAAGAATGCTCATGATTTTGAAACCTTTACTGATTAGAGATATTGGAAATATATCCATGACAATTCTAAGTTGATTTATATTTATGGGGAGTTAATTTAAATATCGAATGCCATTTTAAAATGTATAAAGAAAATATTGATTTATCTTCGTTTTCACGAAACTTTAATCCAATATAATATTTAAGTTCTAAGTTTACAATCTTAATATTCTTTCTTCTTTGGTTAAACCGCATATTTATTTACTTTAATTATCCCATTACAGTCACTCTGGAAAGTTAAGCAGAGCTCAGCCCGCTCTGGAAATGCTCCTCTGCGGCTGGCCAAAGGATGGATTCAATCATATGAAGGACCTTCAGAAGTTGCCCCGTCTTCGATCGCTGACCATCGAATACAGTGGCTTCACCGAGTTCAAGTTCGACTTCCCCGAGATGTCGGAGCTGCAGACCATCAACATTTCGTGGACGAATCTCTCCTACATCTCATCCCGAACTTTTAAGCGGGTGCATCCGCTCAAGGTTCTGGACCTGCGATGGAACCAACTCATCCAACTGGATGGCCCTCTGTTGCTGCCCCGCAACTTCGAGCAACTTTACCTGGCGGGGAATCCCTGGAACTGCACGCGGAACTTCAAGTGGATGCTGTTGCAGCCGGAAAAGGGACGACTGGTGGTCGACAGGGATGAGCTAATCTGCACGGATCGAAAGTATAAAGAGCGCCAGATGCTGCTGGTCATGCACTATAAATTGGTATGTATAATATCGATTTCCATTTATAAGTCCGATTTAATCCCTTTATTTATTTTAGGAACTGAAGAAACAGTGCCAATCCCATGAGGATCTGAGGAACTGCACTTGCCTGATGCATCACATCTTGCCCAGAACCCACATTCCCCTCTACACGGTCAACTGTTCCCACATGCAGTTCCACCGACTGCCTGCCTTTTTGCCAGACAACACCACCACTCTGGTGATCAACGATAATATGGTAAGGATTGAGTACATAAAAATTGTGAATATACTTTATTTTTGTTTATATTACATTTCTCAACAGATCAGTGACATAAATCCGCTCCGAGACAATCCCCACTACCGCCACGTGGTGGACATGCAGCTGGAGAACAACCAAGTGTCGAACGTGGACAACCTGGAAGACACATACTGGCTGCAGAACTTCCGTCTGCTCAATTTGCGAGGCAATAATCTCCGCAAGCTACATGTGTACGCCCTGGACAATGCTCTCGATGACAACGAGAATGCCAATCTGTTGTTGCTCAGCCGGAATCCCTGGCACTGCACCTGCAAGTTCGGGAGCAGGTTGCGGGAGCTGCTGACCAAGTACAAGGACATAGTGAGGGATGCCTGGAATGTGACCTGCACCTACATGCAGGAGGATGAGCAGCGACTGGCCAAGGTGCTGAGCCTCAGCCGCCAGGAGATGTGCAATGCGAGCTTGGACAGTGGCCCACAGATCCATCCCATCGATTGGCTGAACGGAGTCCTGGCGAGTCTCATCCTGCTGATCCTGGGCAAGCTTGCCTACGATTACTACTATTACAAGTATTACGGCCGAGTTCCTTGGATTGTGATGAAAATGCCCTAGTCGTAATCCTAATCTTAAGTTGGGGTTTGCCACCTCGAAAGTATTTCTCAAACACAGACAACGGATTGTCGGTTTATTTTTGAAAATCTACAAAAACAATACCGGTCTTTGTATCATATATGAATAGTTATATATAAATAATGTTGTTTAGGTATTTATGTATGTATATTTAAGCTAAGTCAACGCAAAACTCTCAAAATAGTTGTTTGCTTCCACACTATTGCACTGCTTAAACTGTTTTATGCGGTTAAAAACCATCGTTCTCACGTTCCTTCACTTTTGACGGTCCTTAGCATTTGACCAGCATTTAAATTAATTTAAATTGGCACGAAGCGCTTAATATCTGATAATGAGAAAGAGCTAAGATAAGTATATGCTTGCATCTGGACAGAACGAAAACTGTGAGAAGTTTAATTTAGGTACAAATAATTCCATCTAAATGAATCTAATTTAGTATTTACAATTAAAATCCCTCGATTAAATTTCTTTGGCTTGAAATCAGTGCAAAACGCCGCATATCCTCTGTTAAAGCAAATGCAAAATAATTAAAATAACTGTATAGATTACAAGCTTATAAATTAAACAACAGTGCTGGACATTGTAAACAAAGCTTAAAACATTTTTGTACTTTACATCAATCGAGTGAAAGATAAAAAAAAGGCAAAATAATTCGCTGGCTGAAAGCGGCTCATCATGAATTCTATTATTTTCCTACACGAGTCAATTTTGTTGTAAATTTTCTGTATAAAAAGTCGAAGTAAAATTTAGGTCGTTTAAAATTGAGTTCCCTTGGTTTGTATTGTATATGATATGGAAACATTATCCTAACCACTATTGAAGACTCGCGTAGGAATCAGCCAGAGATCGCAAAGTAAATAACAGCGGATGGCATAAAGTTGGCTATTTTCCGGGGAACCAGACTATCTGGACTATCCCCGTTAACGTTTTCTGTTTTTGGCTAAGCATGCGAGTATTCAATATGTTTCTAATAAATTCTCCACGGTACAGCCTAGAACAGCATGTAGGAATGGTCACGTTCTAGTCGCGATTTGGCGCGCATCTGTATATTCCCGACAGGATCCGAGGGAGGTGGTATGCCACTGATCTGATGGGTGGGCTCCTTGTAGAAGAACTCGGTTCTTCCGTTCTTGTGGCCATAGTAAACGGAGTCGTTTGATCTGAAAATATTTTGAAATTAATGTAACTATTAACGAACAACGTTCTGAGGTAAACCCACCTTAAGATCAAATCTGTAAGATGATGACCACTGGAATGTATCGAGTGCATGCTCTCTATGATGTTAAGCTCTAGGGGATTCCAAGGACCATTACGCTGCAGCACATCCCACTTGGAGTCCACGCACATGAAGCTGTAGTTGCTGCCATCGCGGTTGTCGCCCTCGACATTTACATTTAGAGTCTGATTCAGTTGAGATTCCATGTGCGGAAACTTGGCCACGCACATATCAAACTACAAATATAAAAAAATCATAGTATATAGTATAAGTAAAATAAAAAAGAAGTAATCTCTAGTCACTCACCATCTTCTGCACCACCTGCTGCTGTTGACAAGTACCGTCCTCCATGAGCAATAACAAGGTCATATTCTGCTGACCACATATGTAGAGTTCCGCTCGGTGTAAGCCATCAGGTTGAATGGGAGCCGGGGGTTGAGCAGGAACAGTGGACATAACAGCCAGGGCATCCACTGCATCCTCGCACTTCAAGGAACTGCGACGGGGGAAAACTTTGGTGCTTGTCAGAGGAGTTTGTATCTCGATGGGCGTGGTTTCGCTCAGAGCCAGTACAGAAAGTTTGGCCATCAGCGGTGTTAATGGGACGCCTCCTGCTCCACTGCGTCCGGATGCGCGTTCCCCGAAAGTGGATTCTCCTGCTGATTTCAGTGGCAGGGTCATAGATCGCTTATCCAGTGGCGTTTTGGCTGCGGAAATGTTGAGATTACGATCGGCGGAGGATGCCTCTGCGGCCTGCTGCCGCATGTGCTCGTCCAGCTTCTGGATCTCGGCGTTAAACTCCTGGAACTCGGCCACGAGGGCGGCTAGCTCGGCATCTTCATGCGCCTGCTCGCTGGCCACGCCCCACAACTTGCGGTACTGATCGAGGAACTGCTGGAACAGGCTGCGCGAGATCTGCTGGCCATTGGTGGTAAATACCGGATAGGTGGGATCGCTGATAGTCCGGGAAGTGATCTTCTCATCGCTCTCTATAAAATCTGGCGAGTCGGAGGAGGCATCGCCATCTCCGCTTCCATTACGATTTACATCGGTTTTAAAGCCATGAGTGAAGTTGTTCAGTTTCTTGGAAATGGCTCGAAGGGCATCCTGCAAATCAGCAGAGGATTTGCGCCGTGTCAGCTGCTTGTTGGGATTGCTGATGAAGTTCTGAAAGAATTTTTCTACATCCACTTTCAGGGAGTTCCGACGCGACTGCGACTTGCCATTGGAGTTGTGGACATCCTCCTCTTTGCCCTCATCCTCGGGATTGGCGCAAATGGACATAACATTGGCCACCGGCAGGACTTTGTTCTCGGTCATGGGAGTATTGCAAACACTTGTGCGTCCAATGAACTGTGGAAAGGAGTCAGTTTCATCAAAGTTTATAGAGGCAATGCCAGACTCCGGGAGTTCCTTGCTCTGCAGGTTTTTTATACGCAGGGGCAGATGGGTGGGTCGCATGGATTTGGGTCTGGCTGGTGGCAACTCCCCCGCGCCCGACTGCTGATGCTCCGACGCATGCTCCTCCTCGGGTATGTGTGTGAAGATTAGCGACTTGTCCCGCTTTATCTTCCGCTTGGCATACTGAAATGGCACTCCGCTCTGGGAGAGCTGCGCCGTGCTCATCTGCAGGTTCTGCGCGCGCTGTGCCTCGCCAAGCAACTGACGGTACTGCATCTGCTCCAGGTAAACCACCAGCATCTGGACGCCGTTAGGGATGTGGAACTCATGATGGGTGGTCACCGGCTCGGCCGCCGTTCGGACGTGCAGAGGATCGGTGAGTACCAGGTGCTTGGTCACCATGTCGCTCAGTTGAGAGGCCACCACTCTGAAAGGCATACAATTTAGTTAAGGAGTTTTCTAAACGTATATTTCAGACCGACTAACTTGTTGTGGTACAGAATGGCTCCGCCAAGAACCCCCTTGGTCTGCTGGCAACTCTGCAGCGTTTGTATGGCCTCCAGAAAGATGTGACTGGCCGTCTGGAAAGGAGTCTTGGTTAATTCTTCTCCGGCACAGGATCACCACCACTCACCTTCGGCATTCGCAGCCTGGGCACATTCTGAAATGTATTCCCGTTGCGCTGCAGCATCGGCAGATAAGTCTCAAAAATGTGGTACAGCTTTTCGCTAAGATTGCGGCGACTCAGGGAGGCATATTGAGCATACAGAGTCTGCACGTCACGGTGGAAAAATTTGAGCAGGGAACTCAGCAAGTCGGCACGATGTTCCAACAGTTGATCTCCAATATTCCGATCAGTACCAATTGCCTAAAAAAAGAAACAGTCTCATGAATATAAATATTATAGACATATAGTTTTCTTATTTTCCTCACCAGAATGAAACGATCGAACTCCTTCAGCACAAACTTGCCATTCTGCAGGGCCAGGATGCGAGGATTAAAGAAGCAATCCTTGAGGAAGTACGAGGTGCCCATAAGTTGTCCACAAAGAGCCACCTTCTGCGAATCGGACACCCAACCGGGATGGAAATAGAGAACCGCCGAAATGGGATCGTCTGCCTCGTCTGTCAGACACTCCGCGTCGTAGACAAACACGATCATCGTCTCCCTGCAAAAAAGTTAGGCAACAGGTAAATTATTCAAATGGGTTTATTCATGGAAGCTACGGAATATACATTTTATTCCCAACATGTATGGAAATCTTATTAATAATAATTGTATCTCCATCATATGAGCAAATCACTTTTAAAATAAATTTATTTATTTTCTTGTTTCATATCCAAAACAAAAGCTCTTCACTGATTTACTGAGTTACTGGCTCACCATTATTATTTATTTAAAGTTCAGTTCAGGAAAAGGTGTTTTCGGGTCACACGTTTTGAGAACTGCTTTTTTAAGCAATAAGAAATATTTATGCAAAACTGGTATGCACGTTGGTACTTTAAATAAATCCAATTAATTCACAGCTTTGATTTTATTGAATGATATTTATTCTCCGATTTCTCAGTGTTCTATGTAATTCCTTGATTAGAGCCCGAGGATCCCCCAAAGCACCTTTCGGACAGGATCGCCTGTTTTTGCTTCTGCTGCAGCTTCTGCCATCGCTTGTGGCTGGGTTTACGCCAATCGCGAAACATTGCCCCTTGAAGTTCCCAAATCGATGGTATTTCGGAGCTTCCAATTCTAGCGCTGCATCGTGGCCGCTTATCACGTTTGACGACCGCTGATTCTGATAAGTCAACAAGCCAATACCGCCGCACAATGCCAACTGTCTGATTCTGGTGTGGATGTGGCCCAGCTGCCTGATACGACCCACTGTGATACGAGAGCGTGATCGGAATTCCGCTCACGCCTAAAGGTAGCCAGCAGGTGAGAAGTGAGGTGAAATCGCCTGAGTTTTTCTAGCGCTGCGGTTGAGCGGGTGTACGAGTCCAATACATTACTATAATGAATGCATCGAACTGGCGCCGACTTCATTGCCAAAGGTATCGATTCCAGTTTTAGAGGGTAAGAAAATCGACAGAAAATAGATGATCGTGGGCCAGTACTTTTTATTAAAGTTTGAGAGGCTTGAAGTGCTGAGAATTATTTAAATACCCCAAGATTAGCGTTGTACGACAAAAGCAAGCTATCGAATTCCTTTTTTTACATTTATTAACTATTTATATATCTTTGTATGTTCAACTTTGAACATACGTACCCTTGACAAGAATTTGTTTTTCTAGGTATTTAGAGTGTTCCGACGGTGACCCAGTTATTTGTAAATATCACACCAAAAAGAGAAGAGGAATTACTAGTAATATAGATTTTATTTTTATTCTTTTATGAAGTTATAAAATTTTACTTAGAGATCCACTTTTTATTAATTTTTTATCCGGCGGCAGATTTTAACGCTTGGGGTGGTAGGTGTTGCACCTGGTTCTGTATTTCAGATAGGCTATACTTGGCCACATAACCGTTTGTGCCAGCCTCGTACGTTACCAAAAGGTACTTGGATCCCGGAAAGGGCTGACCAAACGATCCCTTAACTTGGAGCTGATCCGGGGCAATCTGTTCAACAGTTTCCTCCCTTCCCGTTCCTTCTATATCGATTCTACGAAAGCGAGGTTAGTTTCTTTAAATCACTGAATAACTTTAGCGTTTTATTACCTCAGGTAATATTTATTATCGGATGGCACCAACAGAACGCCATTTTCGTTAATAGACGGCACAAGTGCTGTGATCGAATCTGTGGGTGCAGAGGTCACCAGGTTCAGAAACAGAACCACAAGCACCTAAAGCAAATATTTTAAAATGACTTTCTAATGAAGACATTGAATTAAAACTCACAGTGCTAATCAACTGGGCAGGCATGATGATCATCTTGCGGTTGTTGGTTTGCAACTGACATTTTAAAAATCATACAGTCGCTAGCTAGAAACAAAACAATACACCACCCTAATACTGGTCTAAAACTGGAAATTAACACATTAATTGTTATAAATACAAAATGGTCTTTGCTTGTATTGTAGGTATTTGAATCGCTTTCATTAAAGTTGCTATATTGAATAATATAACATATTCAACTCTCACACTGACCAGATATCTTCTAAAAAGCTTAGAGTATTTTATGTTAAATACAATCTGTGACGTTTCATTGTACTTGGTTTCGAATATAAATAGGTGGCGGAAGGCCCTTAGCATTGCGGAGGTTTATTAAGTGGATCGATAGCTCTTCAATGATTTCCGGAATGGTCTCTTTAACGATGTTGTTCAAAAATTCATGGTGGTACAAGTGTCAGAAAAGTAGGATCTCAATCTTTTTCATCCAAATAAGACGAAGATAAGAGTTCGCAGCTTAAGATTCTTATCATTCAAGTTGAAGTTCTTCTGAGTGCAAACCACTCACTGATATCAAAGTGCCCAAACTGTGGATGAACGCAGACTGAATATAATATTATATAACCACACTAGGTTGGGAACTAGTTTTAAAAGCCACTCTAAATCTTCCCTTTTATGGAATGATATTGACTAACCATGTTAATTTTGTTTATTTAAAATACCAAATTTTCGGGGGTGTGGTTTTTTTTATGAACGGACGCACTATGAAAGCCTTACTGAAAAAAAACTATACTCTCAAAAAATCCAATACAATCAAATAGCAAATCGGTTTTGGCCTATAAATCAAATATTATTCATTGGGGGTGCCACAAGGAATTAATGGCAAAAAAACCATAATCTTACTTTATTTCTTGGCCTGTCACAATAAAATTATCAAGAAATATTGTGGTTCATATTCTGACTTTTACTATCTAGCTTTTCTTCGATGTTTTCTGGTACCTCAAGTTCATAAAGATGTTATTAATGCGATTGCTACCGAATTTATTGAAATAATCTACTAATTTTTGTTGTTGTATTATTATATTTTTCCAATCTCAAAAATGTTTTATCCTATTTAAGGCACAGTTAATACTAAATTTTATCCAGCTGTGGTTTTTAGGGCAGCGGGACTAAGGAAAAGTGGGGTCTGAGGAGGGGGCGTTGGAGGACCCTTGCCGAAACTGTATTTTGCAACGTATCCATTCGGACCCGCTTGGTAAGTCAGAACAAGATTGGCACCCTGATCCTCAAAGGGCTGATTGATCACTCCGTTGACTTGCAGATGACCAGCTTCATTCTGCTTCACGGTTTCCTGGCGAATAGTGCCACCTGGATGTTCAATTCTAGGGGAAAAAAATCCATTCAAAAAGGAACCAAAGCTTGGAGAACATGGCCAACTACCTGAGGAAGTATTCCTGGTTTAGAGGCTCCAGTTGAAAACCATTAGTGCGGATTTGCGGGACGATAGTTGGAGAGTTTTGTGGTGTGGCAATGGCCAAATGTACGATGAGAATCGCCAAAAGCTAAATTAAAACTTTTGTCTATAATTTGCATAATTAATATTTGCGAATCTCTACAACTCACCGCGCACAAACTGCGAGACATGATGACCTGTCTATGGTTGAACGAAAACTATTTAAACCGCCGACCATTTGGTCATTTTCGAGCCCAAACCGAAGGTATAATTAAGTAGCAAACGAGTTTTGATTTTGACGATGAAGATACAAAAAAATCACACTTTAGGTTCACGAGAAACACTTCAGTCAACCTACTAACTCAACATTTTTTTTTACAAATAATTGCAAAAATTCCCATCCTATATGGGGAATGAGTAGTAGGGAAAACAATAAAATTATGTAGCGAAAACCAGTTGATAGCCTTGGACGTGACGATTCAAAAATCGGTTTTGTCCTATTAATCAAGACTAAGTAATTGATTCTTCCACAAAGAGTTATAAAGGCCAAAATAATTTCCTAATTTTCGAAAAATGGCTTTGCTGAAAAGTCAACCAAAACATGCACTTCTAAGCCCATAACTTTTCTTACAGACAGCCGATTTCAAAGTGGCATACCTCAAAATGATTGTGGTTTAATTCTCTAAAAATCTGTGTTTTCAGTTTTTTTTTTTTTTTGGGTCGATTTTCCGTCATTTTAATGATGTTACCCTTTCCAAATTTTCCAAAAAATGGCTTTGCAGAAAAGTGGCACTTCTAAGCCCATAACTTTTCTTACAGACATCCGCTTTCAAAGTGGCATACCTTAAAATGATTGTGGTTTAACTCTCTAAAAAACTGTGTATTCAGTTTGTTTTGTATTTTTCGTCATTTTAATGATGTTACCCCTTTCCAAATTTTCGAAAAATGGGTTTGCCGAAAAAAAACCAAAATATGCACTTCTAAGCCCATAACTTTTCTTACAGGCATCCGATTGCAAAGTGGCATACTTCCAAATGATTGTGGTATAACTCTCTAAAAATCTGTGTTTTTACAACAATGTTACCCCTTTCCTAATTTTCGAAAAATGGGCTTGCAGAAAAGTGACCTACAACCTTCACTTCTGAGCCCATAACTTTTCTTAAAGATATCCGATTTCAATGTGGCATACCTCAAAATGGTTGTGGCTTAATTCTCTAAAAATCTGTGTTTTTACTTAATTTTTTATTTTTGCGTCCATTTTTCCTCATTTTCAACAATGTAACCCCTTTCCGTTTGCCAAAACTTATACTTAATCATTAACTTTATTTTTATAGCACATTTACGAAATCCGGCAACTCACCGCGAACAAACTGGGAGACATAATGACCTGTCTATGTTAATTCGACATGAACTTGACAAATGATGGCAAAAATTCCCTTCCTATATGGGGATTGAGTAGTAGGAAAACAATATAATCGACATATCTAGAGAAAACCAGTTGCTAGCCCTCGAAGTGATAATTAACTTGGGTTAAATTATTTTACATCATGCTCACTGCATTCCCAGTTTTCATAATAAATTGGGAGTAAATAACACACCTGGCTGAATAAACTTCCCAAGCAATTTTTAACGGTTGCTACGTGATGGTCTTACATTGTTATACCCTTGCAGAAGGTATTAAAATTTGAGTCAAAAGTTTGCAACGCAGTAGAGGAGACAATAGGTCATAGAAACAATTAAAAAAATAAATAATACAAATAGTATAACTTAGTTATTATTAAACATATATGCATATACTCCAAGTCTTGGTAGTTTTAATCAATTTCAGAAGCTTTCTTACTTTATTGTTAAAAAAGCTTTTCAGCTATTACTTAAAGGTCTTTGAACTTATTTAAGTATTAAAACTATTCATTTTTATTATATAAATAAAGGAAACTTAAATGTGTTCGATTGAAAACTTTTAAAAATTTAAAAATTAATTCAAATAAATCTTGTAAATCAAGCTTGTGTTAAAAAATTTAAAAGACCTTGTTTCAAACAAAATTTGTATAAGCTTTGGCGACAACATGAAATAGTCTATACAATATAATCCATATAAATAAACCAAGCCAATGTGTGCGTTGAGAACTTTTTTTATTGGGGGACTCCCATTTAATTTTTTAACAGCTGGTACGTGAGATACAAATTTTTTGATTCACATTCATAATAAATAACATTTTTGTGACAACTTAACTTAACTTAAAAATAAATTAAAATTAAAATTGCCGTTTTGCCGGTCTATCAATTGCTTGAACTTTGACATTTTACCAATTTCTCCGCTCGAAATCGATACCTATCTCGGGCTTCCTCTTTTTCTTACCTTCTGTGTATGTGAATGCAAATTTAGTGGGTGGGGGGTGGTGGGTGTTTGAGGGGGCGGAGGCTGCAGCTCAAAACAAACACAAAAATAACCCCACATATACAGCGCGCCGCCCACACACACACGCATACGCCCTCATGAAGTTTTGCACTATCTTTCAATACTTATCAATTGCACTTACTTTGTGGCCATGGTGTATTGCACTTTTAACCTCTCTTTGTCAGAAGATTATTGCACTTTATTTCTGCTTTATTTTATTCATATTACTTTTTATTTTGTGTTTTTCTTCGGAGCGAAATAAACGGTGCTGCCATACCCTGGTCACACTTAAAAACACCACAGTTTTTGGGGTGTGGTATTTAAATACTAGAAAAACATCGATAGTCGTCGAACTTAACGATAGTATCGAAACCATCGTGAGTGTTTTACCCAGCTCTACTTCTAAAATGGCCGATCAGTAAAGTTGTGTACACTTTTTTCGTGTTCCGTGTTTTTCGCTTAATTTGATCGTTTATTTAAATGTTTTTATGAATTTTGGTGAGTTGAGAAGTTGTTTGAAACTAAACTGTGAACGAATCCAAAAACTAAATAGAAATAGTGAAATGTTAAAGTGCCTAAAACAACGTTTTTAAAAAGGCAACCCCCACATAGCGTCTCTCGCCTCCAGGCAACAACAACACACCCAAAGAGACGCACTGGAAGCATAAAAAAGCAACAAACAGGTTTTCATTGTGTACAGACGTGTGTTACTTCCCTCTCGCTCCAGCACTCTTTAATTTATGCGCATGCAGCAGCAACAACAACATACATATATGTGGATACAAACCAACATAAGAAACAAGTAATACAAGAAAATAAATCATCGCGTGCGAGTGTGTGAGTGGTGTAAACAGCAGCCAAAGTGGTAGAGTAAAGTAAACGAGTCGAAAAAGAAGCGGATAATAAGTGGTAAAGAAAAAGAAGCTGAGGCAAAAGAGTTAGCCAGCTTAGAAGTGACGCGTAGCTACAGGTGAATATATCGGACTTGTTTTTCATTCGCGAGGCGGTTGCCAACAGTAAAAAAACGGGTTTGATGCCACAACCAAAAAAGAAAAAGAATCCAATCGATTAGCAGCCTAATCAATTTACCACTGAGCTGTAACGGTAAAGCCAAATAGAAGTTGGATTTACATACGAACATTTTCCAGCGCGTGATCCCAATTTCCAAAGTGCGTTTTCCAATTCAAGTGGCCTGAAAGTGGAACGCGTCCCACTTAACCCTTACAGTGCAAGCTGTCTAAATTAACCCCAGTAAACAACTCCCACATTTGTGCTTTGTGTTTTGTGAATGAAAAACTGAAAAACTGGTCGCGCCATAATAACGCCTCTTTAAAAGATTCAGCTGAATCATCTAAATATAGTAAACTGGTCCATCTACATGATTCACCAAACATCGGAAGTCCGGTGATAATTCCATGCTATAGACCATGTCTGTTCTGCATTTTGATAAGTGGAAAACAAGAAAAACAGAACAGAGCAATGAACCGCCCGACGTCGCCGATAAGCGGTAAAACAAAAGAAAACAGCCGTCAGAATTGATTGTTGTTCATAAAAAAATATGAATATTGTCATTACATCAGAGCAGAGTCCAAGCCCCATTAAATCTGGCAGCCAGTCGGGCTCCAAAAGGCAACATCCACTCCACGCCACTCCAATCCACCTGTTGCCACTTGGTTGGACTTAATGAAAACGCCCACGGACCCAAACGGGTTATACAGTACAGCTTCCTTAAGTTTTACTAAAAAATAAAAAGCGTAATTGTCTATTTAAATAAGTACATTTTCTTCCCTGGAACTTCAACAGGAAATCTATTCATGTTTCTATGTTAATATTTCCAAAATCTTGAATCGTATTTTTAAGTAAATGACCAATATTCACGATTCGGTTCCTATGTTCTCTATAAGTTTGCTACTGTGGGCGGTTGATTGTAAGCGGTGCATATCTAATAACTACACACTAAAATCAATTTTGTATTGATCACTTCTATTGTAAAAAACACTACCAGCTTTTTGTTCTTTATTCTTTCACCCGAAAACAACGTATCTCGATTTAACACGTTCTTGTCGGGCTTCCCACACGCAGGTCCAAAAAAGATTAGGTAGAAAGGGAACGGCAACAAGTGTCAAACGTGACATACTTTTCACCCTTATCTTGATGAGGCTGTTATCTCACAACTCTGCAAACCCATGCTTATCAGCTGGAAGGTGGATGGGTACCACCCAACTATTCCGAAAATAGTGGCACACATTCGTAACTTGATCTCGAATTTGAGCTCATTAATTTAACGCCAGACGGTCAGTTTTTTGGGCTGGCATAATTGTATCTGTATTTTTATGGGCTGCCAGAAGCGGAACGGACTTCCTGGCATTGAACCCGAGTGTGTGGCTTGTGAAATATGAGAACGCCACTAAAAAAAATGAAAACTTACGAAAACGCCGGTTTTATTATGGCCACATCGAAGATTAAATACCCTCAGCCATGAAAACAAAAAAATGTTGCAAAAGAGAGGAAATATCAATTATTTGCATAGTGCGTAGAACTTCTTTCATAGTATTCTTTAGAATTATTCCCTACAAAATTCTCATTACATTAAAATCTTGTTTTCTGTAAAGTTAATTTCTCCACCTTTAAAACCTTTCTAACCAAAGAGAACCCAGTTAGATTTAGGGCACTTAGAAAAGGTGTTAATTAGCTGTCTTTATACCGAGATGACTGATTATTTCTGTAAGAGGTTTCTCGGGCTAAAAGTAGTACCCAATTTAGCGGTCAGTACCATTCGCTGATTTCTGTGCTCACTAAGCCGCAAACTGAGTGAT